ACCGCCCATGCATGCGCTAATCTAGCTCCTGGACCCGCCTCCTGGATAGCCAGGCATCCACGCACGCTGAGCAGAGGCCACCAGCACCCGCCAGCCAGGCATGTGCGCATAGGACTGGCCGAGGGGTGCAGGTACGGCACGCAGTCCTAACGGGGCCTCCCGCCAACCCAGTTACGCGGCCCAACCCGCAAAACGTGGGTTTGTGAGGGCTGCAAAACAGATCGTCACCAGGGGTTCGCACGTGGTCCCCCACCGTACTACTGATCTGGCCCAATGGTGCTTACGTGCCCAGTGCTGATGGGATGGGCGGTTTTCACCATGGTATGAACGATCCATGCCAAAGGGATCAACCTTGAAGTACATGTACCCGAAACGGCCGAGGGCCTTATGCCTGCAGCGCCTCCCAGCACGCTTTTCCGTGCGAGCTGGCACGATTCACGTGTAGACGCCCGCCACAGTGTACGGAGCCGCATTCGGGGCCGGCTCCAGCACCCAGCCACCTCGCCCCTCCCTGTTGAGCAGTAGCGCACTTGCTTTGGAATGCATGGGGGCCGCCGCCTCGTAGCCGCCCCATACATGCATGCGCAGACTCCGTGCGTGGGGTGCGCAGGTAGGTATGGCAGCAGGACCCGCCCCCTGGCTATCCATCCATCTGTGCATGCGCAAGTAAAGCGCCACCTACCCAACCGCCCATGCATGCGCTAATCTAGCTCCTGGACCCGCCTCCTGGATAGCCAGGCATCCACGCACGCTGAGCAGAGGCCACCAGCACCCGCCAGCCAGGCATGTGCGCATAGGACTGGCCGAGGGGTGCAGGTACGGCACGCAGTCCTAACGGGGCCTCCCGCCAACCCAGTTACGCGGCCCAACCCGCAAAACGTGGGTTTGTGAGGGCTGCAAAACAGATCGTCACCAGGGGTTCGCACGTGGTCCCCCACCGTACTACTGATCTGGCCCAATGGTGCTTACGTGCCCAGTGCTGATGGGATGGGCGGTTTTCACCATGGTATGAACGATCCATGCCAAAGGGATCACCCTTGAAGTACATGTACCCGAAACGGCCGAGGGCCTTATGCCTGCAGCGCCTCCCAGCACGCTTTTCCGTGCGAGCTGGCACGATTCACGTGTAGACGCCCGCCACAGTGTACGGAGCCGCATTCGGGGCCGGCTCCAGCACCCAGCCACCTCGCCCCTCCCTGTTGAGCAGTAGCGCACTTGCTTTGGAATGCATGGGGGCCGCCGCCTCGTAGCCGCCCCATGCATGCATGCGCAGACTCCGTGCGTGGGGTGCGCAGGTAGGTATGGGGCAGCAGGACCCGCCCCCTGGCTATCCATCCATCTGTGCATGCGCAAGTAAAGCGCCACCTACCCAACCGCCCATGCATGCGCTAATCTAGCTCCTGGACCCGCCTCCTGGATAGCCAGGCATCCACGCACGCAGAGCAGAGGCCACCAGCACCCGCCAGCCAGGCATGTGCGCATAGGACTGGCCGAGGGGTGCAGGCACGGCACGCAGTCCTAACGGGGCCTCCCGCCAACCCAGTTACGCGGCCCAACCCGCAAAACGTGGGTTTGTGAGGGCTGCAAAACAGATCGTCACCAGGGGTTCGCACGTGGTCCCCCACCGTACTACTGATCTGGCCCAATGGTGCTTACGTGCCCAGTGCTGATGGGATGGGCGGTTTTCACCATGGTATGAACGATCCATGCCAAAGGGATCAACCTTGAAGTACATGTACCCGAAACGGCCGAGGGCCTTATGCCTGCAGCGCCTCCCAGCACGCTTTTCCGTGCGAGCTGGCACGATTCACGTGTAGACGCCCGCCACAGTGTACGGAGCCGCATTCGGGGCCGGCTCCAGCACCCAGCCACCTCGCCCCTCCCTGTTGAGCAGTAGCGCACTTGCTTTGGAATGCATGGGGGCCGCCGCCTCGTAGCCGCCCCATGCATGCATGCGCAGACTCCGTGCGTGGGGTGCGCAGGTAGGTATGGGGCAGCAGGACCCGCCCCCTGGCTATCCATCCATCTGTGCATGCGCAAGTAAAGCGCCACCTACCCAACCGCCCATGCATGCGCTAATCTAGCTCCTGGACCCGCCTCCTGGATAGCCAGGCATCCACGCACGCAGAGCAGAGGCCACCAGCACCCGCCAGCCAGGCATGTGCGCATAGGACTGGCCGAGGGGTGCAGGCACGGCACGCAGTCCTAACGGGGCCTCCCGCCAACCCAGTTACGCGGCCCAACCCGCAAAACGTGGGTTTGTGAGGGCTGCAAAACAGATCGTCACCAGGGGTTCGCACGTGGTCCCCCACCGTACTACTGATCTGGCCCAATGGTGCTTACGTGCCCAGTGCTGATGGGATGGGCGGTTTTCACCATGGTATGAACGATCCATGCCAAAGGGATCACCCTTGAAGTACATGTACCCGAAACGGCCGAGGGCCTTATGCCTGCAGCGCCTCCCAGCACGCTTTTCCGTGCGAGCTGGCACGATTCACGTGTAGACGCCCGCCACAGTGTACGGAGCCGCATTCGGGGCCGGCTCCAGCACCCAGCCACCTCGCCCCTCCCTGTTGAGCAGTAGCGCACTTGCTTTGGAATGCATGGGGGCCGCCGCCTCGTAGCCGCCCCATACATGCATGCGCAGACTCCGTGCGTGGGGTGCGCAGGTAGGTAGGGCAGCAGGACCCGCCCCCTGGCTATCCATCCATCTGTGCATGCGCAAGGAAAGCGCCACCTACCCAACCGCCCATGCATGCGCTAATCTAGCTCCTGGACCCGCCTCCTGGATAGCCAGGCATCCACGCACGCAGAGCAGAGGCCACCAGCACCCGCCAGCCAGGCATGTGCGCATAGGACTGGCCGAGGGGTGCAGGTACGGCACGCAGTCCTAACGGGGCCTCCCGCCAACCCAGTTACGCGGCCCAACCCGCAAAACGTGGGTTTGTGAGGGCTGCAAAACAGATCGTCACCAGGGGTTCGCACGTGGTCCCCCACCGTACTACTGATCTGGCCCAATGGTGCTTACGTGCCCAGTGCTGATTGGATGGGCGGTTTTCACCATGGTATGAACGATCCATGCCAAAGGGATCAACCTTGAAGTACATGTACCCGAAACGGCCGAGGGCCTTATGCCTGCAGCGCCTCCCAGCACGCTTTTCCGTGCGAGCTGGCACGATTCACGTGTAGACGCCCGCCACAGTGTACGGAGCCGCATTCGGGGCCGGCTCCAGCACCCAGCCACCTCGCCCCTCCCTGTTGAGCAGTAGCGCACTTGCTTTGGAATGCATGGGGGCCGCCGCCTCGTAGCCGCCCCATGCATGCATGCGCAGACTCCGTGCGTGGGGTGCGCAGGTAGGTATGGGGCAGCAGGACCCGCCCCCTGGCTATCCATCCATCTGTGCATGCGCAAGGAAAGCGCCACCTACCCAACCGCCCATGCATGCGCTAATCTAGCTCCTGGACCCGCCTCCTGGATAGCCAGGCATCCACGCACGCAGAGCAGAGGCCACCAGCACCCGCCAGCCAGGCATGTGCGCATAGGACTGGCCGAGGGGTGCAGGTACGGCACGCAGTCCTAACGGGGCCTCCCGCCAACCCAGTTACGCGGCCCAACCCGCAAAACGTGGGTTTGTGAGGGCTGCAAAACAGATCGTCACCAGGGGTTCGCACGTGGTCCCCCACCGTACTACTGATCTGGCCCAATGGTGCTTACGTGCCCAGTGCTGATTGGATGGGCGGTTTTCACCATGGTATGAACGATCCATGCCAAAGGGATCACCCTTGAAGTACATGTACCCGAAACGGCCGAGGGCCTTATGCCTGCAGCGCCTCCCAGCACGCTTTTCCGTGCGAGCTGGCACGATTCACGTGTAGACGCCCGCCACAGTGTACGGAGCCGCATTCGGGGCCGGCTCCAGCACCCAGCCACCTCGCCCCTCCGTGTTGAGCAGTAGCGCACTTGCTTTGGAATGCATGGGGGCCGCCGCCTCGTAGCCGCCCCATGCATGCATGCGCAGACTCCGTGCGTGGGGTGCGCAGGTAGGTATGGGGCAGCAGGACCCGCCCCCTGGCTATCCATCCATCTGTGCATGCGCAAGTAAAGCGCCACCTACCCAACCGCCCATGCATGCGCTAATCTAGCTCCTGGACCCGCCTCCTGGATAGCCAGGCATCCACGCACGCAGAGCAGAGGCCACCAGCACCCGCCAGCCAGGCATGTGCGCATAGGACTGGCCGAGGGGTGCAGGCACGGCACGCAGTCCTAACGGGGCCTCCCGCCAACCCAGTTACGCGGCCCAACCCGCAAAACGTGGGTTTGTGAGGGCTGCAAAACAGATCGTCACCAGGGGTTCGCACGTGGTCCCCCACCGTACTACTGATCTGGCCCAATGGTGCTTACGTGCCCAGTGCTGATGGGATGGGATGGGATGGTCACAGGTGCGCATGCCGCGTAACTCCAGAGGTCAACATGATACCGGTACGTTCCTATCCTAAGCAAAGGGGCTCCGCCCTTAGTCATCCGCAGCTGCCCCAGTGCACAGCATCAAGCAGCTGCATGGCGGTATCCTTCGCAAACCACTCGCCGATGTTGGGAAGCACCGGGTACAGCTGGCCGGACCAGCAACCCAAAAACGAGGCTTACATGTGAAGGGGTGTACTGAACGCACACAAAGAATGTAACTGCAATTACAACTGAACTGCAACGAACGTTAATTGTGACTGAAAATGCAATTGGAACTGTCTGTTATGAGGTCAAAGAGGCGCCACCTGGGCTCCTCCTCCTCCTCTGCAGTCCCCTCCTCCTCCTCCTCCTCCTCCTCCTCCTCCTCCTCTGCAGTCCCCTCCTGTCAGTCATCCTTAAACCCCATTGCTCCAGCTGCTCCGCTCCGCTGCACCTCTCCTCACCTCGCCTCCCCTCTCATCCCCTCCTCCTTTCTCCCCTCCCCTCTCCCCCCCTCACCTGCCCCCCCTGGCCAGCACCTCCACCCCCACCCCGGCCTCCATCAGCTGCTCCAGAGCCGCAGAGGCAGCTGCCTGCCGGGCGTCCTGCTTGGAACGACACTCCTGTTGGGGGGGAAGGGGGGGGAGGGGGGGGAGGGGGGGGAGGGGGGGGAGGGGGGGGGAGGGGGGGGAGGGGGGGAAGGGGGGGGGAGGGGGGGGAGGGGGGGGAGGGGGGGGGGAGGGGGGGAAGGGGGGGAAGGGGGTGCTCGGGCTAATGTGTGCGTTCGGGGATGCGCTCTTTTACGACACGTTTGGAAAGAGTTCCCAGGGAATGCTCTGTCCTGGAGGAGTTTGCAACCCAGACATCCATACCCCGGTGGACTTTCCTCTTGGCCCCCGCAGGTCCCCCCCTTGGACCCTCACCGCGCAACCCCCCTCCCCCCTCCGCCCTCCCCTCCCCTCCCCCCTCCGCCCTCCCTCCTCTCACCACACCAGCCACCTGCAGCAGCACCGTCCCCGCCGGGTCGCACAGCGACACGGTGAAGCGGAAGGGACCCGCCAGGGGGGAGGGGGAGGGGACCTCCGCGACTGCAACCTGGCAGGGGGGGAGGGGGAGGGGAAGGGGGAGGCAGGGGGGCGTGTTAAGCCGCTACTGAGCTACGGAGGGGGCTTCCCTACCTGCACATGAAAGGACGAGTGGTTGAGCCATTTGCGGGCTCAGCCACTCGTGCTTTCATGTGCAGGTGGGGAAGCCCCTTCTGCATGCTATCATGTTCACATGCCGGGTACAGCGTACCGGCATCATCGGCCTACCTGTATGCCCCTTCATGCCGTCATATCCATACCCCTTCAGTCGGAATATGGATTGGGACTCCAATTGCTGCACTTCTCAATCATAAACCCCCCTTCTACGTGCTGCATGCAACCACCGGCGCAGTCCCTGCAGACGTGGCCGCCCCCACCCCGCGTGCGCCCCCCCCTGCCCACCAACAGCCGTGTCCTCGCCGCATACTCGTTGAGCAGCATGAGCGGCGTCTTGAGCCGGCCCGGCTCGCTGGAGTGGACCGCCGACATCAGCTGGGAGCACCTGGGGGGGGGAGGGGAGGGGGGGGAGGGGAGGAGGGGAGGAAGTAACATACCGATGGGGGCCGGGAGAGGGGGGATGACAGGAGGGTATTTTGGGAGGGCGGGAGGGAAGCGGGACCAGCGATGGGGCAGTTGCATGCTGACACGTCCCTAACCCAGTGTATGGTTTTGGTCGCATGGATGCGCGGCTAGTCTCGCCTCGGTGCCACCCGACGCGCCCATGCAGCCCCCATGCAGCCTCGTGCCTGTTCCACCAAACCCGCTTCACGGCTTGTTCCTGCTCTCCCCCTTATTGAACCCCAACCCCTCCCCACCTCCACCCCACCCTCCCACCTCCACCCCACCTCCCACCCCACCTGGGATACGCGACGGTGAGGGTCGTGGCTGCGCCTGCCGCTGTGCCTCCTCCACCTGCCCCGCCCGCCCCGGCCACAAGCCCCCCTCCAAACCCTGCGCTACCACCCCCAACCCCAGCAGCGCCGAAGCCGAAGGCCCCGTCGGCGGGGGCAGCCGGGAAGGGGGCGGGGGCCGGAAGGGCGGGGGGGAAGGGGGCGGGGGCCGGCAGGGCGGGGGGGAAGGGGGCGGGGGCCGGCAGGGCGGGGGGGAAGGGGGCGGGGGCCGGCAGGGCGGGGGGGAAAGGGGCGGGGGCCGGCAGGGCGGGGGGGAAGGGGGCGGGGCCGGGCGCGGAGGCGGAGGGCAAGGGCTGGGCGGGCAGGGGGGAAGCGGCTGGGAAAGCTGAGGTGCTGGGGAAGGCGGTGGCGGTGGTGGCGGGTTGCTGCTGCTGCGGGGGCAGGGGGGCACCGCCTCCGTTGCTGGTACTGCTGCTTGCGGGTGCGGGGGCGGGTGAGGGTGGCTGAGGTGGCGAGGGTGCGAGGCTGGTCATGGCAGCTAGCAACTCGGAGGCTAGCAGCTGGAGAGGAGGGAGGGGAGGGGGGAGGGGGGTTAGTGAGTCGGAAAAGGGAAGTACAGTGGCGCTGCTGCTGGCTCCTCTAGACTCGCACCCAACATGCACGCACACACATCCGCCAGTTATTTTAACACACACCCGCACACGCCACATCCACACGGGGCCAGCTGCACCCCTGCCGCACCGCCTCCTCCCCCCTCCCCAGCCACCACGTGGGCAGTGCGGCAGTACGGCGGCACACACCCGCTTGCCGCTCTCGGCCGGTGCTGTCGACACCAGCAGTGCCCCCATTCCGCCCTTTCCTGGTAAACTGCCCTGCCCTGCTTTGCCCCGACGCCTCTACCGCCCAGCACCCCCTCCCCGCCCTCCTCCCTGTGGTCTGGCCCCCCTGTGTTCCCCCCCCTCCCCCACCTGCCCCTCCCCCCTCCCACCTCCCCCACCTGCCCCGACCCCAGCAAGCCGTCCAGACAGGCTGCAGCCGCCGCGTGCTTGGCATCCCGCTTGCTGGCGCCCGAGCCGCGACCACACCCCACGCAGCTGCCCCCTCGCACCAGGCTGAGGGTGCAGCAGAACACCCCGCCCTCGCTGTGCTCGGTGGGCTGGGGGGAGGGAAAAAATTACATAAGTGAAAAAACGAGTCCCAATCCCATATCCCGACTCATGCAGTGAGCGCATTCGGAGGGAGGGGGAGGGGAAGCGAGCGGCAAGCGGCAGGAAAGCCGGTGTTGACAAGGAGCTGGCTGTGCGGCTGGGAGTTGCCCAACCAACAACCAACCGAGTAGTGCTACCTGCCCCCGCCATCTTCCACCTCCTCCTCGTACCTCCTGTCCGCTCTTCGCTCCCCAGCCATCCCTCCCCCCACCCCACCCCCACCCACCGCCTCACTCACCGCGGGAGTGCTGATCTGCCGCTTCTGACACGCCTCGTTGAGCAGTGTGAAGAAGGGTTTGCCGTTGTACCCGGCACGCGGGTTGGACTCCAGCTGGCGGCGCAGCTGCTCCAACACCTGCGGCAGGCGGCGGGGGTGGGAGAGGGGGGAGGGAAGAGGGGGAGAGGGGGGAGGGAAGGGGGGGGCGGAGGTGGCACGTTACAGCTGCTGGCGAGGGAGGGCCCTCCATGCGAACATGCAGTGGGTGAGCAACGGTAGGTAGTCAGCACCAACTAGCCGGGTACGGCACGGGTCTCGAAGTGTATGGGGCGAAGACACCTCACCCCACCCCATCATCATCCCGCCCCACAAGGCTCCCCCTCGCCCCCGCTGCTACTCCCAGGTTGGCCCCCCTCGCCCCGCTGCACAGCGCGGCAGTACGTGGCAGGGCGTGTGTGACACGCTGCGCCACCCACCGCCTGCAGGTGCGTGTTGGAGGGGGCGGTGGCGGGCAGCAGGTGGCCGCCCCCACCACCTGCCCCGGGCCCGCCGCCACCACTAACCCCGCCAGCAACGCCCAGTGGTAACCCCGCCCCCGCTCCTGGCCCCGCCCCCGCCCCTGGCCCCGCCCCTACACCCGCCCCTGCACCCCAGTCGGCTGCGCTAGCATGCTGGTGCTGCTGCTGCAGGTGCAGGTGTTGCGGGTACTGCTGCTGTTGCTGCTGCTGTAGGTGCTGCTGCAGGTGCAGGTGCTGCAGCAGGGCGCTGGTGGCAGGAGCGGTGGCGGGGCTGGGAGCACGCGGGGGCGTGGGAGTGGGCGCGGGAGTGGGAAGGGCCGCCGGATGCGGGGCGCCGTTCGCCGCCTCCCCCGAGTCAAGTCCCCCGGCATCCGCGGAGCTGCCCGGCGGAGGTCGGGGGGGCTGGGCCCAGTCTGCGTGAGGCGTGGGGTGGGGGATGGAAGGTCGGAAGGGGCGTGAGGTGGGGCAGCCAGGGAGGGCCGGGGTGGTGGTAAGCTCAAGCGGCACCGGAGAGGGGTGGGAACAGGAAGAGGAAGAGCCACAGCACAACATCAGTTGCTGCTTAGGCCGTAGCTTTGGCGGCATTGGCGGCAGCGAGTACGGGCCGGGTGCTCCTAGGGAAGTCGGGGGGCGGCGAGATGGGGGCACAACCCCCGCTTCCGATACACGTACCGTTGGCGGCTGGCTGGGGTGTTGGTTGCTGCTGCTGCTGCTGCTGCTGCTGCTGGGGGCGGTAGTCGGCGGCAGCACTGGGCCCTGCACCTGCTGCTGCTGCTGCTGCTGCGGCGGCGGCGGCGGCAGCGGCTGGGGAGGCAGCGGCAGTCACATCATTAATCTCCTGCTGCCAGGCCTCCACCAGCAAGGGGAACACGCAGACTCTGTTCTCTCCGACCTGAAGCAAGTATTGGCAAGGGTGCCGAGTTCGGCCAGAAGACGACCGGTCACGGAAGAGCAAAGCTAGTATCTTCGCTTTTCCGCCGACAGCCGTAATCCTTTTGCCCGACAAGGCCCTACCTGTGTCAAGGCCAACGCCCTCTCCAAATCCTCCGTCGCGACGGTGACATACGCGTGGCCGATGCACTTGTCAGTGGTTGGCACACGGACTATAGATGACGATAGTATCTGAACTGCCGCTCGCTGTAGCATAGCATTGCAATTTGAGGAGAAGAGGAGGGGCAGGGTGCGATAAAAGACATGAAAAGAGGGAGACGCAATAGGGTGTTGCAGCTCACGGTCGCCACCAAAGCCAGCCTGCCAACACGCCGTTCATAACATGCCCTTTCCTAAGCCAGATTTAAGGCACTCCTGAAATGCAACCTATTTCACGGTGTTGCCGTTTTGATGGCCAGCTGACAGCCGTTCTGTCGCTAGTCGTTGACGAGATCATCCGGCAATAGCACACCTGCTCAAAGGCCGTGCGCAATTCTTCTTGTGTCGCATCAGGGCCGACGCCCCCCACGAAGAGGACGGTTGCCATTGCCGGAGGCACAGGTAGGAGAACCTATGCCCTCTATCCTAATGTAGCGCAATATTTTCCTAGGTCGAGCTGGGTCGAGTACAAAGCAATGCAGGTATAATGTGCGTCGGGTTGTTCGCGGCTACCCTTGCTATCAGCAATGCGCTGAAAAATCCTGTCCGTGCCTATTTGCTATGCCATATAGGATATAACAGGACCTAATACACGTATTAATTATTTAAAGATTAAACTAGGCTGACTCCTTATCCTCCAGGTACGGGTGCAGCAACGGGTGCATTGATGCAGGTCGATGCGAGAGGTCCGACCCGCCCGTCCACCTGTGAGGGAAAATGGGTTCATGGCCAAATGAGAGTCAGGCAGAATGAGCACGGCTTCTGACGCGTGCTTGCCGTCATGATCATCCTGTCTTACGCAAGCCTGGGGCCCCTGTAATCAACTACCAGACCCCTACGGCATCCCGTGTTGGGCTTCTTCCGTTCTCACTATTTTACGGCTGTCAAGCTCTTGCCCCTCTAGCTCTATTGCCTAATCTGGCGCTACGAGACTGCTAATTTGCCTTGCTTGTTTTAGATGACATCAGCCCAGACCAAGGCTAGCACCCTATGGTGCAAGATCCCGTCCCAAACCAGTTCGAGGCAGGCAGACCCTTTCGCTTCCCCTGCTGAGCCCAACCTGCCGAGTGCCGGTAACGCTGCCCCGCCCTGCTGCATGGCAAAGCAGCCGCCTGCCATGCCGCCTCTCGAAGCCCTGCTGCCTTACACGGTTCCACCCCTGCGCGACGGTACCCTACTCCTTCACACGCGCCCTTGCCGTACAGGGTCGCGTGCCTCCGTCCACCCCAGCTCTCCCTACGGCTCCCAGGAAGGAGTCCACCCACCGCCCAGCAAGCGGCGCTAATCCCATCAGGCCCACCAGCCCCCAGAAGGCAGCACCGGGCATGCGATACCCGATAACACAGAAATTTCCTGTACACAGTACGGCATTCAGCATCGCTAGGACGCCATATGACACCTGCTGTCAAAGCAGTCGAGCTCCGCCCGACCCGGTACTGCTGTAGCTGGGCCTGGCACTGCACTGCGGCGCAGCAGTCCACATGCAACACATCTCCTTACAGCCTACACGTGCCCCACCCGCTAACAGAGCCGTACGCCGCCACAGGACCCTTCCATGTGCCTAACAGAAAGGTGTACGATTGTCAATCCAGCAATATCCAGCAATTCCTTAACCCAGCTAGCACAATTGTTAAGACACGGCGTCCTCAGCACCATTACAAGGCAACAGCGCACGTCCCTTTCCCCCTCCGCCATCTCCCTCCCACCATCTCCTTACACCTTGCACAGCTCAATACACTCAACCCATTTTGTACACTCCACTCCTGAAACCCTAAAGCCGCAAGCCTGAGCCGCCACACCACCTCTTAACCCTCGGCTGCTGCTGCTGCTAGCGCATCACGTGTCCCCCGGCATGCAACTGCCCTCGTCTCACGCAGCAAGCACTGCTGGCCACCCCCAGCAGCGCCTACGTAGGGGTGCAGCAGGAGCGCACCGGCAGCGCTCAGCTGCTTCCCACTCCGCAGCATTAGTCATCTTTGGCGAAAGGTTAGCAGTACCCTCCCATGCCTAACCGCCATGCGATGCCGGCATCAGAGCAGCTTCTGGGGCTGGCCGTAGATAGGTGTGCCAGGCCGACTCCTACAGCCGGGCTAGCAGCGGCAGCAGTGACGGCCCCAGCCAGCCATCAGCCCATCGCAGCAGCATCCGACCCCCAGGTTCAGCCCCAGAGCTAGTCAGAGCCTAGGGCGGTGCTTCGTGCCCTGAATACCACCGGGGATGAACATTTGCTGTGCGATGGCGGGTGCTGAAAGCGCTGCCGCTGCTGCTGCCGCTGTGGAGAGATGGCCACTGCACAAAGCTCTGTCAGGTTTGCTAGGTTTCCAGCCCGGCCCAAGCTGAGATGCCGCCGTACGCCGTAGATGCCCCAGGATGCCGCCGTACGCCCCCAGCGACAGCTAGAGGGCGTTCCCCGGCAGCAGGAACTTGGCGGTGGAGCTGAAGTTCTTGTTGAGCCAGTCCTTGGCGGCATCGTCCAGGTGCTCCTCGAAGTCGTACAGCGTCCGGTGCTTCAGCTGCTTGAACATCGTGAAGAACTCCTCCCGCAGCTTCTTCCAGTCCCCTCCCTTGACCTGCAGCTTGGCGTCGGACTCAGCAGCCTCTGCGGACCCGGCGCGCTTCCATCCCTTGGCCCCATCCTTATTGAACAGCTCGAACGGGTTATCCGCCTGCGCCTTGCAGAACTGCTCCAGTCGCTTGTTGTCGAGGACAAGCACAACCGCGTTTGATTGGTGCTCGGAAACCTTGTCCGCAATCTTGCGCCCCAGCGGCGACAGGTCCCCGGGCCCGAACCGCGCGTCCGACTGATAATATCCCACAATTTCGAGACTGCCAGCTATGTTGGTGTACGACTCCACCTACATGGTACAATTCCTTTAAAGCAAGACCCAACGTTTCTTAGCATTCGCAAGATCTTTGCGCACCTGTGCTAGCCCTATCTCCAGCGCCGGTGCTAACGAAAGCGTTGTATGACACAATGGAATTGCATCTTGAACTTCTACAATGCCGCCCTCCGCGCAGCTGCCTATCAAAACACCATTGACGCTGTTTGATGGAAACTTCGCGGCGTGCGCAAGCACTTTTAAGAGAGCTCCTTGGTCTACTGTACACGCCACCATAATGGCTTGAGCTAGAGCGGTCTCACGGTCAGGAAATGGAGAAGGGCGCAGCTAGCACAGGTCCGATTACAAGGGCGTTTGTGCAGATCAAACCAAATAGCGAATACGGTAAGCCAAGTACTTACATTCACCAGAGCGCACATAGGTATTACCCATGCCACTAACTGCCAGTTCGTACCAGACCAAAACATTGCCGTACACGCTAACCATGCCATCTGCAAAAGGTCCACACAAACATATATTACGGTTGATCACTCTGCGCACTGTTTAATCTATCGTCCAACGTCTCCTGCATCGCAAAGGATGGCACCAGCTCCTCCACTCCCCATTACGCCCCCACCCCAGCCGGTGCCCGGTACCTCTCCGCCGCTGCAATCACCTTGAGCCCCTCCCTCTCCCGCCCCTCCGCCAACAACCCGCCCCCACCCCCAACCCCCCCGCCTCCCGCCAGGTCCACGTACATCAGCTGGTACTGCGGGCGGGTGAGGGTGTGCACCCCCCGCCGCACCAGCCGCTGCCACTGCCGCCGCTGCACCAGCGCAGCCTCCAGCGCCGCGGAGGGAGCCCCCGGGTCCAACACCAGCAGCGTGGTCACGTAGCCGGCCTGACCGCCGCCGCTGCTGCTGCTGCTGCCGCCTCCAGAGGGGGGGTTGCTGGCGGCGGTGCGCGGCGGGGGCGCCCGGCGGCGCTCGATGCCGATGATGGTACGACTGTGTCCCTCGTGCTGTGTGCACGGCAGGGGGGAACAATAAATAAGTGCAGCAACGGAGTCCCAATCCCAAATCCCGACTCATGCAGTGAGCAAGGTAGGAGGGGAGGGGGGGAAGCGTGTTCGCGCGATGCAATAGTACAGTGCGGTGCAGTGCCTCCATGCGCCGAGAAGCGGTAAGTCGCGTGTTGTACCGTAAGCAGAGCTCTGCACGACACCCACCCACCCACCCACCCACGCAAGCACACCCACACCAGCAGGCTGTCCCCCTACCTGGAAGTACAGCGGCGGCATGCCGGTGAGGGTGACCGGGGAGGACCGCAGCGCCCCCCACTGCTGGGGCGGCTGTCGTACTGGCTCCTCTCCGGCTGCTCCTGCCGTACCGCCACCCCCTGCTGCCGCCCCCGCCCCCGCCCCCGCCGTCCCTCCCCCTGCCCCCCCTGCTCGCCCCTGCCCGCCCCACATGCCCCGGCTGGGCGGGTGCTGCCCCGAGAAGTAGCGCCACACCCACTCCACCAGCGGCTGGTGCAGGTGGGTGGCGGCGGGCGGGGAGGGGGCGCGGGGAGGCGGATGGGAGGAGGGAGGCGGCTGACCCTGCTGCGGCTGCGGCTGCCACCAACCCGCCCCTCCGCCTCTCCCTCTCCCTGCTCCCCTGCCTCTCCCCCCTCCTCCTCCTGCTCCTGTACCTCCTCTCCCTCCGCAAGCACCACCGCTACTTCTCCCACCACCACCACCACCACCACCAGCGGCGGCACTACTCTCCGCAACCGCCTCCGCACCTCCCGCCTCCGCACCTCCCGCCTCAGCGCCCGCCACATCATACCCCAGTGTCACGTACGGCTCCGCCGCCCGCACCCGCGGCCCCCCCGCCGCCCGGCACTGGGAGCACAGGTCGAAGTCGGGCAGTCGGGTGCTGGTGTGGCGGGCGCCGGGCAGCGGGGTGCGGCTGCACAGGTCGCATGCAACCCCCAGGTGCAGCGGGGTGAGGCCGTCGGGGGCCAGCGTGATGCAGCCGGGGGCGGGGGGGGAGGAGGGGGAGGCGCCTGCGGGGTGGGGGAGGAGGTGAGGGCAGGGGGTGAGAGGTGGTGCAGGCAGGGGAGGCAGGCAGAGATGTGGGAATTGCAAACATGCAGCACATCTTAACACACACACCTCCGGGATTGCCCCCCCTCCTTCCCCCCGCAGTCCCCCCACCTTCAAAGTCCACCACCTGCGCCCGCACCCCGAAGCTGCGCAGCAGGGCGGCCGCCTCCGTGGTGCCGATCCACTTGCGGTCGCCCTGAGCGGAGGGGGGGGGAGGGTAGGGGGAAGGGGGAGGGGGAGGGTAGGGTTAGGATGGCATCGGCGGTATCGACACGCACCCCCCCACCCACACACACCTGCATGCGCCCTCTTCCCCCCGCCCCCCACCTGGATGCGCCCCCCCAGGCTCTCGCAGCCCAGCCGGTCGAACCCGCCCTCCCAGGCGCACTCTAGCCAGGCCTGCAGGGAGGCTGCGGGGGGGCAGGGGGGGGGGGTAGGAGGGGAAAGGAAGGGGGCAAACCAGTTGAGCTCCCAACGCACCCCTACCATCGCCACCCGTTCCCCTCCGCTGCAGCCCCCCAGCGCGCAGCTCCCTCTCTCCACCACCACCACACCCCCCTCCTCCCGCCCTCACCAATGTCCGGCACGTATCCCGCTCCGCCGTACAGCGCCTCCCGCAGCTGCTGACCCACGTCCCCGCCCCCGCCCCCTCCCTCCCCGCCCCCCTGTCCTCCTCCTACTCCTGTGCTCCCCCTCCCCGCCCCCCTCCCCCCCGTCATCCCCCTCATCAGCAGTGCCGAGCTGATCATCTGGATGTTGCGCCAGCCGCAGCCCCACCCGCGGTCCGCCCCCGTGGCGCTGAAGTGCAGCAGCGGGCAGCACAGGAGCGCGGTGTATCCGGGGCCTGGGGGGGCAGGAGTGGAAAGGAGTGGGAGGGAGGGTTGGCTCGCTTGTGTCAGTGCTGCTCACCCGGCTCCGCTAGGAGTGCTGCCGCCCCCGCCCCCCGCCCCCCTCCTGGCCCCCCCCACCTGCCGCCCCCTCCAGGCACTCCGCCAGCAGGTGCACCAGGCGGCCCCCCGGCCCCCCCGCAGCCGCAGCAGCAGCAACCCCCCGCAGCCACTGCGGGTCGGGACGCTGCTGCTGCGCCAGCTCCTGAGGGTGGGGGGGTGGGGGGAGCAGGGGGGGGGGGGGGGCAGCAGCGTATGGCAGCGGATGGGCAGCAACCGCAATGTCAGCTATAGTGACACGCGCACGCACGCCTGGTGCCGCTCCCTTCCCTGCTCCTGCCCTCCCACCCGCGCCCCCGCCTCCCACCCCGCCCACCTGCGGCCGAGTGCTGAGACGCTGCGGGGGCTGTGCCGCCGCCCCGCCCCGCCGCTGCGGGCACTCGGAGGACCAGTGGCCCTCGGTGCCGCAGGAGTAGCAGCGGCCGGGGCGCTGGGGGAGGGGTGGGGGCGAGAGAGGTGCGTGAAGGGGGTTCAGTGCTGCTGTTGGGGTGAGGGATGGCAAGAGCACGGCCGTTGGGGTGGGGCAGGGGCAGACGAACAGCGACAAGGCGGGGAACCCAACGGCGCGAAAGGGGACAGGCAGGAGATGTGATGAGGAGGTGGTGGAGGTGGTGTGGGTATCGGTCTGGGTGAACCCAACTGGACCCACGTACGGGGCAACATGGACCAGTGCTACACAAACAGGTGCCAGCTCCCTGATACCCCCCCTCCCTACCCCCCCCTCCACACCCACCTTGTTGCTGAAGCCGTACTTGGCCCTCAGCGCCTCAAAGTCCTGCTCCTCCTGCAGCCGCCGAGCTGCCGCCTCCGCCTCCTCCTCCTCCGCTGCTGCTGCCGCTGTTGTGTCGTACAGGTCGCTGTAGTCGTCCTCGTCATCCAGCCCGGCAGCGGCAGCAGCCTGCGGGGGAGGGGGGGCGCAGCTGGCAGGTGGTTAACGGGCTGCATGCGGGCTGCATGCGTGAGGGAGGGGGGGAGATCGAGGAAAGGTGCGCAGTATGGTGTCGTAGCACAGGGAAGAAGGCAACGGGGTGGAGCGGCGGTGGAGAGAAGGCGGGCGCGCCAGACAGGTGCCCTCCCCATCCATGGCGGCAGCTGGAGGCGGCTGGGGAGCTGGCGCCCCTCGCAACACGGCTGAACGTCAGGGGGGAAGGGAGCTCCGGCAGTCAGGGAGAACCACGTTCCCCTTGCGACCAAACGACCCATGGGACATCCCCTCGCTCGTTCCGACACACCGCGCCTCCCCCAGCAGGAGGACCCGTCCCCCACCTGCAGCCACTCCTCATCCCCTCCGTCAGCAGCCACTCCCCCGCCGCTGTCACCCCCTCCTCCGTCGCCGCTAGTGCGCTTGGCCCCAGCCACCGTCGTCCTCCCTGCTGCCCCCGCCGCCCCTGTTGCTGCCGCCCCCGCCGGCGCTGCTGACGTCAGCTGGTGCGCCAGTTCGTGGCTGTCCAGTTCCGTGAGGGGGATCCACTGACCGCAGCCGTACGGGCAAACTACGGAGGGTACGGCAGCGACAGCAGGGGCGGGGGCACCACCACCTGCTGCTGCTGCTGCTCCACCATCCGCGGTGCTGGCAGCGGCGGGGTTGCCGCGTCTGAGACCAGGAGCGCTGCCGTTATTAGAACCGTTGCGGTTGGTTGGGCCTCCGTTACCGGCTGCGGTGGCGGTGACGGTGGCCGCGGAGGTGGCGCCCCCGCCTGCCCCGCTGGCCGCCCGGCCGCTGCTGCCTCGCGGGGAGGCGGGCGGGGAGATGATCATGACATCGGAGGAGGAGGTGGAAGGGGTGGGCGAGGGAGGCGGCAGGAGGGAAGTGGGGGCGGAGGTCGGGGCGGCGGCAGCGGTGGGCTGCTGCGTGTGATTCCTGTTGACGGCATAGGAAGCGGCGGGGGACAGGGTTTCATCAACTGTGTGGCAGGGTAAGGCAGTTGAACTCATGTATCATGTGTTCATGTCCTAGCACGTAGCTGTTGTAGCATGTAGCAGTAGGAAGGGTGTGTGAAAGCGAGTACACCTTTGCGTGGGAGGTGCGTCCTTTACCCGGAGCAATTGCAGAAACGTTTAAGGCCATTGCATATGGGTGTTGCAGAGATGTCGTGTACCAAGAAGGAAATAAGACGCCTAACCAAACGCTGCCGAATGGGTTTACCTTTGAGGTCTTTGATGCGCTCGCTCGTGAGCATCCAGCCCCGCAAGGGGTACCAGCGTAAAGCAGATGGTACATCGCGCAGCTGAGCTTTCCGGCGCTAGCTGGATGCCTTGCGTCACACCGGGCTCATCAAAATGTGCGTTTACATGAGATTCCAGTAAGCTCAAAGGGATCGGCTTTGCGCAAACCGGACAAGCCCCCGACGCCTGGCTCATATGTAGCACTGCTGCTTCCTATACGAGCATGCCGTATTACCTATATCTCCTGAACACGTTGCACGTAAGGCAGTGAGGAAGCTATGGCCGCGACTGTCTTTGCAAAGTTGGGCGACCGCAGACGTTGAAGTGCTAAAATAAACTAACACAGGTGCCTAAAAGCGATCTCACGAGGAGCACAGCTTGCGGCTAGCAGTGCTAAGGAGTTCGCAAGGCAAGTAGATAGGGCTCGTGACTACAGCACCGCATGCGCAGCAGGGAGGCCGTACAGTACACTTACCTCGCCATGGACGTTTTCGAGTCTTGTGCAGATATATACGTGATAGCGGTTCATTAGAATATCTTTCATCCCACCGTTTGCCATAAGTCATTAGCAACAACGGCTGCAGTGACACCTTTCCTGAGCGCTTCTAAGACTGTTAGGAGCCTAGCAAGCTATATACACGAACATGGACATGGACGTAGCTAACCAGCAGGGCGAGGGACGTCTTCCCATACCCGAGTCGATGTTCGGCCGCGGTTATCCAGCGCAGGCAGCTTCTATCGAGTATGCGCCTGCGCCATCTCTATACCATACAAGAAGAGATGTAAGCGCTTGCTAAGGCTTGAGGTTGCTTGGCATACAAGCTGCGGGCATGGAGGGACATGCCTTACGCCTTTCTTCCTGACCGAGTGTGCTTGCCCCTTTGCAGCCTGGCCTTCCACACCTCTACCACTTTACGGACCAGCAGCAAGACATGCTTGTGGGTCTTAACAGCTACCGACAAGACCTTGAAAAGAAACGTGCTGCAGAAAAGAGAGCCAACATGGGTATCGGCTGCCTTTTGCACAACAGCACTCAGTAATTTGCTAACTCGATTACATGCCGATGAAGAACATTACCCGAGCTGGTAGTGTTTCGACGTTGTTTCGTACCAGGCTTTGGTCGGTTGGTGTAGCTGCCAGTGCTGGGGTCATATGCTAGAGTTGCCATAGCTGTAGATTTACCATGGTTTGTCGCGCCTGGTAAGCATATCCAATATCCTTTCAGCTATTTAGGAGTGCCCAGTGTTGCCCCTTGAGCAACTCACGGGCTGATAAATAGGTCGCCATTACGCTTATCGTCGAGCCCAGTGTTCAAGTAGTGCAATTTCATTTCTACTGCAATGTTGTCTTAGGGAGACAAGGGATAGACGTGGTCGTTGGCCATGGAAGGTTTCCGCGTGGAGGGTCTTTCGGATCTGCTGCTGCTGAGTCGCATTTATAAGGCAAGGTCTTGTTTCAACAGTGGTCGTCATACGCTAAAATAGCTGCTGAAAGGGGGATAGCCGCTTGTAACATATGCCGTCGTCGTGGCACCCGCTTGCACAGGTGTCCGCAACCCTCAACGCCGCGGCCAAGCTAGACGTCTTTACTGTACTCAGCCAGTACCCAGAAGGTGCATCCAGATCCCGTCTGCACTAGTACGGACAACGCGTATGCGTTATCGACTGTTGTCCATGCACGACCACACCCGCAACATCCCCAACCCATTACACGGCAATGCCTCGTTCGCCAGCCCCTGCTCCAGCAGTCCCAACTCCGCCAATCCTGGCCGTTGCAAGCCCGGCAGTACCTTCCTGTACTGCCTTACCGATGACGCATGGACGCCTATGCCGTGCCCATGCATATCAGCTTCTAATACCCAGCGGGTAACAATTGGCCCCAAACGCTGGGGCTGCCACTACCGCGCGGCGCGCGCAATCGACAACGCCACCAATTTGCATGCCAGTCAGCTTGCATCCTTTTAACCCCAACAGGCCCTATTTAGAAGCATTGCTGTCAAAGCCCCGGAAAGACTCAGCATGTGACCCATGGGTCCGTTCTTCCCCCACGCGCCCTACTACCGTGCGCCTGCTGCTGCCACACTGTGACACAGGCGCCTCGCTACAGCAGCTGGTGTCCGCACTGGGTTTGTGCGCCGACCCACGGTTCCGCGGCGCCGCTGACTTCCTGGACCTGCTGGTGTCGGCGGGCTGCCTGGAGCGACAGGGTGGGGGGGTGGGGGGGGAGGGGGTAAGAATAAGGAAAGCTGACGAACTGCAGGGGAGAGGGGTGCTGGGGCTGAGCTGGGGTGAGCGGCTGCGGAAACGTCGTCGCACGACAAGCTGGCGAGGTAATGTGGACCAGCTGGCGGCGGCAACTCTCCTCCAAGCAGCACCCCTCATCCTCACCTTGCATCAACCACTTGGACGCGCACCTGTTCCACGCTGCCTGAACCATGCGCGCATATCCCACCCAATCCACTTTCCCCTCTGGCCCCGCCTCTGGACCAAGGCGAGGGTGCGGAGGCGCGCTATCGCAACTCCCCGGTCTCGGAGCGGCACCTGGTGCGGGGCAGGCCGCAGTACTCGGGTAGGGGGGGCGGTGGGTGGGGTGGGGTAGCATGGGGTGTTGCATCACGTACGCGGTGTGTGGCGGCGGGTGTGTGTGTGTGTGTGGTGTCTGGGGCCGGGTGCCACCCGCACACCGCCCCCCACCCCCACCCACCCCCCCACCCACCAGCCCAGGGCGCTCTCAACGCCCAGCTGCACACCGCTGTGCCTCCTACACGCCCCAGCGCGGCTCTGTTCGCCAACCTGGGCTGCAGGTGCCGCCTGGTACCGGTGCTGCGGGCCAACCGCTTGCAAGGCCCCACCACCGGCCCCACTGCCGGCACCGGTGACGGCTGGTTCCCCCTCCCGTTTGCCGCCTGCTCCCTCCGCCCTGCCCCCCTCCCCTCCCTGCCCCGCGGTCCCCCTGCTCCTCCCTCAGGCGGTATCCTGTGCCTCAACTCGGACCGCTCGTTCCCCATGTTCTGCCATCTGAGCCATGCACTGCGGCATGGGGAGATGCCGCCGGGTGAGGGGGTGGGGGTTGGGGGTTGGGGGCCAGCGGGGGGGAGAGGGTTGCCAGGGGGGTGGAACTGTTCAAACGAGAGGTAGTCCTTAGTAGCGCAGTTCGGTTGCTATTAAGGGATAGGATGGGGATTGGCGGACATGCCGAGGCGGACATGCCGAGGCGGACATGCCGTACAGCGTTGATGCGATTTTCGTGCCCACGTCCTTGAACAGGCGGGAGGTAGCAGAGCAGGATGCCTGTCTCTGTCCCTCCTACCCTCCTACCCTCCTACCCTCCTACCCTCCTACCCTCCTACCCTCCTACCCTCCTACCCTCCTACCCTCCTACCCTCCCTCCCTTCTCGCCCCCCAAGCAGAAGCCTTCCGCGCTCTCCCGCACATCCACACCATCTTCGGGTCCGACGTGGCGGCTGCGGAGGGCTTTGCGGAGGGCATGACGGGAGCCAGCCTGGGTGGGGGTGGGGGTGGGAGTGGGGGTGGGGGTGGGGGAGGGTGGGGTGCGGGGTGGGGACAGCTGATTCCGGAGACCGTGTGGGGCCTTCCTGGTGCGGTAGTGGCAACGGTGCACCCAGCCTGCAACATTTCCACACTAGCGAGCCACCCCTGCGCCGCCCCCAGCGGACTCCAGTAGACACATGCGTACGTCCACTGCATGCGTACGTGCATGGCCGCAGGCAACTTCCAGTTGCTGGCGCAGCGCTTCCCCTTCACTCGCTTCCGCAGCCTGGGCGACCTGGGCGGCTCCGTGGGCTGCCTGGCGTGCTGCGTTGTACGGCAGCACCCCCACATGCAGGCCGTGTCGTACGACCTGCCTGCCGTACATGCGGCCGCGGAGCGCTACGTGCGGGGTCAGGAGGGGTGCGAGGGAAGGGTGGAGGTAGGAAGCAGGGGGCAGGGGGCTGAGGGGGGCGTGGTCGCTAGCGGTGGTTGGTGGTTTCACATGCAGAGGTAGTGGAGTGGTAGGATGCAAGCAGAAGGGCCGCGATTAGGAAAGGGGAATGGAAGTAGGGTTTTAGGGTTTTGTAGATAGGAGAGCCTCTCAGAGCCTGTCAGCCCATTGCAAGGATTGCTAGGCTCCTCGCAGCCGCTTTCCATCAGCTGTGTGCCCATCCCGTCAACCCCTTACCTGACCAACCAGCCACGTGGTTCCTCCCCCCCCCCCCAACATACACAGATCCAAGATTACGACTTCTTCTCCGCCGATCCGGTGCCCGGCGGCGGGTGTCACGACGTGTTGTCGTACGGCATGGTGCTCCACGACTGGGGGCTGGAGCGGAAGCTGGGGCTCATGCGCAAGGTCTGTGTGTGGGGGTGCTGGGTGGGGGCCGGGAACACGGTTCTGCTGGGAGAGAAGTCAGGGCAAACGTGCAATTGTTAGGGAGGGAGTGCACATCAGGCTCGCCAGATTTTGGAATATATATGTTGAACAATATCGCGCTAGGTCGCCTCCCCACTCTCGGGCCGGCCGCCGACTCCCCCTCCTCCCCGCTGCCTCCCCTCCCCCCTGCCCCCCACGCCCCCCCCTCAGGCCCACGCCGCGCTGCCCCCCGGCGGCGCCCTGATCGCGATCGACCACCTGGTTGACGACTCGCGGGCGCACAGCGCGCTGCAGCTGGGCATGAGCCTCAACATGCTGCTGGAGTTCGGGCGGGAAAACGCATTCGACTACTCGTTCAAGGTGCGGTGAACGATACATGGTACGGCAAGTTGGGTGATGCACGGCGCGGTACGGCATGTGGGGTGCAGTAGTGCTGTGAGACGTGTGGGCGGGCTGGGGGGTGTCCGCTGTTGCTACGGTGCGTACAAAGGGGAGCGAGGAGTGCACGGCTTTCGTCGTTTCTCTGGTTGGATGCTACCGGTATGCTGGGTAGGGGTAACATGTTGGGCGATTGCTTGTTTGCATGTGTGTTGCCAGTCGTCAGGCCGCCCTGGCTTTGATGAGAGGGAGCTAACTAACTGGAAGTCCGGAACATGTGCTATGGCTGCGGCACCCTCTGCCCTTCACGTGTGCGCCCGCCCGCCCACGCACCCCGCAGCCTCGTCATACATCGTTACTTCCCTCCTTTTGCCCCCCCCCCTCGCAGGAGTTCCAGCAGTGGGCCGCCCAGGTGGGCTTCACCTCCACGCAGCTCATACCGCTGCTGGGGACCGCACAGGCCGCAGTGGCGTACAAGTAGAGGCTGCTGCTGTTGCTGCTGCCGTAGAGACAGGTGCCGTACCGCTGGCGACAACATGAGCCGTACAACGCGTCTGTGGCTGCCACAGGAGAGGGTGCATCCAGCCTGGCTGCGCGGTTTCGTCTTGGTAGTTCCTTGTTACCACCACTCCGCAGCATTACCGCGTGTGGATGAGGAAGCACTTGAGGCAGTGGGTTGGGTGAGCCCCGTGTAAATAGAGAAACAGGTTGGCACACCCAGATATCCGAAGACGCAAGATGACAGTTACACAAATGGGCCGGCGGCAGGGGTACGGTAAACAAGGTATCCCTGCGCACGCAGCGGGATCTCGCATCGTACGGTGCTTCCTCCACTGCACCACGGCAGGGAAGTATCCGCTCACGCTCCTCACTACTCCGACCCCCGGGCACCCATGTTGCAGTGAAAGGTCCCTGGCATGCATCGTCAGAACCGTTAGGCACAACAGACTGACGTGTCCAAGCAGCCCCAGCACCCAACCAGCCACAGCCCAGCAGTCATGGATGCTTGCCCCGCAAGGGTGGGGGGGGACACCTGCCTATACACAGCTCGAGAGGGAACACCCACAGCACGCAGCATGAGGTGACCCACGACGCACTCCTGCGCCGTACACCGCTAGGACCCCGTACACCGCATGCAGCCAGGTGGTGACACAGCGCCCAGCCAGGTGGTGACACAGCCCGCAGTACTGCTGCATGTGCATCCTAATACCAAATAGAGCCCGAGTCACAGCGAGTATGCCCCCGCTGAACGAGTTAGCCCTAGTCGTCCCTATCCACCAGTCCTTGTTTAGGGTTGTTTAGGTTCAACAGGCTCGCGCCCTTCCTCCTAAATTAGGTCTCGAGGCATGCTTGGGACGGGCACCTACCCAAGCCCCGGTGCAATGCCAACTGGAGAGGCCCACTACTGCAACACAACAGCTCTTCGGCCAGCAACCCTGCCGCCCGCAGCCCCTCCGTCGCCCGCCCTTGCCTACACCCTCCAGCTGCTCAGACCCTCCATAACGCAAACCGCCTCACAGCTGCTCCAGCGCAGTCCACCTAAGCAGTCCGCACCACACTCCCAGCACCAGCCCGCTGCCCCTCCTGCCTCCCAGGCCCCTCCAGCTGCCAGCTCTGGACACGTCCACCCACACACGCGCCCGCTCACGTGAGGTTCATGCCGCGAGCGCTCAGCGCCCGGCAGCAGAACGTCTCCTTCTCCGCCGCCGCCCCGCCCGGCCGGCTGCTGCTGAAGATGGATGCGTACACCTCCTTGGATGCGCCCTCCGGCACCTTGAGCCGCTTGGCTGCTGCGGCCCCGGCCCCGGTTGCTCCTGCGGCGCCGCCATTGGCAGGAGGTGGGGAGGCGCTGCGGCGGGACGCGATTGCGGTGCCGTTGGCGGGGGCGGCCAGCGCGGCGGCGGCGGCAGCGGAGCGCTTCTTGTCCTTCTTCGCGGCGGCCTTCTCTGCCAGCCGCGCGGCGACACGCGCACGCAGCTGCTCCAGCTGCTCGCCTGCAGTGGAGCGGGTTGGAGTGGGAGTAAGGCAAAGCAGTGCTGCAGACGGTCTACACAAGATGTAAACAAATGCCTTACAATCTACGCTTACAGGCTAAGGAACGGTCACGATTAGGATTAGAAACTGCTCCCATGTCACATCGTTCTCTCCTTCTAAACGTGTAGTGGGCTCCACAGGGTTCCCTCCTAGCTCCCTAGGTTATCGACCCATGGGACATACTGTCAACAGCGGCCGCCCCTCCCTACCATTTGGGTTGACAGGAATGGTTTCCAGCTCCTTCAGCTTGCCGCCTACCAGCTCCTCCACAACGGCCGGCACCTCCTTCAGCGCTTTCTCGCTGACCACATGGCCGCTGGGCCTCAGCACGACAAACTTGTAGCGGCCGTTGAACGCCACGCCAGTTACCGGGCAGCTGAACTCCGAATCGTTGGTGAGCTGGAAGGCCGACTGCGAAGCGGCCTTCCCGTTGTTGGCGGCAGGCGCAGAGTTGGAACGATGCAGCTTCAGCTCGGTGACCGCGCGCAACCCCGTGACATGGGAAAGCGCCGGAGGCAGACTCTTATCCAGCAGCCGCTGAATTAGGGCGTCTTTGTTGTATAGGTTTCCTAGGTCGTCTACCACGCACGGCGGGGTTAGAGGCTCGCCAGACAGATGGCAGCGGGTCCATTTGGCCAGTCGCTCCTCCTCAGGGTTGACCTTATCGGCCTTTTTGCCGAGGTACATCTCCAGGTAACATGAGCGGGATTCTGCGCCCGTAGAACCGCCATCGCCACCGCCGCCGCGCAGGCGGTAGCTGAGCTGCAACGTTGCGCATGGCTCCAGGCCGCAGATGTCGCCAAGCAGCCGCTCATCGGGAAGAGACACGCCGCCGTGCTGCAAACGCTGTAATTCGGGAAAGCAACAGTCCGTCGGCACGGATCATGCCTAGTATGGGCAACAGGAAGGGGTTTCTAACGTCCTAAACGCCTTTGCTCACCATGTAGCGGCATGGACCCAGCTGCACGCTCCGTGCGCATAGCCGGCCCTTAAGATCTCCCACAGTATCCGATGGTGACCAGTCCACAGCCAAGGTTCCCACAGGGAGGCCACACCGAACGAAAAGCTGCATATCTGCACCGATATGTTTAGTGCGCTTACTCAATAAGTGTAGTGCTATAGCCAGTCGGTTCGCCTACAAATTCCTCTTAAGTGGACGCAAGAAGGGAAGGAGTCAAGGCTCAAGGGTATGGCAGCGGTGTGGATATCGGTTAGAATTGACTGCAGGTGCTTCGGCCTACAACGTTTGCTATACGTATGTGCGCAAAAAGCTTTATTCCAACCAACCAACGTAGCTCAGGGACATGTGAGTACGGCAAACGTTGGTTTCCTGACGTTGCCACATAGAAAAGCCAAGGGCTTCAGATGCTCGATGTTAAGTGGGAACCACATGCAACATCTCCTAGAAAGCGTACTTACGAAAGGTCGCAATCAACACGATGACGTATCACGACCCAGGGTGAGAAGCGTTTTCGCACTAGGATGGCCTTGTCTTAAAAAACTTAACCAATCGTAATAGAGGTCTGATGAGGCTCGAACGTCTAGCCTTCTGCAGTCGGCGGCCTGACATGTGCCAGGAGGATTCGACGCCTAACCCTTATGGTTGTTTGGCCCGCAGGGTCCCATATTCCACACTTGGTTCAAGTATCTACGCAAATAGGAAGAATCCCCCTTCGACCTCCTTTGGGAAACCTAAACAGGTCAGTGCCATGTCGTTCGGATAGATTTGTGAGAAGCTTCGCCCTTCACCTGCCCGAGTTGAGCACAAGGCGGGTTGACATCATCGCTATCACCTCTCCCTCCTTGCTTACACTACAACTAAACGCGTCCGATTTCACAATCCTCCTCGACTGCAGCGCCAAGGTAAAGAGCCGCTATTCAAGGACCCAGGGCCAGGACCCGGCGCGTACCATCCGGAAGTGGGCATTCCCCACCTCGCAGGTAACCCCTTGAGTCGGCAAGTCTATACCAGCGGACTACTGTGCAACATAACACACTTGTAAACGCACCACTGCTTCTGGGGTCCGGGCACGCTAATTAAAACCGCACTCCTCCTTGCACGCAGGCCGGGGGGTAACCCCCACCCACCACGCCAACACCAAGTGGGCTGCGGACACCACCGGGCGCACCAACCTGGGCCTACCGCCGCACAAGGACGTAGGTAAGCTGGCCCGCGCATGCAGCACAATTACCCTTGCAGTGAAGTATTCCTGTCCATTGTGGAATCGTACTTCACGTACGACAACCGTGCATCCCCCTACCGCCCCGACACCTCCAACACCACTTCACCCGTGATGTGCCGCTGCCATGGCTGGAGGCAACTGGCCCCTCACCCCACCCCACCTCACACCACGGTCAGTTAGTTGTTTCCTCTACCCCTCCCGGGGACTACACCGGTACCACCGCTGCCGCCGCCATTCCGCCAGTAGTCGGCTGTTGGGGGCGCCCCTTCCACCTCCGCGACCCCCTCCCCCCCCCCCCTCCTCCCCTCTTCCCTCCCACCCCTAGTACCCCCCGGCCCCGGGCTGTACCTGCGCTCCCGCAGCGCCGTCAACCTCACCGGCTGCCCGCAGCAGCTCACCTCCTGGCGCAACGCGGCGGCGGCGGGATGGCAGAACTACAGCGCCAGGTGGGGCAGGAGGGGAAATAAGGAAAACTGGTGGGGCGGGGGGGGGGGGGGGGGGACGGGGGGGTGGTGGGTCAGGTGGGGGGGAGGGGGTCCGGCGGCTGCATGCGTGCCGGGCGGGGCCGCTGCCGGCTGCCGGTCAGACGTGCTCTATGCGCGGGCTTCCAGCTGTGACTGCCAGCCGCCGGGGAACACACGTGGTAACACTACCTGCCCTCTCTACCCTCCTCCCCCACCTCCCCCCCTTCTCCCGCCTCCCCCCCTCCACAAACACACACGCACACACAGGGAGTGCCAGACCCCCGTGATCCTGTCCAAGGAGCACGAGCGCATCCGGTACGGCACCCACTCGCCCGGCCCCATGACTGCCGTACCGGAGCACTCGGTGGGCCGGCAGCTCACCTCGCAGCGCATCACGCAGCCCAGGTGGGGGTGAGGGGGAGGGAGGGGGGGCAGGGGCTGGGGGGTGGGGGTGGGGGGCGGCTAGGAGGCTGGTGTGCGGTAAGAGGGGCCAGTGCGCGTACGTACCCGCCTGCCTACCCGCCTGCACACTGCCAGCCTGCCTGCCCCGATGTTCCGCAATGAACCTCCTTGCGAACCGAGCCGCCCAACCCCCAACCCACCCACCACGCGCAGGTGCGCCTTTGCCCGCTCGGCTCGCTTCTCAACTGCGGAGCTGCGCATGTCTGGCGCGGTGCCGGGGCCGGGGGCCTACAACTACTGACACGTGTCAGCTTGTGGAGGGGCTCGGGTGTGAGTAAGGAATTGCAACCATTGCCCGACCCCCACATCCTTGCGTCAGTGCCCCGCTGCCAACCCCAGCTGAGCGGCCGCACGGGGGAAGGGGCGCTCCCAGCTGGGGTCCACCCGCCAGGGGACGGGGTAAGGCGCACGGCGGGGTGGGGGGGCGCAGCCGGGGGTTCTCCGTTGTGCAGCGGCCGGCGGGGAACAGAGGGCACTTGCGGAAGAGGAGGCGTGGCGTTGGAGGAGCGGGCGCTGGCAGTGCAGCGATGCGTCAAAGGGGATGAGGAGGTGGATGGGGGGCGGGCGGAAGCGGAAGAGAGGCGGTGTTTTATGGGTTCATTCTTAACCTTGAATCCTTGCGCCGTGGGGATTTCCTTTTCTCTATGTTGTGTGAGCACTATGGTTGCAGCAGTACTTGGGGTATCCAATTTGTACTCGATGGCAGGTGGGGCCCACTGCCTTTTGATATCCTCGTACAACGGTGTGATGCGCATTCCTTGCTGCAAAGAGACATGGGACTGCTCAGGCCAGACCTTTACGGAATTGACATACCCTTGAGTTTATACTTGAGCATCACTGGGGCTTAGGCAGTTTAGCGAAGCATAGGAAGCGTAGGGTAGCTTTGACAGTTGGTTGCTGCTGCATGCATGTTGCTAAGCGTGTTGGTGGCGGGGTAGGTGTGCGGCTGTGAAGGGTACATCACTGGATAGCAGGTTAACGAGGGGGGTGCAACTTGCGACAATGTGTGACATGTCCGTTATCGAGTTGTATTTGCTGCATAGCATTTGCGTAGATAGCTGGAGTGGTAGGGGGGCAGGCACTGAAAACGATAGCGTCCACCCCTATGAAAGGAGCAGGTAGGAGTCTGTTGGGAGAGAGGGTAGGCAACCAAGAGCTTTCGCGGGTGGTGCGGTATGCGGGGTGTCGCCTTGGTTGCTGCCTAAGCAACCAGAGTTGGCAGCAGCAAACATGTGGCAAGCCGGGAGACTGCGCACCGGGACGTCCCTACTCGCGACCAGCTTCCGTGCCACAGACGTGCGTGCAGAGCACACGGCTCCCATTGCAAAGTTGTCCGCACGTCTCAGTGGGCAGTGCGCAGTGGGGGGGGGGTACAGCGTAACTTTGTAACCATCGTGACATTTGAGCCACTACTACCGGTAAGGCTCGCACCGTCCTGCAGCGTGCAAGCAGGGAAGCAGCCCTCCCCCTCCTCCTCGATATCACCTCCCTTGGCCCGCTCGTCCGGGGCCCACCCACCGGCTGCTACCCGTTACCAGCTCTTCCAACCAACCAACCGGAGAGCCGCGCATCAAGCACCTACCCACTAGCGCCCAGCTGGCCACTGCTCCCACCCCACCCCATCCCACCCCACCCCGCCCGTTCTCGTATCCGCTCACAAGCCAGGTCCACCCCGCACCTCTCAGCACGCATCCGCATGCGCCACTCCCGGAACCACCCCTCTCTCCTCCACGCACTCTCTCCTTCAAGCCGCCCCTTCCCAGCCTCAACCCTCACGCCCGCCTCCCCCTCATCCCTTGAGCGCCGCATGCCCCGTGTCCGCGATGTGTTTAAACAGCTGGTTGCGGCTGGGGAACAGCTGCCCGCACACCACACACAGCAGCTGGCCAGGCCCCGGGGCGCTGGCAGCCGCCTTGCGCGCCGCCAGCTTCTGTTTGCGTTTGTCGCGCTTAGAGAGCTGCGGGCCATCGCTGTCGTCACCGGAGACGTCATCGTCAACTGCCCCCTCTTGTTGCTGCGGCTGCTGCTTTTGACGTTGCTGCTGTTGCTTTTGTTGCGCCTTTGCCGGCTGCTGCTGTTGTTGTTGCGGCCGCCCTTGTTGTTGTTGATGTTGTTGTTGTTGTCGGTGCTGCTGTTGCTGCTGTGGTTTGGATGTGGACGGCCGTGCGGCGGCTGTCCGCGCTCCCGCACGCTCCTCCTCCTCCTCGTCCTCCTCCTCCTCGTCCTCCTCGCTTGCGGCTGCGGCTCTCCCACTGCTTCCCGCCACTCCTTTCCCCGCCCCGCCACCCCTCCCGCCGCCCCCCGCTGACCGCTGCGAACGCATCATCCTCGCGAGCAGCGCCTCCTCATCCTCATCCTTCTCGTCATCCTCCTCATCCCCCTCCTCCTCGTCGCCCGCCTCCTCCTCGTCTCCCTCCTCACCACTACCATCTTGCCGAGCTGAGACCGCCGAACCCAAGCCATCCGCTTCGCCCTCCTCCTCCTCCCCCTCCTCCTCCTCCTCCTCGTCCGCAGCCCTAGCAGCAGCGGCGGGGCCCTTCTTAGAGCCGCCACCATTGCGCACGCGCGCGTGTGAAGCCATCATACGAGCAAGCATGGCGTCCTCATCCTCCTCCTCTTCCTCCTCCTCTAGGTCCTCCTCCTCTTCCTGCTCCTGCTCCTCGCGAGCTGGCGGCTTGCGGGCAGACGCCGCCGCGGCCTTGGGAGCCGCCTGGCGCTGCTGCGGCTGCTGCTGCTGCTTGTGTCGTCGCTGCTGCGGCTCCTCCTCCTCCACCTCTTGGTCCTCCTCCTCCCCGTCCTCATTCTCCTCATCCCTGGATGGGAACGCCGGCGGGGCCCCCTTCTGCGCCCTGTGTGGGGGTGGGAGGTGGGGCGGGGCGGGGGGTGACGCACGCAGGGGGACAGCCCCAGGAGCCGGGGGGTGGCGTCGCAGCAGCTCGATCGGCACCCGGGGCACGCAGGGGGGGGGGCAGAGCAGTGCAGCAGCGGAGCAGCAGCCAGCGAGCTGCGAGGTGCAGAGGGCACACCAGGGTGGGCTCCGAGGCGCACCAGGAGGAACCCACCCACCCACCCCTCCTAACCCCCACCACCCGTCCACAACCCTCTACCCCTCTCGCCCGCACCTCTTCTTAGCCTTCTTCTTCTGCTTCTTGCTGCCGCCTCCACCTCCTCCTCCACCTCCACCCTCGTTGCGCCCTGCAGGGGGGCCTGCCGCCCCCGCCCCCGCACCCCCTCCCAGCACCTCCTCCGCCGCCTCCTCCTCCTCCTCTAGCAGTGCCCGCAGCGCCGCTAGCGCCTCCTGGTGCTTCTTGGACCTGCGGGGCAGAGGTGGGGGACAAGATGCGGGGGGAGGGTCAAAGACCATACCATACCATAGCATAGGAAACCACGGGGGGGGGGCCAGGAGGGAAGGGCAGGAACGAAGGGGCGGAGGGAGGGAGCGGGCATGCTAGGATGCGGTAGGTGGGGCACGGAAACCGGGAGGGAGGGTGCAATCAAGTGGTGTGCAGCGGCACCGCCACACCCCGGCGCTGGTGCCATGACCCCCCTCCCCCCCCCACCCCCCACCAGCAGCAGCAGCAGGTGCGAAGGGAGTTTGCAGCGGCGGTCCCCCTCCCGGGTGCCAGACAGGCACCAGCTTGGACTGCCCCAGTGCCCTCTGCTACCGGTACGTACACACCACCAGTGCGCTACCAGTGCCCCCTGCACCTGCCCCGGCGAACGACGCATGGCTGACTGCAAGCGACGCCATCACACTTCCCGCACCAGCCCCGCCCCGGTCACGCATAGCAGCAGACTACGGCAAAACGCCTGCTCGCCTGCCCACGTGCCCATGCACCCCCGCCCCTGCGTGCCGCCTCCTTCACGCCCCCTCCCCCCCCTCACCAGCGCCCCTCACCTCTCATGGTTCCTCAGCTGCTTCTCGCTCCGAAACACCTTGTCACACACCACACACTCGTGCAGCTCCACCTCCTCCTCCTCGCCGCCGCTGCCCCCCTCGCTGCCGCCCTCACCACCGGGCTGCTCGCTGCTGCGGATCCAGTCGGCATCCTCGTATTGCGCCTGGAGGGGGAGGGAGGGGAGGGAGGGAGGGGGCAGCAGGGCAGGGAGGGGCGGTGAGGCCCTGCAAGACCAAAGCTGCTGTCTTATCTTCCATACACTCACTGTACCGCACACCACAGCACAGCATAGCGTCGAAGAGCACACCAGACAGCACCGCTGCACCACACAGCATACCGGCACAGCACAGCATCACACATCACCGCACAGCATACCGCAGCACAGCGCTGCACAGCACACCACCGCACCGCATAGCATACCGCAGCACACCACCGCACCGCACAGCATACCGCAGCACATCGCAGCACAGCATCGCACATCGCCGCACCGCACAGCACACCGCAGCACAGCATCGCACATCGCCGCACCGCACAGCACAGCACCGCACAGCACAGCATCGCACTGCACAGCATACCGCAGCACAGCATCGCACCGCACCGCACAGCCTTGCACATCGCCGCACCGCACAGCACAGCACACTGCAGCACAGCACACCGCCGCACCGCACAGCATACCGCAGCACAGCGCAGCACAGCATCGCACATCGCCGCACAGCATAGCCCCAGCACAGCACTGCAGTGCATAGCACAGCACCACACAGCACCACACAGTACAGCCCCAGCACCGCACAGCACTGCACGGGGCAACATGCAGTAGTGGGATAGGCTGTGTGCGTGTAGGCTTGGACTCAACGGCCCCACCTCTCACCCACCCTTGCACTCATCCACCTACCCGCCCCTGTACCCCTGTCGTCCTCTACTCCTTAAACACGCTCTCAACATACACCTCCCACCCACCACATCCTCCCCGCCCCTCCCCACCATCACCCCCGCCCTCCCTGCCCCCACACGGATCAGCTGGACACTCCGTTAATGCATTTATCTATACTTTTCCTCCCCTCCCCCCCCACCCCCCTCTCACCGCCCGCGCCATCCTCTCCTCCCGCTCCCTCTTCCTCCTCTCCGCATCCTCCGCCTCCCTCGCCGCCCGCCTCGCCGCCTCCTCCGCCGCCGCCCGCACCACCCGCTTGTCGCGCTTCTTAACAAACGCCACCAGCTCCCGCACTGTGTCGATCCACTCGCGGCGGGCGGTGCGGCGGGCCTTGCGGTTCTCCTCCTCCATGCGCCGGCGGACCTGCCTGTGGGGGTGGGGGTTAATAGGGATGAAGATTGGGGTGGGGTGGGGAGGGAGTGCAGGGGGAGGGGGAGGTGGGTAGTAGGGGGTGGGTGGGTGTAGGGGTAACAGGGTTATGGAGGCGTGCGGGGAGGTCACTGAATGTTTGGAGTGGCTATATCCCAAGCAAAGCCGCACGCACCATTAGCCTCACCGCTTGTTGTAAATAGCCCGTACTTCAACCCTTGGTCGCCCACCCCGCCCCTTCACCACAGCCCCACCCCACACCCCCTCCCCTCACAGCCTCGTCATACAGCTCGTTAATTCCCCTTTTCCCCCTCCGCACCCCACCCCACCCCCGCACCACCCCGCACACCCCCACCCCGCCCCCCACCTGTTGGGTGCCGCAGCGGGGTTGTAGATGTCGGCCCATGCGAACGTACGACAGGTGGTGTAGCAGCTCCAGTGCGCGTAGAAGGAGTTGACAGCGGGGGCGTCGGATTGCGAGGTGCCGAAGGGGGGGAAGCTGGGGGCGGAGGAGGAGCGGCCGCCACCACCGCCACCGCCCTCCTCGTCGCTGTCATCGGCTGTGTTGGGAGGGGGCAATTGGTGTTGGGAGGGATGCAGTACCACCGGTATGTGCGGAAGGGCTGTGCAGGAGCAAGCAGGACGCTTAGAGGGTGTTGTTAGCCCAACATGCGCTCATTCCGTTACCACCCCCTTTTCCTCGCAGCTCAGCAGTCCTGCTGGTCAACGCGCCCCACTGCTCCTCAGCTGCCCAGGTGCGACCCGCCGACCCGGGGGTCAGCGCCCACCCCCCCACGCACCCGCGTCCCGCTGCTCCCACGCCTCCTGCTCCTGCTTCGCCAGCTTGGCGAATACGGTTTCGTACACGCCGTAGAAACCCTGTCGTACGCAGTACGTACCGTACAGGCGTCGGTTACGTTTCCGTCGCACACTGGATAGGAGTACGCCTAAGATTGCAAGATGATACGGTAATCCACATGCAAGGACTGCAAGAGGACAGCAACAAGCCCTCATGCCCATGTTGCCGTACGCACAAGTACACCTACACCGTACACCGCCGTACCTTGGGTCCGTCTCCGTAGCCCGAGTAGCAGCTGCTGCTGAAGTAGGTGAAGATCTCCTCGAACTCGGGCGGCTTGCCCCCTCCGCCCTCGAAGCCGCCCGCTCCGCCGCCCCCGCCCGCCTGGTGCCGCTCGCCGCTGCGCAGGATCTGATCCCGGTGGTCGTCGTACCTGGGGGGGGATGCGTGAAAACCCATGCCAAACTATAGGTAACAACAGGTTAGGGCAAAGCAATAGGAGGAGCAGGGTGGGGATGCGGTCTGGTCGGAAGTGTTTCATTGAGGGCCGGTGAACCTCTTTATGGCGCATGCCGAGTGTGCAGTTGGGGACCTGGCGTGGGTACCAAGCAGCTGTTGGGCACCAGAGGGGTGCAGGTGGCGGCAGTTGGGGGCAGTTGGGTAAATGGGAATACCAACGACCTCCTGAGATGATGAGTACGGCGTAAGGAAGGCACAGCGCCCATCCACAAGGCGAGCAGTTGTTAGGTGGCAGCGAAAAGGTTCCACCACCGCGCATCCAGGGGGGGCCATGACAACGCCGGCAACAACAGCTAACGGAGCTAACTGCTAGGAACGGCTGCGGCTGCGGCTGCCAACCGACTAACCGCCCGCCGTACCATGCTCGCTCGTGCTTGTCGCTCAGGATCTCGTAGGCGTTCTGGATCTCCTTGAACCGCTCCGCCGCCTCCTCCGCGCGGTGGGCGTTCTTATCTGCCGGACGGCGGAGGGAGAGGGGGAGGAGGAGGGGGGGGGCAGGTGAGTCGGAGGGGGCGACAAGAGGTGATGCAGTACGAGCACGCGATGCAGAGCTCTTCCTGAAGCGCTAGGGCTTCAGAGGGGTGTTGGACGGCATGTGACAGCTACCCTGGGGTCCGGTACGGAGGACGTCCACAGGGCCATCCTTCGAGGCTGCAATGGATTCGGGCACATGGGCCTACGTTCCAGCCCTCCAGGTTCCTTCGCTCAGGCCGGCCGGCCAGCCGCCCCCTCCACAGCTGCACCTCGGGGGGCTCGTACCCAGGCAGCTACTATCCTTTCCAAACATAGCGGCACTCCTAGTCAGCTTCGCTCCCACACCTAGCTTTGGTGCCGTGTTGCGAGTCCTGCTGACTGGGGGCTGGGCCGACTGCCCTCCCTGCCTCCCCAAGGTAAGCCATGCGAGAGAAGGAAGACCCCGCCCAGTCAAACCCGCAAAGTATACACCCGGGCGATTCCTAAGCTCCCCACCCCATTGGTCTTCCCCACACTCCTGGACACCCGGCTCCCACTCCTGCCGCAACTTCCCATCGAAACACGGCCTGGAATTAGAGATGCAGCCCACGCAGGGTTGCCCTCCGCTCACCTGGATGCCATAGCAGGGCCTGCTTGCGGTAAGCCTTTTTGATGACATCCTCCTCGGCGTCTCGCGGCACATCCAGGACCTCATAGAGGCATCGCTGCTTTTGCGCAGCCGGTGCCATACCGCCGTCCAGCGGCTCCCGCCGCCTTCAGGGCTTAATTAATTCTTCGTATATACGGTGTAACAGTGCAAGCGACCGATGAAGCAAGCAAGGTGCAAAATCAGTTGGGAGGCAACACCGAGCTGTGCCGATTGAAAGAGCCTGTGTTGCAAACAGCGTGATAAAAGCACCAAGTTATAAATAGAACGTCGTTATCAAACTCTTTAATAATTTCTTGTGAATATTCATCCGAGTCCCAACCTTCAGTGTACGAGGCAAACACGCTTTCATAGCAGTGATGCGTTCTGGTTCTCCATATACATTGCTAACTTCATGCTCACAAATGCGTTCGTTAATTAGTCGCTGAAGTCTTGAATATGCATTCGGCGTAGTAAAGTGTCGTTCGTCATCGATGGTGCTTGGTGAAAGCTGCGTGATATCCGCGCGCTGGACATTAGACAGCAATACGTAGGATTTTCCAGCCTGATGACCCACAAAGGCTGGCGTGTGGAGATAGCCCTGGTGCTTCTATTGGCTCTGGCTTTTGCTCCCCACAAGTCTTTAGCGTCGGGGCATCGGGGAGCCCTGGAAGCTGATGTCTCGGAGCTAGGTGCGTAGCGAATGCGATGCGGCTTAATTCACTTTTGTTGCCTCTTCGTATGAGGTTACATGTGCGCTCCCGATTCCCTTCAATGGTGAGCTCTCACGACAATTGTTTACCCTGGCAAATGCACATATTCCAACACAGTAGTCCACCATTGCTTCTTGTCCGCGTTAGTTGCTGTACTGCAACTCCCTCCATGCGGCATGCGCTTCACGCTGCCAACGTCTGATATCCCGCACAGGAGTGCAGCCGCCACAAAGCATTACGAAGTTGCTGCCAGCCGGCTCGGCGCGTCCCTTTCTGGCCCTAAAGGACCCGGCCAATGCCGCCAGCCAGGATGTGCAGCAGCTCTACGTGCAGGGCGCCAGCGCAGCCGCGATAGCGTACCTGCTGTTCGCGGCAGCGGAGCCGCTGTCGGAGGCTGAGGGTAGGGACAGCAGCGTGCAGCGTGCTTGCCTGGCGGTGCTGGTGTCGGTGCTGGCTGTGTCTTGCGACAAACTGTACGACGGAGGTTGTTGGTTGTGTAGCGTGGAACCTCTACGAACCGATTCGCTGGGTTGGCGATTATGGCCCACATTCCGGCCCGCATATACCTTGTGTCGCACGCATGCAGGTTCTTCCCCCGTCCTGCTGCCGTACCTTTCGCCCACCACCCTCCGCCTCTACGCATCCCGCCCGGAGCGGTGCGGCTCGGATGTCGTACGGGGTATGTACGAACTATCCAACTCGCTGTACGGCAGCTCATCCCTTCAGGTAAGCAGTCATGACCAACTGGGTGCATGTACGTGTGTGCACGGTTCCAATGGTCCGACACTCCGACTGCCCTGCCCTCCCTCCCCCTCCGCCGCTCCCCCCCTCGCCTACAGGCCTGCCACTTCGCGCTCTACCGCGCCCTCCAACTTACCTTCGCCTGGGTGCGCGACAACATCCCCCTTGCGCCGCAGCAGCCCCTGCTGCCGCACTCAGACCCAAACCCCACCTCGTCACCGCCCCCACCCTCCTCCTCAGCAGCAGCAGCAGCAGCGGCAGCAGCAGCAGCAACCGCGCTGTTCCCCTCCCTTTCCGAGCCCGACTTCACCTCCGCCCTCTCCGCCGCCCTGGCCGACCCGCAGCAGCTGGGGGACTCCGCGGGCGCCCTGCTGGCGGACAGCTGCGGCCTGCCCCCCGCCGCCTTCGCGCCGCTGGTGCCCGCCTTGTCGGGGGTGCTGGCGGGGCTGCATGGCGACCTGGGGTTGCTGCAGGCGGTGGTGCGGGGGCTGCACGACTCGCGGTGGGGGGCAGCAGCGGATGTGGGGGAGGAGGGGGAGGGGGAGGAGGGAGAGAGGAAGGAGCGGGAGAGGGTGCTGGTGGAGAGGAGTAGCGGTGGCGGGAGTGGGGGTGGGAGTGGGAGTGGGAGTGAGTATGGCAGTGGCGGCGGCGGTGGAGGAGGAGGAGAAGGGACGTCGGCGCTGGCTTCATGGATAGTTGAGGGAGCAGGGGCAGCAGTAGCAGCAGCAGCGGCAGCAGCGGAAGGAGGAGCAGCAACAGCAGCAGTCCCACCAGCAGCAGCAGCAGGGTTCTCGCAGGTGCAGCAGCGGGGGGGTCAGCGGCGCCACAAGTCCGCCCTGGAGCGGTGGCGGTCGCGGATGCGGCTGCGGGGCGCACGGAGGAGGCTGGCCGAGCAGGGGCAGGGGCAGGGGCAGGGGGGCGCTGGGAGTGCAGACAGCGGGGTTGGTGGTGGTGGTGGAGGAGGAGGGGAGGGAGAGGGAGGGGGGAGTGCTGCTGCTGCTGCTGCTAGCAGCACCATATCCAACAGCTTTCCGCGGGAAAACAGTGACGGCAGCAGCAGCGGGGGTAGCGCGCATGCCCGTATCTTGGCCTCCTCCTCCTCCCCCCCGCCCCCCTCCCCCTCCCCCTCCATCCCCTCCAACTTCAACTACTCCCTGCCCCCCGGCGGCTTCACCTCCGCGCCGCCCTCCGCCCTGCCGCCCCTGCTGGTGCCGCTCATCTTCCACATCCTCCTCTACCGCGACACCTCCGCCACCAGCAGCACCAGCACCCGGACCAACAGCAGCACCCCCACCCCCCTAGGTCCCCCGCAGTACGGCAGCGCCCCCGCCTACGTGGAGCGGCTGGTGCGGGTGGCCAACTACATGGCACGGCCCGCAGGGGTGCAGTTCTTTGTGAAGGTGAGAGGTACAGCAGCAGAGGTGCTGGGTGCGAGAGAATGAGAGAGAGCCGGAGAGGAACTGGTGCGGTTGGGAGGTTGGGGGCGTGGGAGAGGGTATGTGGGCCTTGTACGGAGGGGGGGAAGGGAGGGGAGGGGTGTGTTCAGGCGAATGGAGGTGTACGGAAGTGTACGACACGTCAGTCGGGTTGCGGTGGGTGTGCTTGGCCACACACGCGGAGGCGGCTGGGTGGGTGGGTGGGTGCAGACTGGGAGGTGCAAGCATGCTTCCTGCTTGTTGCGGGGGGGTGCACCTGGGCAGCTGTGTGTGCCTCCGGGCGGCTGCCGAGCTGTGCCCGTGAGGCCCACCCAGGCGACAGACGGGCAACCAGGAGGCTCCAACGGCCCCAGTACTGCCTGCTTGCTTGCTTGCTTGCCTGCCCGCCTGCATGCATGCTACGGGGCACAAGAACTCTTAACAGCCCGTTTGCCGTGTTCCCCCTTGCCTGCCTCCCTCTGCCTGCTTCACTCCCCACCCGCCGCACCCCGCTTCCCACCCCGCTAACCGCTGCCCCCCGCCCCCCTCCTCCCCAGGAGGTGCGCGCCAACGCCTCCTCGTACCCTGCCCTGCTGCTGCCCGACCGCGCCAGCTGGCTGAGCTGCCCCAACGGGGGCGCCTCGGGGGCCGCCTGCCTCAACAACGCCACGCTGGTGGGCAGGTGGGGGCGGTTGGAGGGGCGGGGGTGGGCTGGGAGAGGAGGTGGGTGGGGGTGGAGGTAGGGAGGCCGTCAGGGGCAGCAAGGGGAGCAGGGGCAGGGTGCTGGGTGCTGGGTGCTGGGTGCTGGGTTCGGGAGGGGAAGTCCCATTGCTCGGCGGGGAGGCGGGCGTGTAGGCGAGTTGCGGGAACCCATGGGGGGGAAAGAAGGGCAGCCAACCCATGGTGGTGGTGGGGGGACGAAAGGTGCCTTGTCCCTGGGTCAGGTCAGCCAGGTGCCGCCGCCGCAGGGGCATGACAGACATCCCGCCTCCGCGCTCGGGAAGCGGTGAGCCAACGGAGCGCATGGTCAAGGCAACCGCCCCAACACCCGCGCACCGATGGCCTATCATAAGTCTTAAAACCCTGCCCTGTCCCCCTCCTACCCGCTTCTCCTTACACAACCACCACCCCGCACACGCACACACCTGCCTGGCCAGTTTTCTTACCACACCTGCTCCCCCCCATCCCAGCATGGTTGCCGACTTCCCCCGCTCCATCAACGTGTTCGTGGCCAGCGACTCCACCGCGGCATCCGTGCCGCTGGGGTATGCATGGGTGCCTGGGTGAGGAGGGGGGGGGCGCCGGGGGGGCGCGGCGGGGCGGGGAGGTGTGTTAAAATAACTGGCCGCGAGGCGAAACGTAGGTGTGTGTGTGTGTGTGGTGGTGGTGGGGGTAATGTGTCATCTCCCTCTGTAGCTCCGCGGTATGAGTCGCGCCTCCTGGGAGCTCCTTGCTGCCTCCCTCCCAGCACCGCAAGAACCCTCCTTCCACCCCACCACCCCCCACCCCCCCACCCCAGCTCCGATGTGTTCCCCGAGGAGGGCTACGTGTTCATGACCTGGGACGGCCTCTCCCCCGCCGGCTCCAACAGCGCCGCCGCCTACAACGACGGCCCCAACACGCTGCTGCACGAGGCCTTCCACCACCTGGGCCTCAAGCACAGCTTCAACCCCGCCAGCAGCGGACTCAACGGCTGCAACTTTGATGACTATGGTGGGGTGGGGGGGTGTAGGGGTGGGGGGGTGTAGGGGTGGGGGGGTGTAGGGGTGTAGGGGTGGGGGGGTGGGGGGGTGGGGGGGTGTAGGGGTGGGGGGGTGGGGGGGTGGGGGGGTGGGGTCGCGACATGCAGGGCCGGGTGGGGGGGGGGGGGTGGGGGTGGGGCCGCAGCGGGGCACATCTGGGGTGTGTGTCGCAGCACTGCATGGGCGCACGGACGGCGCATGCTGGGGGTTAGCTCCGGTGAACCCCATTTGGCGCCTCGTTCACACACCCATCCACCTCGTTCATCCTCCCTGTATGCTCTCCACTTCCTCCTCCCCACTATGTTCAACCTGGACTGCTGCTGCTGCTGCTGCTTCTCGCACATGTGCGGCACCGGCGGGGGCTCTGCTACCGCGGCTGCCGGATGCGCTGCTGGCTGCTCCTCCCGGCGACATCATATTGCACCTCCCGGCCCTCTCCGCTCCCTGCGCGCCTCCGCTCCGGGCGCTTCTCCGCGACCTCAGTCATCGACACGCCCACCACGTACGGTAAGCGCCTTCCTGCACCCCTTGCTGCCCCTCCCCCCGCTGGCCCCTTGCTGCCCCCCGCTGGCCCCCCGCTGGCCCCCCGCTGGCCCCCTGCTGGCCCCTGCATCACAGCGACTAGCAGCAAGCAACACCCTTCACCCCGGCAGCTGTATGGACGCGTGTAGCGGCATCACTGCCTCCCTTTCGTACTTGGTTGACAGCCCCCCTCCCCCACCCCACTCGTGCGCCCCCTGTTCCACTCACATGACGCACGTGCATGCCTGTGCGCAGTAAGCTACGTTACCGGAACCACACCTGCATGCATGCAGCACTGCTGAACCCCACCCCACCCCTCCACCCACTCATCCTCACCCCCATGCGACAACACCCGGCGCCCACCCCAGGAGCCGCCAGCAGCAGTCGCTTCGCCGCCACCGCCACCGCCTACTGCATGGAGCTGTTCTGGGGGCGCTACGGGGGCGACTGGGAGGCGGCCTACTCGCGTTGGAGCAGCACCCTGGGCATCCCGGAAGCCGACATGAACGCATGGGCCGACACCTGCCCCACACGCGCCGGATACGACGAGCTGGGGAACTACATGACGTACAACACCCCGGTGTGCTTCGCGGCGCTGGGGCACTTCACGCCCGCGCAAGTGGAGCGAGTACATCACGTGTCGTACGAACTGAATCCGGTGTTGTACAGCTGGGCGCAGTACTATGCGCAGACTGCGGCGCCGCCGCCTTCACGGCTGTCCCCGCCGCCTGAATACTATAACAACATTTGCACGGTAGGTTGGGGGTGCGCGGGGGGGAAGCACGTGGTGTGATGTGTTGGGGATGCAACCCTGGTCGCTAGGGGGTTCGGCCTTGTTAACGATCTGTCCTGATGATAGCATCCTCACTCGTATTCATGATTGAATCATGAGTCAGATGTCCACTTGGATAGCAGCAGCAGTCTAACCTTCCGGAATGCATCGTGGGATATGCATTACGACATCCATTCAGGCAACCAAGAACAACTGCGCCTGCAAGGACGCCTGGACGTTCAACAGCACCGCCTACTCCTACTGCGACAGGACGGGCCCCTCCAACAGCCTTACGTGAGTGGCGTGGCACGAGCGCGGTTGGGCTGCATATGACTGACAGAGGCGTTTGCATGCCCATGCGGCTTTTGATGAGATACGTCCCTCGCGGTGTGTTAAGGATACTGGCCGCGCGTCGAAAAGCGGTGTGATTGCCGGAAGGTGATGCCCCCACCCCTGCCGTGCAGGTGTGAGGTGGCCAACCCCGGCGCATGCTCGGACTGCGCTGCCGCCAACAAAACCGCGACGGAGGGCAAATGCATCCTGGCGTGTGCAGGTGGGTGGGTGGGGGGCGGCAGGAGGAGGAGGAGGGGGGGCAGGCAGCAGGGGTGTTGACGCGGGTCCACATGACATGCAGGGTGCGGCACCCCCAGGCAGGCGGCTTGCCCCCTTGCACGCCTTGTTGCCACACCCTTGCAGCAGGGCGCTAGGGTGATTGCGGTTGGTGCTCAGGTGCGATGAAAAGTAGTTGCTCCTTCCTTCCTTCACACCTGTTCACACCGTAACAGTCCTTCCAAACCCGCACAGCAGGTACCGCCCGGCAGTGCGGGCGCCCCGCTGCTCCCGGCACCAACAACCCGCCACCGCCGCCACCCCTGCCGCCTTCACCACCCCCCATGCCGCCGCCGCCGCCGCCCTCGCTCGTCCCCTCGGCATGCATGGTGCGAATACTCCGCAGAGCTGCCCCACCCCCTCTCGCACTGACCTACACGACAGGGCAGGGGGCTTCTGCATAAGTATACCCGTACTATGTAGAAGACTGCTGCCGCTGTTTAACGGCTGTAGTTGCCGCTTGGACCGGTTGAGGCAGGTTGAGGACCGTGTCCCCCTCGCCCACTGCCATTGCTGCCCTCCTCTGTTCCTCTGCTGTCCTCTGCCCTGTCACGCTGCCATCACGTCTTGTCCCCTCCCGCTGCTCCTCTCCCGCGCTCTCTCTCCCCGCAGAGGTCGCAGTCGGGGTGTGAGTGCCGCAGTACTTGGATATACGACACCTCCTTCGCCAGCTACTGCGCCTCCCCGGACGGCAGCTTGCAGCTGTGGTGGGTACCCGGGGGGGGTGGCAGGGGGGGGTGGCGGGGGGAGGGGCCCGGTGGTGGTGGCGGTGGGCAGGAGGGTGGCGGGGTGCAGGAGGGGGACAAATACGTGGGGAGTTTGGGTATGAGTTCCTACCCCGGTGGGCGGCGGGCAGCCTAGGCTGATGGATCCATGCACGTTGGTACCTGCTGTTCCCTGGACAGCTCGACTTGCTGGACTTGCGGTGTGTTCATCATCGTCGTCATCATGTCAATGCGCCTGCTGACACGAATGGCTGCTGCCCGGGCGACTGCACCTGTGTGCCCCCCCGCCCCCGCAGGTGCCAGGTGACCCCCACCTGCCCCACCTTCAACGTCGTCTACCCCTTTGAGAAGTGCAACAAGAACCTGACGTTCAGCTACTGCGAAGGTGGGCCACAGCAACGTTGTCGCGCTGCTGTTTCCTGTTATGTTGCGAGAGAGCGTTGGAAGGGCCGCTTGGCTGGTTGCTACCGCTATCGCCGGTGGCTGACTCGGGGGTTCCCCCTTCCCTTCATGCAGCCCCATCGAGCCCCTCCCCCCTGTGTGCGCCCGGCGTTTCGCGCCCGCCCTGTCATGTGCTCATGTCCCTTCCCGCAGTGAGCCGGGTTCGCTTCCGCACATCCCTCCTGCTGCCGGTTGCCCCCGTGTGGCCGCCGCCCTCCCCCTCGCCGCCGCCCATGCCGCCACCCTCGCCGCCACCCCCGGCGCCCAGCACAGGTAGGGGGTGTGGGGCAGGGTTGTCAGGGGCGAGGCAGCCCCCTGCCCCCCTTCCAACCAGGATGCGAAATAGGAAGCTGGTACTGCCTTCGGTTACTACATGAAATAAGCTTATAGATCTTCTGTCGGTGCATTGTGACCTTTGCCGCCCCCCGCACAGCTGCTGTCGCCAAATCCTCGGCAGCTATCTCCATCGAGGTCGCCAACTGCAGCGCACTGGACCGCAATGCCACGCTGGCGGTCACCAACGAACTGACCAACGAACTGGCGACCGCCCTCTCGGTAAGAGCTGGGTAGCATGGCAAGGCAGAACCGTCATCCATTGCCCCCAATCGAGCACCCCAGGGGACCCCTTAACCCCACTCGCAATCCCCCAACATGACGCCCAAACGCTCCCAGCAACACTACGTGCATTAGAGTGGGGGCACGTCCTTATCTCACTTAGTCCCTTGCCTCCTCCACACACAGTTCCCCACGGTCAGTGGTTCCGCGCGGCTCAGTTTACCTAATCCCCCACCGCCTCACATCACACAGCCCGCCCCGCACGGCATTCCTCCTAGCGTCGCAACCCCACCCACTTCATAAAACGTACTGGCTTGGCTTGGCTGGGCGGGCTGGGCGGGTCAGGCTGGATCACATGTGCCAAACCATGATGATGTCTTACCACACGTCAGTTAGTTGTTTCCTCTTTACCCCTTCTTCTCCCCCTCCTCCTTACACCCATTCAGGTCCCCTCCGACTTCATCTCCATCACCCGCACCTCCTGCAACGCCTCCACCCGCCCCAACACCCTGGCAGCCAACTACACCCTCTACTACCCGCCCAACACGACTCCAGTGCAGGTGAGCGCTGCGCACGGGGGGCGCACGTGTGTGCGCGTGTGTGTGGGGGGGGTGTGCGTGCTGAGGAAACTGGCCGCGATAACTGGGGTGTGTGTATGTTAAGAAAACTGGCCGCGAGTAGGAACGTACTGGGATGTGTTTGTGTGTGTGTGTATGCCGTTCTGCCGTAGCAGTTGGAAGCTGCTGTTTCAGCGGTCTGCCTGGCTGCTTGGGTGATGAGCTCCCGGACCTCAACTGCAATGCGCAGTACGTGATGTGCCGTGATATGCCTAACCAGGCCCTTACCACCTCTACTAACGCGCTCAACTCGCGCGCGCGCCCCCATGTGTGCTGCATGTGTGCCCGGCGGGTGGGCGGGTGGGTGCGCGCACTCGCGCAGGTGGGCAACACCACACTGCGACTGGCCTCCACTCCCGAGATGAAGGCCGCACTGAGCCCCGCCTTCCAGGCGACATGGGGCGATGTGGCGAGTGCCTCCTATTCCTCCACCACCGTGCTGCAGCGACTGCAACGTGAGGGGGGTGGCCTTGGGGAGGGGTGGCCTGGGGTGGGGTGGCCTGGGGTGGGGTGGCCTTGGGGAGGGGTGGCCTGGGGAGGGGTGGCCTGGGGTGGGGTGGCCTGGGGGTACATGCGCGCCCTGTGAGTGCTGGTTAGGAGTGCTTGCAGCTGGGCTTAGGACGCAAGGGGGGGGAGGGGTGCAGTCCTGTCCTGCCCTGTCCTGGGCTCCGCTTGCTGCCGGTCAGCTAGTCATCAGCCGCGGTTGGCCGCACGGGAGCCTGGGCTCCCTGGCGCACACGGCAGATACCTGTATGGTGCACCGCCTGTGTGGTTATGTACTCGAATAGCGTACGAGGAACAAACTCATACAGGCAACTCGTCCTTACAATCCTTCCGTTTCACCTGCCCCTGTCCCTGTCATGTCTACCCCGTGCATCTCCACTTGCTGCTGCCGCACGCGCATCAGTGGTGGGCGAGGGGCCCTTCTTCCCCACTCAGCTCTCCGAGGCCTCCTCCAGTGCGGGGCTGGCGCAGGTGCTGCTGCCGGACGGGGGCATCGGGCTGTTCTGGTGAGGAGTGCGCCCCCGGGTGGGGTAGCGCGGTTTGACCCGCCTGTTGGTGGGTGGGCGGGTGGGTGGAGCTGCGTGAGGACGGGCTGCGGGCGAGTGGGGTGAGCGGGATCCAGCACAGCGGCGGTTGTGGGTCTATTGCCGCTGTCAGGGCTGTCAGGGGAGGTGGCGTGTCACAGTGAGGCAATGAGTTGGGCGATGGGAGGGGGGAAGGTAATATGATGTCTTGAAAGCGAGGCGCGCGGCAGCCGACTCATCCGCTCACACGGCTGCTTCCGCTGCGACCGATGTGGTGACCCCACTGTGATGCCCCTCTTCAGTATTGCCCCAGTCCCCTGACACTGCTGGCACTGATGGTAACATCGTCTCATCCGTTCTGCCACATCTATCCCTATCGCAGCAATTCCAGCAGCTTCGGCGAGGCGGAGGCGTCGGCGCTGTGTCGGCAGCTGGGCTTCTCCGGCGGGGTGCCGTACCGCCCCGCCTCCCCCCCGTCCACCAGCGACCCCAACTACAAGTCCAGCCTGCTGCTGGTGAGCTGAGGCGCGCGCGTGTGTCGTGCGGCTGCTGTTGGGGGGGTGGAAGCGGGGGGGAGGTGTGGTGGTGGGGGGAGTGCTGGCAGCTGATGACGCATACGGTAGGCGCGACGCCCACATGTGCCTCTCCCCCTCGCCCTCTTGCCGCTGTCTTGCCGCAGGACGGCTTGTCATGCGGCTCTGCCACCACCACCACCATCTCCACCACCTCCACCACCACGCCCGTGCCCTCATTTAGCAGCCAGTGCACCTCCAGTGGCGGCTGGGTGGCGGCGGGGGCGGGGGGATGTAACCTGACCACCGCGGCGGGCGTGCAGTGCAGCGGTGAGGGGGGGGGGTGAGGGGGGTTGCCGGTTGAGTGGGGAGGGGGTGGCGGGATGTGAGTGGGGAGGGGGTGGCGGGATGTGAGGGGGGCGGGAGGGGGGGAGGGGGGCGTCGCTGAGGTAGGGTGCGAACCCGGGGGGGGGGATGCCTGCGGGTGCAGGCAGCCTGCCACCGCGGTTCTGAGCCCACAGCGAGGGACGAGCGCCCTGAGGGGGGTAGCACCTGTTCGTGTTGGTGCCGCATCTACTACACGCGGCACCACGAGGCAACCAACAACATGGGCTGTCTGCCCACTGCCCACTGCACGTGGCCTGCCGGTACGCTGCCCGCTGCTCTCCCCCCTCCCCCTCCCTCTCCCCCTCCCAGGCGGCCTGGCTGCAGCGCTGGACGCCTCCCTGGCGCTGCAGGTGCGCGGCTGCGAGGGCGCCTCGCTAGCTGCCGGGCTGCTGCTGGGGGAGCTGCTCGGGGAGCTGGCGGGGAACGTGTACACGGTAGGGGAGGGGGGAGGGGGGGTGGGGGGAAGGGGGGGGGTGGGGGAGGGGTGTTGCAAGTAGGGTGTTTCAACAGCTGTGATACCGGGTTATACTGGGTCTCGGGTGCGGGGACGCCGGGGGGCTGGGTGGGTGGGTGACTGCGAGCAGCTTTGCGGCTGGCATGTAACCGGGTCAGGACCGCGAAAGGGGGGCGTTGCAAGAGAGCTCAACTGGGGATCGTTCTGCCAGTGGCAGAACGGGCTTTCTTTTGTGTTGGGGGCCACAGTGCGTATGTACGCTACCATAAGGAAAGAGGGCTTTTAGTTCCGTATTCGCGCCTGACACCCGCCTGCCTTCACCCCGCCTGCCCCAACGCAGGTCTCCTCGAACCGTTTGGTGGTTCGAAGCAGGCTGGCTTGCGTGGCGGTTAGCGGCGGCGGTTACCAGTTGCAAGTGCCGTACTCGCTGCAGTTCCCAATTGGATCCAAGGCGGAACAGGTGAGCACAGGGGAAACAGTGTTCCCCGCTGCGACAAAACACACATGCCCTCCCCCCCCATACCCACTCCAGTGGGACAATTCCACTTCCAACTCCTTCGCGCCCATCTAGTACCCAAGCATCAAGTAATACGTACCCTCACAGTCCCCGCCCCACCCAAACCTCACCGGCATCGCGGCATGCCTTTTGTTCTCCATCCCCTCCGCTACCCCCTTAAACCCTAAACCCTAAACCCTAAACCCCCCCTCCCCCCCGCTCCCCTCCCCCCTCCCCCCCCAGGTGGTGGCTGCCCAGCAGCTCACCTCCGCCGACCTCCTGGCCGCCCGACTGAGCACCTCCTTCCAGCAGCGCTGGGGACCGGTGGCGGCGGCGCAGGGGGGGGACGTGACGCTCATCGACCCGGAGGAACGTGAGTACGGCAGCTGCTGCAGCAGCTGCAGCAACCCCCTGTACGGCATGTTTGTTTGCCTGCTCCCCTGCTGGCTGGTACCCCTGGTTGGGTTGGGTTGGGTGCTAGGAACCCAGTTGGCTCCACCCCGTGTAGTGCCCTCCCGTGTAGTGCGCCCGGAACATGGGTTTGGTGTGGGCTTGCGGCGGCGTTGCTTGTTGCTGTCCAGTGGACTGAACAGCCTCTCCTTGCGTTTGCGCTTGCCCGGCGGAACTTGAGGAGGCGGCATTTCCTGCCCACCTCTCTTCTCACTGCATCCCAACACTGCTGCGGCAACCACCAAAGCCGACTAACAACTGCCGCATCCTCCCTATCGCGGTCACTCACTCCTCCTGCTTCTCCACCTCACACCACGGGCTGAGTACTGAGTACGTGTTTGCTTGCCTCCCTCCCTCCCTCCTCCTCTGCTGCCCCACCCCTGTCAAAAACCCCACCACCCCATACCGGCACCATCGCCCCCCACCCATACCGCACCCTGCTGCTGCCAACCCGGCTCCCCACATCCCCACACCCGACTGCAGTGTGTGCGGGCAGCTCGGGGGCGGCTGCCGCGGAGGTGTGCGGCCACTCACCGCGCCTCTCCACCGCCCAGCTGGTGGGGGTGGTGGGGGGGGTGGCGGGCGGGGTGGCGCTGGCTGCGGTGCTGGCAGCGACCATCGTGCTGCTCAGGCGGAGCAAGCGTGTCGCACCGGGGGGAGGCGAGCAGCAGGGTAGTGGTGGGGGTGGGGGTGACAGAGTGCGCGTCATGCCGCATCAGCACCACCGTCCAGGGGAGCCGCTGCCCGCGGTTGCTGCTGACGCGGGTGGCGGCGTGGCGAGGTCCTCGGCGGCAGCGGGCGCATCGGCCTCATCGTCACCAGCTGCAGCAGCAGCATCCGCAGTGCAGGACGGCACCACCACCACCGGCGGTGGCTTCGTCCGGCGAGCCGCGGTGCCCCCTGGCGCCACAGTTCGGTCCCCGGTTGTGATGACGGCGAGCGGGGGGCCGGTGTCGGAGGAGCGGGAGCGGCTGGAGCTGGCGGGGGGCAGCGATACGGCAGCAGCAGGCCGCATGTCGTTTCAACAGCAGCAACAGCAGCAGGAGCTGTGTGCAGCAGGGGACTTGCAGGCGTCCATCCGAGCCCTCCGGCCCCAGGCGCTGCAGCAGCAGCAGCAGCAACAGCAGCCGCGGAGCAGCAGTCCCGGCCGCAGAGGTCCCGACAGCGGCAGAACAGGAGGAGCAGCAGGGGGACGGCAAGGCGACGAGGTGCAGGAGCAGCAAGGGTGCGACAATCCTGTCCACTACCACCCCCACCTGGTAATACAGGACGCAGTGTTCGAACTGCCGCCACCTGCTGGAGGAGCGGTAACAGCCGGGGCGGCGGCAGCAGCAGCTGGGTCCGCATCCTCTTCCTCGCCCTCTTCCTCGCCCTCGCTATCAGCGACGCTGTATCTGCAGCTGCAACGGCAGCAGGCGCAGCAGCAGCAGTACCACCACCAAACAGGGCAGGAAGGATGTCCGCGGCAACACCCGCCTGTTCCCAGCCAAAGCGCGTCTCCAGCCAAAGGCCAAGTGGAGGTGGAGGTGGAGGGTGTGACGCCGCCTCGCCGCGTGCGGGAGCTTTCCGCACTGTCACGTGACCCAGCTGCACGCGGGTCCTCACCCTCCTCCTCACCTCACGGACCCGCTGGCCCCCCCTCCTCCTCAGCTACTGGCTTACCAGCATCACCAAGGTGGGGTGTTCCCCGCCTCAGCGGCGGCTCCTCACCTGACACCGAGGGTGGTACCGGAAGCTGTGTCGGCGACGGTGCAGGGGCGGGGGGCCGGTTCCTGCCGCACGAGCAGGAGCCGCATACACCAAGACAACAGCAGCACCAGCAGCACCTACAAGGGCAGCAGCTGCTGCTGTCTCCGGGCGGGCTGTCTCTGTACTGCTCTCCGGGGGGCGGCAAGCAGCGGCAGCAGCAGCAGCAGCAACATCAGTCGTCACGGCTCCCTCAGCCCACCACGTCCCCAACATCAACCTCCTCACCCATGCTGCCCCCGCCACCGCCGCGACATCACCACCACCACCCGCAGCACCACCACCCGCAACACCAGCACCCGCAGCAGGACACGCGCACGCACATCTCCACTCCCGCTGCCTGCGTAGCTGCAGCCGCCGCCACTGCCCTTGCTGCTGCCGCTGCTAGTGGAGGCGGTCTGGCAGGTGAGCCGGGGGAGCTGCTGGCAGGGGTGTTACCCTCAGCCCCGGCAACCGCCACTTATGCTGACAGCAGCAGCAGACGCAGTGGCAGCAGCAGATGCAGTAGCAGGGGAGTGGCAGCAGCGCTGGGGGAGGAGCGGGGAGCGCCGTCGACCCCAGGGACTGGCGGTACGGGAAAAGGGTTCGGAGGACAACAGGGGCGATGCCAGCAGCGGCTGCTGCCCAGGCAACTGCGGTTCAGTGGTGATGAGGGGGATGTGGGGGCTGCTGCTGCTGGCAGTGGTGTTGCCTCAGCCGCTGCGGTCGTGTCTTGTCCGCATCCCCATGCTGCCCCTCCAGGTGAGGCTGCCGGTGCTTGCTCGTCAGGTGCAGCTGGTGAGGATGTGGGAGGTGGCGGTGAAGAGCCTGGGGCGGCCTCAGGCAGCAGCAGGACATAGAGAGACACGTCCCCTCACTTGCGCTTCTGACGTAGGAGTCACACGTCTCTTATACTGCAGCGCATGGGTAGAGGCTTTGCGTTTAGAGGGATTCAAGAAACGAAAGAAGCAATCCTTGTTGCCGCAACTGTTGGTTTGTGTGCTTGGCAGGTGCGTCCATTGCGTTCGTTGCTAGGTCGAGTAGGGTTTGCATGCTTGCTGAGATGCTGGTCGGCGTGTCCAAGGGGCCCCGCTACAGGGGAGGAGGTTTGCAATGATTGAACCGCGTGCAGCTGAGGGCTTAAGAACGAGTGAACCCGGCCCAGGAATGGGACGCGCCGCTCCGCACCCTTTGCAGCGTGTTGCTTGAAGGGGAGTGGGGTGTGCATTCGCGACCAACATGTCAAGTCGAATCCTGAGGTACCTGCGTGCCAATGCGTCTGCTGTGATGACATGCGTTGCACCTTCTGTATGTCAGCCGGGCTGCCGATGTCTACGGCAGATTAGGAAGTAGCGTGTTTTCAGGCTCTACAGGTTGATGACAAAAGCTATACTGTCGTACACATGTACAATGTGGTCGTACTGTGAGGTGAAATGACGCTACCTTTGCGGAGGGGCCATCATGCGCACCGACTGTACGGCAGCAGCTATGGCTTCCTTGCGGTGTTTGTGAGGTTGCGGAGGTCCTTTGGTGCACGAACTATTGCTGGCCGAATTGGTAATACTTTTACGCATACTGCCATATTCGTTCCAGTGTAGTGGACGTTCATGCGTGGGTGCTGGAGCCGGCCCCGAATGCGGCTCCGTACACTGTGGCGGGCGTCTACACGTGAATCGTGCCAGCTCGCACGGAAAAGCGTGCTGGGAGGCGCTGCAGGCATAAGGCCCTCGGCCGTTTCGGGTACATGTACTTAAGGTCGATCCCTTTGGCATGGATCGTTCATACCATGGTGAAAACCGCCCATCCCATCAGCACTGGGCACGTAAGCACCATTGGGCCAGATCAGTAGTACGGTGGGGGACCACGTGCGAACGCCTGGTGACGATCTGTTTTGCAGCCCTCACAAACCCACGTTTTGCGGGTTTGGCCGCGTAACTGGGTTGGCGGGAGGCCCCGTTAGGACTGCGTGCCGTACCTGCACCCCTCGGCCAGTCCTATGCGCACATGCCGGCGAGGGACTGCCGGCCTTTGCACACCTCTCCAGGTTGCTACCGCCCGAACTCCATGAATGCACCTCCTCCTCCCTCGGTTTCTGTTCCTTCTTCCACCCCCTCTCCCGGTTTCTGCTCGGTTCCTGTTAACCTCTTCCCTCTCGGCTTCAGCTTCGGCTTCTTACCATCCTCTCACGCTTACACGTCTTCCTCTCAGCAGTGCATACACGGTACGGCAATCAGAGTACGTTCCGACTCGCGGCCAGGTTCCTGGACACACACAAGCACACACACGCCGCCCACCCCCCTCACGGCTAGCCTTTCTAAAACGTCGTCGCGACTGCTGCCGTCGTCTGCTGCCCCGCCCCCATGCATGTCAGCACGCACACACACATACCTTCCCCCTCCCCCCCCTCCCCTCCTCCTATGGTTCGGTATGGTCCTTGACCCACCCCCCCAGGTTGCTCAGAACTTGAGCGCTGCGATGCGCTCGGGCCGCAGGTACGCGTTGGGCTTGAAGGTCGCCCCCAGGCTGGTGAGCTGCGTGAAGTAGTCGATGAAGTCCACCTCGTAGTCTGGGGGGGGGGAGGGGGAGGAGGGGGAGGGGGTGAGGGGGATTTGAAGGTTTCATTGCGGGGGCGAGGGCAACGGAAATGGCAGCACTGGTATGATGGCAGCAGGCGACCGCCCCGCATGGAGCGCCCCCCCCGCTCCCCCCCCTCCGCCCCCTCACCTGTCCGGGTCACCGTCCTCCTCGACCTGTCGTAGTTGGTCTTGGCGCCCGCGAACGCGGCTCCATCCTCCGCCACGAACCGCGCCTCCTCCGCCGCCGGGTCCGCCGCAGCCGCCGTCCACAGCACCAGGCTGGGTCGCTCCCAGAAGGTCGGGCGGGGCGCGAAGAGGGCGGCCAGCGGGTTGCCGGCGGAGGAGGGCTTCTGGTCGGGTTTCACACCCAGGGCGAAGAGGTAGGACTGCAGGGGGAGGGGGAGGAGGGGAGGAGGGGAGGGAAATGGGTGAGGAGGGGAATGGGTGAGGAGGAAATGGGAGAGGAGGGGAATGGGTGAGGAGGGAAATGGGTGAGGAGGTGAACAGGTGAGGAGGGGAACAGGTGAGGAGGGGAACAGGTGAGGAGCCACCAGCCACCGACCAACCTACCTTGATCTCCGACACCGGCGCATCCGCGGGTGGGATGCGACCCGCGGGTCCGGGTGCCGCCGCATCCACCCGCCCCAGTCGTACGGGCCAGGGGGCTCCGAAGGCGGGACCAGCGATGACGTCCCCCCCGCTGGGCAGGGCGGCGCGGGACACCTTGATGGCCGCCCACTGGGCTTGTGTGGTCACCTGGGGGGGGGGAGGGGAGGGGAGGGGAGGGAGGGAGGGCAGAGGTGGGCGGTGGGGCAGCAACGGTGAGTGGGTGGGGCGTCACCCCCCATGCGACCAGGCTCCCCTCACACCCACCTGACCCAGCCCCTCTGTGCCCCCAACCCGTCCCCCCCACCATCCCCCCCCCCCTCCTCCCCCCCCCCTACCTTGGCTGCTAGCACCAGCAGGTCCGCCCAGCTGATGGCTCCGGAGCCGTCCTCCGCACCCGCGGCGTCGATCTTGGACTTGGCCTGCATGGGGGGTGGGGGGATGGATGCGGGGGAGGGGGAGGGGGGTAGAGGGGGGTTGAGGGGTGGGTGGGGCGGTGATTGTGCCGTACAGTACACACACGGGGGCCCACGGGGACGGAGGAAGGTGCATCAAGCAAACCGTCACAGCAAACCGTAAGTCACAGCAACCCGGTGACAACCACTTGGGGTGCTAAGGGCAGTGGGAGGTGCCGGTAGCAGGGCACTGCAGCCCCCGTGTTGTCCCGGCCCCAGGCAGCCCCCGGTCACCTCCCTCCGCATCACAATCAAACGCGCGCTAGGAGCTCAACGCCAGGGGGCCCTCCTCCCTCGTCCCTCGCCAATCCGGCCCCCCTCCCCCACCTGCGCCAAGCGAGCCACCAGCGGCTCCAGATCCGTGTTCTCCGGCCGACTCAGCTCCTCACTGGGGAGGTTGGGAGGTGTGTGGGGGGGGGGGGGGGGGGATGTTGGGGAGGGGGATGGCATAGGAGCAGGCGTACGGCAGGGCAGGCGTACGGCAGGGCAGGCGTACGGCAGGGCAGGGCAGGCAGCAGCGGGTAAGCGGAGACAACCGTAAAGAGCAGAGGGCGGGTTTCCAGTTTTTATTGGGGAATGGTGGGGTGCGTGAAACGGACTGAACGGCACCAGCGTGCACCGAATGGGGCTAGAATGGGGCAGCAGCAGTGTGTTGCGATAACTGGCCGCGAAACCACAGCAGGTGGCAATAGCTATGGCAGCCGTGTGTGTGGATTGAAGGGATGCAGCGGAAGGAGGCTCATGTCCCTGACTGGGGACATCAACTGACATGGGGAGCCCTGGGGGGCTGCATGAGTGGGGTGCAGGTGGAAGCGCGCTGTGAGCACCACTACTCGGCTGCAGTCACCACCACCACACGTACGAAGGCTGTGCAACTGTATACCGGTTACTGTACGACACACATCACACCACGTGGCACCGCACCACATCACTCACGGCAGCACGATGGATCCGTCCATGCCGCCGGTCTTGGTTGCCGCGTCGTACGTCATTGCGTCGTGCAGCACCAGCCGCATGCAGGCGGGAGCGTCAGCTGCACCCACCACCTCCTGGGGGGTGGGGCGGGGGCGCGGCGAGGGAGGGGCGAGGGGGGGTTGTAACAACTGACGAACTGGGGCGAGGGAGGCGCGGAATGGAGCAGGGGGGCTGCATCGCAAGGGGGCTCCAGATGGGTCAGCAGGAGGGGGTGCAGCAGCAGAGGGCTCACCATGAGGGGGTTCACCATGAGGGGGTTCACCATGAGGGGGTTCACCATGAGGGGGTTCACCATGAGGGGGTTCACCATGAGGGGGTTCACCATGAGGGGGTGCCATGCGGGCTCCTCGCGGGATGCAGGCCCTCCCGCCCCACTCCTCACCCCGCTCCCGCTTCTTCCTCCTTACCCGTCCCGTCCCCTCCCGGCTGGTTTGTTTCTTCCCCCACCCCCCTCCCCCCCGGCCCCAACCCACACACCTTGATCGCCGCCTCCGCCCTCAGTCTGAACTCCTTGAGCTGCGACTGCTTCTGCAGCAGGCCCAGCTGCTCCACGGGAACCTCGGCCTGGGGGGGGGGAGGGGAGGGGGAGGGGGAGGACGTGTAGATAGAAGCCTACCCGTTGGTGCTAGAGGAGGAAAAGGTGGAGAGGGTGGCAAACTGGCAATGTGGTGAGGTTAGGGAGTTGGGCTCCCCCCACCCACCTGCGGCAGGGGCCCTGCGGCGGCAGGTTGCGGTGCGGCCAGCAGCAGGCAGCCGCCTCCGACCACCAGGCTGGCGGCGCTGGCTGGGAGGGAGGTCATAGACCATGCCATAGGAAACCACAGGTTAGGGCAAAGCAAAGGGGATAGATGGGATGGAGGGGGGGGGGCGTCAGGGATTGGGGGAAGGTAGGAAGGTGCATGGGTGCAGGGGGAAGGAGGCTGCATTCGGGGTACGTCATACGCTTGCTCAGGGGAGGAAGGGATGCGGCCAGGGAGCGGGAGAGGAGGATTGCGGACAGGGAGGTGGTGCAGGGTGTGGAAGAAGGGGTTACGCAGGACATGCGAGTGCAGGTGTTTTGGTATGCCGCCTATAAAGGGAGCGCGACTTGCTGCTGGAGGGAGGAGAGGTTTGCGAGCGTTGCGGTTATGAGGGACCCTTGCCGAACTAAATTAGTAACTTGCGCTAAACTAGGAACGGCTATCAGAGGCTTGCAATTACATGCCCGTCACAGAAAGAAAACGTCGCAACTGGCCCGACAGCAGGAGAAGGCGACGAAGCAAGCGCAAGTGGCAGTCGACTACACCCATCCCTCCTTTGATACCCGTAGTATAATCATACAAGAGATAACTACTAATTCACATCTAGTCTACAATCGGGTACCCGGTTTGAGCGACAGCTTCACCTGCGCTAAGCAGGTCGCGTCTGCTCATGCGGTCCTCATGCGACAGGCTGCAGGCCACCACTACCGTGCGCGCGCGCCCATCGCCCGCCTTCCTTGCGGTCCCAATCCGGCGGACGGAACCTGTCGACTTAAATGCGACGTGATGCATGGCAGCGAAGTGTACTATTGAGACGACGAATGCGCTAACAGCTTGTGTGGAAACAAACCCAAAATAGTAGCAACTACGGTCAATATCAACGACGACAAGCGCGAGCAACGGAGGAAAGTCAACTGGGTTGAAGGTGAGACCGGGCACCGGGGGACCTCAGCCTTGGTCTCTGGCTCCAGATGTACGGCATGATTTGCCGTGAACGGTGAACCGCGCTCATACTTTACGCACGCTGTAGCCCTTATGTCAAGCACTAGCTATCTAGTTGTAAAGCAGGCAGACGCGTGGTACCCCTTTAACTCCACCGCTGACCTCGCTGATCCTCCCGCGTAAACCTCAACATCCAAGATGATGCTCGCTGCTAAGCCCTCGATTAACCTGTGCAAGGCAACCAGCCGCCGTGGCGCTGTTGCTGTGCCCCGCCCGGCTTTCCGGGCTGTCGGTCGTTGCCAGGTGCGCGGTGTCTGATGCTGTATGGAGGCACCGCCCGCAAAAGTCTAATCAGCAGCGCCCTACCCAGAGGCTGGTGGTGCGCGCCGAGAACACTACCACCGAGCAGCCTAGCTTTGACTCGGAGAAGGTGCTGAAGGACCTGCAGGAGAAGGTGCGAGATACATTGCTACGGCGCCCGTTGGCCGGGCTTGCATGTGTCGGGTCGCTCCAGCTGGTACTTCAATATTAATATAATCGTATTTCATTTGCAGTGGGATGCCGTTGAGAACAAGGGTGCCGTTGCCGCGTACGCCGCGGGCGCCGTGGTGGCCCTCTGGCTCAGCAGCACTGTTGTTAACGCCATCAATGCTGTGCCGCTGGTGAGTCTCCTTGGAGATGTTTCCTGCTTTCCTGCTTACATGGTGTTGCAGGGCTCCGGTTATTGACATTTCAACCGCAATGATCATGTTGCAGCTGCCCAAGCTGATGGAGCTCGTGGGTCTGGGATACTCTGCCTGGTTCACTTACCGGTACCTGCTCTTCAAGGTGAGACACCACGAGAAGACCTGGTGTGCACGTTTATTGTCTTGGTTCAAGCGTTTCTAACTGCCCATCCTGTTAACTTACGCGCAGTCGAGCCGCGAGGAGCTCCTGAAGGACGTCAGCGAGCTCAGCAAGAAGATCACCGGCTCCGAGTAAATAATTTTGGCTTGGGAGCTTCTAAGCTTGGCTTGGTGTGTATAGGTGAAGCCCCGCAGCAGCAACGGCGCGGCGGGGAAAACGCAGCAAGCGCAGAACCGGATGTTGTGTTCTACTTCAACAGCAGCACAAACGTCACCAGCAGCAGATTGCGCAGGAGAGGATGGACATCGGAGAGAGAGTGTGTTGGCAATCCCGGCGCAGCAACTGTACCCCAATTGGAACGGCTGCAGCATAATTTGATTTGAGAGCGTTGGCGTGATTATATTTTTTCCATGGATTGACGGATAGCATGGCATTTGAAGCATAAGAGGTGATGCCGGCATTTGGCGAAGGGTGACACGTTTTAAACGCCTTCTTTGTTGACCTTTGCGCGGGACAGAACATTCACCCCGGAATATAAGGGTGCCGTATTTCAAGCGGGTTTTGAACTCTCCCTTAGAATCCTCTACCCTGCTTCTACGATTGTTTATCTTGGTGGCGTTCGAAGGAATGTAACCATGTACTGGGAAGAGGGCCCAGGGCGGGCTCCAAAACACGTTCCATGTCATGTACGAGCGTCTTTCAGCGGTACTAAACCGCCCTAGCACACTTTGTGGTAGTTGAGCGGAAACAAGAGCAAGCAGTTGGGATAGCACGCTGCACACCCTAGCACACTGTTTGTGTGTGTGTGCCACTCACGTCACCTTCAGTAGGAGACCGGAGATATGACCATGGCGCTTCAAGAACCAGGTTTACTCGAGTTCCTAACTTCCTATGGGGTGGTATGTGATGCGCAAAGTCGAAATGCGGGTTCCTACACCGTGCCGTACATTCCGTCATAACCGCTGTTCCGAACGTTGCAAACAAGTAAGAGTTGCTCCCTTTACACCGCTGGACTGACGGTTGAACAAGTACCACTGCATTGGGCAAGCCCTTGCAAACCCTTCACGCGCTCAGCAGCTACATGCACTGTGCCATCAGGAACAGGGACCACGTTTGTTACAAGCACCCTTGCTCGTGTGTCATCGTCCAGGTACCTGACGCTACCCCACCAGCAGTGCCAGCGCCCATCCCCGACTTCACGTCGCCCGTACATGCTCCGCCGGTCCATACTTTCATTTGTGTCGCCTTCCCAGGCATGCCCCCACCATGCAGTTCCATTCCTACACCTGTACGTGTTCCTCTTCGCAGCACCGCCCCTCCACCCTCGCACTCACCACGACTCACCCGCCCAGCCCGTGACTCCCAATCGTCCCCCTCCTCGCGCCCTGCTGAACCTGCAGGCCTGCACCCCTCCCCAATGCCCCGCACAAACACCCCGAGGTTGGCCCTCTCACAGTCCCCATCTCACCCCAACTAAACCTACTGCCTCGCCTTCATATGTGGTTTCCACTAGCAGGGGTGTGGTTTCCCTTTGACCCCACCCACACCCCCAACCCCCACGTCCAGCCCGATGTCGGGCCGCACAGGCCCCTCCCCCGCCTGTGTGCCAACAGCCCGCTCACCCATTCCAACCTGCCTCCGGATTCCCAGCACTACGGGCGGCAGCAGTGCACCGCGGCAAAGTGACAAGCGCACCCCGCCTGCGCCCGCCCTCTCACTCCGCCCCCGCCCCCTCCTCATCCCCCTCCCCGTCGGCCCCCTCTCCCATCATGCTAAACAGCTCGTCCGTCGCCTCCTCGCCGCCCCCCTCCCCGTCGTAGATGTCCTCGGCATACCTGGCAGGCAGGAAGCAGGGAAGCGACGGGGGCGGGGAAGGGGCGGGGAAAGGGGATGAGGGGCAACAACGCGCGAGCATGCTGAGGAGAAGCTGCTCGTGTGGGGATATGAGCCAACCATGCAGCCCATTTCTTCCTCCCATCCACCCAACCCACCCTCGCTCCACAATCCCGTCCGTACCAAGTTGGCTCGCCCAACCACAACCCCCCTCCCTCCCCCCTCCCCCTTCCCCTCCCCCCCCCCCGCTCACCTCTCCATGGGGTTAGCCAGGCTGACCCCCGGCAGTATCCCCTCCAGCAGGCTCGTCGCCGCCCGCCGCGCCACATCCTCCCGCGACATGGTCCTCAGCGCCGCCGGCGTGTTGGCCGCCTCCGCCTCCGCCATCTGCGCCACCTCCGCCTCCGTGGGCGGCAGCAGGCTGGCCTCGCCAATCGCCTCCAGCCGCTCCCGCAGCTCCTCGTCCAGCGGCTGCCGTACGATGCTGTCCATGTTGGCCTTCACCGCCTCGTTGAACTCGTCGTAGTGGGTGGAGAAGAGCAGCTCCGCTCGCGCCCAGGAGGACCAGTGCGTCTGCTTCTCTCCCATCCGGAAGTCCTCCGCCTCCAGCACATGCATCATGCGGGCCACGCGGTGCGTGTTGGCGTAGATGTTGTGGGCCTGGGGGGGGGGGTGGGGGCGGGGGCGGAGGGTGGGGGGAATGGGGTATGCACCTCGCCACTCAGCTTGATAGCCGCGTATGCCGGACAGCGGCAGCGGAAAGCGCCACATGCACCCCCTGCGGTACATCCCACACAACCCGCATTCCACCAACCTGCCATACCACCGCGCCCTAGCTTCATACCTAGCACAAAATCGCCCCCTTTCCCCTTTCCCTTCCCGTCCTTCTCCCGAGCCCCTTCCCTCTCGCGCCACCCCCGCCCCCCTCCTTTCCCCCCTCCTCTTCCCCCCCCACCTTGTCCCTCATCTTCTCCGCCTCGAAGAAGGCCAGGTCGTCCACCTCCTCGTGCTCCCAGATGCGACCAAAGTAGGTCTCCATCTGGATCTGCAGGAGGGGGGGAGAGGGGGGAGGAGGGGGGGAGAGGGGCACATGTGTGTAGTGCTAATCGCAGGAGGGGAGGCGGCGGGAGAGAGAAGCGGGAGGGGTAGGCAGCACCAGGCCCGGTCCGAGCACGAGTGCAATGACCACGGCACAAGGGCAAGGGGCAGGAATGAGAGGTTGGGACTGGTCCTGGTTGGGACTGCTCACAAGAGACCCGGCAAGAGGGGGGTCCGTGAAGGCCCCCTACCCAGCTGCAGGGCCGCCGAGTGTGCGAGGGAGCTCCCTCCCTCCCCGCGCCCAGCCCTCCGTCGGCGCTCCCACCCTCGCCCTGTTCCCCCCCTCCCTGCTGCCTTGCACTGCCTTGCGGTTTGGCTGGGCTCTGGCCCTTCCCCTACCTCCGCAGCCACCAACCCAATGGGATTTAGGTCTCTTCTCCATCACCTCCCAGCCACCTGACCTCCAGCACCCCCCCCCCGCCCCCACACCACGGCTCACACTCACCACCCTCTTCTCCCTTACCTCACACACACACACCCGACCCCCCCGGCCCAGCGCGGAACTCCCATCCCCGCTTACCCGCCCCATCCGATTCATTTAAGATCCCTTCCAAGCCCCTCCCACCCCCCTTCACACCCTTGCACACACCCACTCACCACCTGTTCCAGCCGCTGCTGGTCCTCCTCGTTGCTGGGCACCATGCGCATGGGCAGGTCCATCCACGTGCTGGGCTCGCCGTGCATGGCATCATCGAGCTTGTCGTACAGATCACGGTCGATTTCAATTTGTGGCCTGGCTGGATCCTCCTGTACGACACCCCCCTCGTTGTCGCCGTCCATGACGGCAACCCCAGACAGCTCGTCTTCTTCTGATTGCTGAGATTTAGCAGCTTTGGCTGCAGCTGTTGTGGTCGGTTTGCTGCTAGGACCCCGCTTCCCTTGTTCTGCATCGGTATTGGTTGTGAGGGTGGGTAAGAAGCGGTTCGGGTTGTTTTTGTGGGCACTTTACTTCAAGGGTTCGTTTGTTATGCAGGCATAGATCAGTAATGAGTGCTTTCTTGTGGCGACAGTAGCAGCGAAGTGAAGTTACGAGGTGCGCAAATACATGCGGCTATCGGTTCACCAAAATCAGACCTGGCGCCACGGCCGTCATTGAAGGTTCTGGCAGTTCTTCCCCTTCATCTTCATAATCCTGGAGAAGACAAAGCGCATGTTGTTAAGAATTGGTAAGCTTGCGGAATGTGACTAGCGGCGAGATACTTGTCAGCCAGAGAATGGCAATTTATGCACCAATTGCCGTTTAACTTCAATATCATTCAATACGCACCTGTGGCGGTGGTGGTGGCGGAGTCTTTGTCTTTCGCGTCCTTCGTCGCGCAGGAGCCGGCTCCGGCTCCACGGTCTGCTCCGGCTCCGGCTGATTGCGAGCTTTCCTTGCCGCATGAGACCGTATACGCCATCCTCGCGGTAATTGGGTAGGATCTAGGTGATACGAAGTGGAGCACTCCGACTGCACATGGTTGCAATTTCGCCATGGGACCGGCGGCTGGCATGGCTTAAGCTGATGTTGTAGGACAACATGTCGTAAATTATTTATCGAGCTTGGTGGCCCGGAAGATAACGTGTGTGCCATCACGACTAAGCGGCAAGTTTCAGGTGCACAAAAGGCCAAATGTTTAAATGGGTTCGATACAATGGTAAAGACAAACCAAGCCGCATTTCAGTGACGTAATAATTCAGTTGACGCGCTCAGGAGTAGCAAAAGGTTTGAGGACATTGACCAACGCTGTACGACGATGAGGGGCGCGCCATTTCTGCTGGTACCGCAGGAAGGTACGTGCTTCGGTAGACCGCGGGCACTACTTGACCTCACCATCTTGAAGGTGCAAGTTCCTAAAGTCAGTAGGCTACTCCCATAATCCTCCACACTGGCGAAAGTCATAACGCTCTCATCGCCATCACTTGAAGAACTTTTGTCAAGGAGAGCCGCGGCGGGTCCTCCTTGCCATCTCTGTTGAAGCCTATTCGTTCACATAGAAGCTTTCTTCACTGAAGAATCACTCATACTTATCGGCGGACTTGCAAGAGACGACTGGCGCGCCGCTTCGGCAGCGTATAATTGCTACGAACCTCAACGCATACTTGCGAAAATGACGGGCGACCTCTTATCGTCATCAATAGGTGACCTGTTTATGGTCGCCGGCAAAGCGCAGCCCCTTCAATTGGCGCTCGGCATGCTCGGGGTACTGCTTGCTGCATACCTCTTTACAAGGCTTGCAGTATTTATTGCCAACTATATTCGCATCAGCCGAGGTCTTGCCAGCATACCTTCGGCACCGGGCGGCATCCCGCTCTTGGGACATGTCCTACCGATGATCACCTGCGTCCGCCAGAACAAGGGCGCCTGGGACTTGATGGAGGAGTGGCTGGACTCTACTGGCCCGATTATCAAGTGCAATATCCTTGGCACACACAGCGTCGTGGTCCGCGATCCCACGGCCATGAAGCGCGTCTTTCAGACTGGCTACAAGATTTACGAGAAGGACCTTGATCTCTCTTATCGCCCCTTTCTGCCCATCCTTGGAAGCGGCCTTGTGACCTCGGACGGCGCCCTCTGGCAGAAGCAGCGCACGCTGATGGGGCCCGCCCTGCGCATCGATGTGCTCGATGACATTGTGCGTATTGCCAAGAAGGCTGTTGACCGGCTGTGCGAGAAGCTCCGCCCTCACGCTGGTACCGGCCGACCTGTCAACATTGAGGACGAGTTCCACTTGCTGACCCTCCAGGTAGGGATGGTTGACCGGCATGTCGATCAGGTCTCCACCACAACATTCATCCTCAGTAGTAGCTTTCCTTTGTAGCTCCTCTTACCTTGCAATATGACTTTGGGTTGTTTTCGTAAGCACGTCGTCCCATTAAACTGCTTCTTCCTTACCCCCTTCCCTGTCCTTCTCCCTCCTCCGCCTTCTCGTCCCTCAGGTTATTGGAGAGGCCGTGCTGAGCCTGGGCCCGGAGGAGTGCGACCGGGTGAGGGGCACTCTGGGGTGGGTCGGTGTTTGGTGGGGGGTATTGTGTTTTGAGGCATTTCGGCAGCATAGCAGCAGCACAGTAGTGGCTTTGCATTGGTAGAAGTGAATCGTTAGACGTATTGGAAATACGCGAGGCATGGGGCGGTCGGGGTTGTGAAGATGTGGACCGTTCCCTCCGCAGCTTCATCCCTTCACCTGTCCCGGCAGCTGTCTTGTTGCGCCTACCCCCATGCCTCCAGCTCTTCCTCCTGCCCTCCGCGGCTCAGTTTACCTAATCCCCTCCCTTCAACTCCCTCCCTCCCTCCCCCCCCAGGTGTTCCCCCAGCTCTACCTGCCCGTCATGAACGAGGCCAACCACCGCGTGCTGCGCCCCTACCGCATGTACCTGCCCACCCCCGAGTGGTTCCGCTTCCGCAGCCGCATGGGGCAGCTCAACAGCTTCCTCATCAACCTGTTCAGGTGGGGGGAGAGGGGGGAAGGAGAAGGAGAACCATGGGGGTGGGGAGCAAGGGGAGAAGGGGGCTATATCGGACCTACGGGGCTGCGGGAGGAACCGACGTATGGCCAGCCCAATGCCGGGGTCCCTGGGAAGTCCTCTTGGAGGCGATGTGTGCACGCCATTCCCTGCCGTGCACCCGCCCTTGCCTCCCGTTTGCCAAGCTTTGCTCCCTGCACCGCCCCTCATGTCCCCCCCCAGGCGGCGGTGGCAGGCCCGCCAGTCCGCCCCGCAGCGCCCCAAGCCGGTCGACATCCTGGACCGCATCTTTGAGGCTATCGAGGTGGGGGGGGGGGTAGGGCGGTAGAGGGGGGTCACAAGGTATACCATACCACAGGTTAGGAGGGCTTGGCCGGAGGGAAGGGCTTGATAGGGGAGGGGAGAGAGGAGGGAGCAGGTGAGGGGAAGACCGGCTACATGGGGGCCTCCCGCCTTGCCGCCCAGCTCGTCCTCTCTCCCTGACCTCCGAACTTCTTCTCCTGACCAACATCCCCCTTCCCACAGCCTGCTCTCTCCCCGGCTCGGTTCCTCTAATCCCCGGCTTCCAGGATGCAACCCTATGGAACAGCCTTAGCCGCATGGCTTCTGCTCTTTACCCACCCCCCGCCCATCTCTCTCTACCCCCTTCCACGATCTCCCCCTTCTGCTCCCCCCCCTCCCTCCCCCCCCAGGAGTCGGGCACCAAGTGGGACGCCGCCCTGGAGACGCAGCTGTGCTACGAGGTGAAGACCTTCCTGCTGGCGGGCCACGAGACCAGCGCGGCCATGCTGAGCTGGTCGGTGCTGGAGCTGTCGCGGAACGCGGAGGCGGCGGAGATGGTGAGGAGGGGAGGGGGGCAGGGGTGGCAAAGGTAAATGGAGAGTGAAGCAAGGGAGTCCCAATCCCAAATCCCATCTCATGCAGTGAGCGCATTCGGAGGCAGGGGGGTAGGGCGTGGGAGAGAAGGAGGGGGGGAGAGGGAGGGGTTGCCCCTGTACCGTCCTGTACACGGTATGCAACGACCCCCCCCCACCCTACTCCGTTCCCTTCCTTTACTCACTTCCCCTCCCCCTCTCCCCTCCCCTCCCCTCTCAGGTGGTGGCTGAGGCGAAGGTGGCGTTCGGCGGCGACCCGGCGGGTGAGGGCCCCAGCCGCCGCGCGGTGGACGAGATGGTGTACACGCTGTCGGTGCTCAAGGTGCGCTGGGGGTGGGGGAGGAGGAGGAAGGGGGGGGGAAGGGTGCATGGGGGCCAGGGGGGAGGGAAGGGAAAGGGAGGGGGCACGCATGCGGGGGTCTGCACAGCGAACTAGCAGCACGACATGTACGTCCCTCACGCATGCATGCATGGCTTGCTGCTGTTGTTGGCCACATCTCTCCCAACGTCCCCGCTCTCTGCAATCCCCTCCTCCTTCACAGCCCTCCTCACCCCCCCCTCCCTCCCCCTCCCCCCCGCAGGAGGCCCTCCGCAAGTACAGCGTGGTGCCGGTGGTCACACGCAAGCTGGTGGGTGGGGTGGGGTTGGGGGTGGGGTGGGGGTGGGAACTGGACCCCTGGTGACCCGCCGCTCCTGCTGCTGCTGTCTGCGCACCCTGCTGACCCCCCCACCTCCCTCCTTACCCCTCTCCCCCGCGCAGGCTGAGGACGACCCGGTGGGTCTGCTGGGGCAGCCGCTGCCCCGCGGCGTCATGGTCACCTGCCACATCCAGGGAACCCACCGGCTGTACGAGCAGCCAGACGAGTTCCGACCCGAGCGCTTCATGCCGGGAGGCGAGTACGACAAGTTTGACGACGCCACTCGGGCGTACATGTTCCTGCCCTTCATCCAGGTGGGGGGGGGGGGAGGGGGTTCGGGGGGGGGGTCAGGGGTGTGTTGTGGAGAGATTCCGTACGTCGCACTCATCCGTCGTACCGCGCGACCCCTCTCCATTATCCCACCTTGCCTCCTTTACTTTACGTTTACCCCCCTGCCCAACAACTCGCTACCCATGCCGCCCCAATGCGATGGGTCTCCTTCAATGCAATGGGTCTCCCTCCTCACCCTCCCCCCTCCCGCCCCCTCCCAGGGTCCGCGTAACTGCCTGGGCCAGCACCTGGCCATGTTGGAGGCGCGAGTGGTGCTGTCGCTGCTGCACCGCCGCTTCGTCTTCACGGCGGCTCCCGGCCACCCCTGCAGCCAGGTGGCGAACGGGCTGCAGCTGCGGCACCCCACGGTGGTGCCGGTGGGGCCTGTGGACGGGGTGCAGGTGCTGGTGGAGGAGCGCAAGTAGGGGAGGAGGAGGGAGGAAGAGGAGGCGGAGGGTGGGGAGGATAAAGAGGAAACTGCTAACTGACCGTGTGATAAGGCGGGAGGAGGCGGATGCAGGAGGCGGAGGGCGGGTATACCTGCTATTAGAGGCAGATGGACGCGGGCAGCTGTTGGTAGGGGGTGGGGGAGCGGAGCAGCCGCTGCGACAAGGGGGTGCTTGCGAGAGGAGGGGCTTGCTGCTTGTCGAGTTGGTTGCATGTGATCTTGGTTACCCAATGTCCTTCCTCAACTTGAGGATATGGTGGGGAGGAAGATCGAAGGTGGTGTTGCGGTGTGTATGCTGCTGTTGGCGTTGCCAGCGCCGCAAGCAGAGGCTGGGCCGTTTTGGTTGTTGTTGATGACGACGATGATGGCATAGCGGATGCTGCTGCCTTGCCTGCTGCCCGGATTGCTTGCGCTGCTGCTGTTGTGGTTGTGTTGTTATGTATGTGGCCGTGTCGCTCGCGTATCCATAGGACGCGTGTGCAAGTGGCGGCGAACTGCTTACATGCATGTGTGGGATGGTGAAGGGCGTTGCGTTGCGTCGCTTGCGCTGCTGCTGCTGCAGCATCAGTAGCACACCCGCTGTTGATGCACAGTGCTGGTAATGTTATCGCACACGGATCCTATTTTCTTGACGATGACAAGGACACACTGTGGAACTGACCGATATGGACGTGTCTTGGCTGGCGGGCAGTGCTTGTGAGAGGCGAAAGATGAATGAGGAGGAGGGGCTGGATGGCGGAACGGGGAAGCAAAGAGGGGTTGCTGCTGAACGCCTAGCTTTTTGCGTGTGTTTTGGTACCTTATTTGGTGACAAGGTCACACATTTCATGAGGAGGGGGTTTTCTAGCGCTGCGTCATTTGTTATCATATTGCTAGCAGCTCGATTTGTCACGAGGATTTGTTGTGATGGAGCACAGGGGTTTTGCGTAATCGGGCTTATGATATGATATGCTCCCTATTGTTTGATATGCAGCCGATATTGATGACTGGTTCACATGTTGCGGGCGGAGTGGGCAATTCACATGTGTCTGCGTTATTGGTGCTGTGTTTCAATTTTGGCTGGCGGCTTTGAGCTACAGGCCGCCCGCGTCGTACAAGGGTGCGTGTACGATGCCAGGATGTGCCTTGCTTTCTGTACAGCATCTGTACAACTTTGCCTTTTGACGAGGATGGCCTCTTGCGTCATGGTGCTTTGTGGCTGGGGAAAGGTGCGCTACCCAGTGTTTCCTCAGTGGTTTGGGTTTGCCCGCTTGCTATAATTTCAAGCCTACAACTTCAGACCTAAAGCAATCTGCGAGGTGTGGATGCGCAGCGGGGGTTATGTACCGATGTGAGTTGGGTGTAGGGGGACAGGCGGAGGAGGGAGTGACAGGCTTGAAGCACCGTTGTAATTGATGTAAGCAAATTGGCTGTGACTGACTGGCATCTCCTTGTCTGGGCTCGTGCCGAGCCTGCAGAGGTCACGCCCTGATGAAAGTCGAATGCGTGTCTCCACAACTCCATTAATACGCTCCCAAGCGAAGCATCAATTTGATTTGCATGCCTAAGCAAACGAAGGTACAGCCTGCGGAGTAGCTTATAGCTGGCTCCTTCAAATGGGCTATTTTCTGTGAAAGTCTAAGCATGATTGGCAATGAACGGACGCTGAACTACTTTCAGGCGATGTTGGCAGAAGGACACAGTGTCTGTAAATCTATTTAGCCTTCATTCTTGGTGTAAGCAAGACCTTGACTTCAAATGCAAGTTAGCGATTGACACCTTCGCGTCCTGACTTTGCGGCCTTGCAACGTCTTGCAATGCTGAAAATTTGGTCCCGAACCTATCATTGGCGGTTTTCTATGGCCCCCTGACATCGCTCCATGCGCCCACATGCCGCCTGGTGGAGTGCAACCGCCGTACACCGGAAGTTGACACATCTACGGTTGGAAATGTGCCTTTGTAGCTTCCTGCCGTTGCGTCTTCCGCGACTCGAGCAAACTGCAATAAACGCATGCCTTATAAGCTGTCTTTATTGCCGGGTTGTCATCTAACAATCCTACTCCACTCATTTTGGTCCTAACTAACGCTTCGGCGCTCGTCTCTAGCTAGATCCCTCCGCAGTCGGCTACCCAACTCGATAGCATCCAAAAGTTTCTTCCTTTACCCTTCTACGGGCAAAAACGTCTCAGACCAAAGTAGCGAAACACCTGGAATAATTCGGTCGCGACCATCCTGGCCGCCAGCTCCCTCCTAGGGCGCTGATCCCCTTGGGACGTATAGCAGTGATTTGCATATAGCCTCTCTTGCCAAGTGGCATTGCCATATACCGCGTGCGGGCGCTTTAAGCTAGTCGGCCTCACCAACTACCACATTCCTCTGCCACTATGGCAAGGGCGCTGCCACTGTCCATGCTTCTATTAGTAATCGCATCGAACTACTGGACTTCAACAGAAGGTAAGGCTCCCTCCCATGCTTCTCCTCCTAGCCCCGACCGACACAATAAATGACCGTTGCATTCACAAACTCCTCCACGCTTTACCCCCAATCATCCTCGCAGCGAACGCAGAGAACGTCAAAGTGGTCCCTCTCAGAGAAAGGAGCCCCCTTCCTCACGTGAACCCGACATCATCGCCAGCACAGGCGTCGTCTCGCAAAATGAAGCTACAAAAGCCCCTCGCTCTTCCAGTCAACGTCGATGCTGCATATGTTGCTGCCACCGCACTTCCAGCCACAACTGAGTGAGTTACCAATGTTGCCATTCGAGCAGCAGGCGACACACGAGGGAATACACCTACAGCAAACCACACCATTACCTTCTTGAACTCATCCTACTACTAGGAACCTTCCCGGTTGCTCCTGATTGCTGACGACCCCCACGCCCCGCCTTCCCCCGCCTGCTGCCGCTGCCCCACCCAGGCTTCACCCCGCAGCCGCCACCGCGCCCCTCTTCCCGCACACCCCCGCCACCCGCTGTGCCCCCACCTCCCGCTGTGAGGACCTCCCGCTGCTGCTCGCCGTCCTGAACCTGACGGAGAGCGACGCTGCTGCTGTCGCCACCCCAACCCCATCCTCAGCCTCGCGTGTGCTGCCCCATTACGAGGCCATCACCCTGCAAATCCTACCCCGACACCAAGCAGGGCAGCAGCAGCAGCTCCAGCAACCGCACCCGCAGCAGCAGCCGCAGCAGCAGCCGCAGCGGATCCTGCTCGCCTCAGTGGCTGCTGCGGGCGCAGTAGCAGCCGCACTGCCGCTCCCCGGTGCCATATCTGCAGCTGCGGCCTCCGCCACCTCCTTCGCGCCCGCCCACACCGCCAATGACAGCAACAGCAACCGCGCCCACGCCGGCACCGCACACGTCGGGGGCGGCAGCACCGGCGGCCTGCTGTTGCCGCGTGTTAACAGCACAGCGGCGGGTGCGGCTCGCGCGGCGGCTGGTGCTTCTGGAGTGTGTGGGGAGCTGATCAGCAGGGGAGTTCAGGAGCTGCGCATTAGACGTGAGTGCGGGGGCGCGTGCAGGAGGGGGGAGGTGCAGGGGCGCATGCTGTGTGCGGTTAGTGGGCGGGGCCCGGAGCGAAAAGAGTCGTGTGAAGGCGGGTGTGCGCTTCATTCCGCTTGCTTCACCTCCTCCTCAACACCAACCGCCCTGTCCAGCACCTGTCCAACCTGCTGTGCGCTGCGTTGCACCCTCCGCTGTGTTGGTTGACCCGCAGTCAACGCAACCACCTTGAAGGAACACTCCGCCATCACGTTTGTCACAACCGTCAACGGTATCCTCGTTAGCAACCAAATCCTAACCGTCAATGACGACGGCACAACAACAGTTGCTACCACAACGACATCCGCTGCCTCCCCCTCATCCACAGCAGCCACCTTTCTGAGCATCTCCCTATCCTCCCTGGCGCCAACTCAACTCGCCGCGGGCGACGCTTACCTCACTGTCCGGGTTCTTCCCCACTCCACAACCACCCCCACAACCACCCCCACAACCACCAGCAACTACAACGGCAACTCCCTCCGGCCGATAGTACCCTCTCTGCCTGACTTCCTAGCCACTCCTCTTGAGCAGGAGCAGCAGCAGACCAATTCTCCTCCTCGCATCCACTACAGCCTAATCGGCGGCGTGCAGCAGCAGCAGCAGCAGCCACAGCAGCAGCAGCCGGCGTGCTGTGCAGCCTGCTCGACGGTGTTGCCGTTGGGGAGGGGGTTCGGGGCAGCAGCGGAGGGAGGGCTCAGAAGGAGCCTGGTGGTGGGGCGGAAAAGTCGGGTTTTCATGGCGGCAGTGGCGGTGTAGGGCTCCGGGAGGGAACCCCATGCGGCAGTGGAGGGAGTGTGGGGCGACGTGTGGTCTCATGTAAGATTGAGTGGGTAGGTGAGGTGCAGCGAGGGGGAGTAAAGCTTCAGGAGAGGTGTAAAAGAGAAGCACGCCTGCGTGAAACGAGGGACGAGGGAAGTGGCGATAGGTGGTGTAGATAGATGGGCGGGGTTAATAGCTAGGCATGATGACTGCACCGGTGATGGTGGCGGCGGTTGGGTGTGCTGCCGAGTTGGATGATGACAGCTGGCAATGCTGCCGAGTTGACGACTAGCAGTTGGTTGCTTTGGCGTTGTCACATGTGCGTGAGTGACGCGAGGTGACTCTAAACGTAATGAGGTGATGTACAAGGGCATGTGCACATACTGTGGTTACATACTTCTTTTCCTGTATATTGATTATATTGATAGCGGTTCTTGTCTTACTACATTATACGGCATCCTGGTTGGCGGCGTGTATTGTGCGGCTGTGCATGTGCATATAGGTCAGTAAGAGAGCGAGCTTGGATTGATGCTGTATGGTTATTAGGTGCTTGGCGTGTGGATGAAACCCCGCATGGATGGTTGGAGAGTAGAATACCCTGCGTGCGCGGTAATGGAATACATAGCATACATAGCAGGGGCATAGCACAAAAGAAGCATGTTCCCAGCAGTCGTGTGTGCGCGATGAAGGAGAAGGGAAGAACGGAGACAGCGCGGTGTAGGCTGTTTCACACGACACCATGCACGGCCCGCCGTGTACCCGCCGGGTGTGTAACGGACACACGGACCGGGACACGCGCCCCTGTCTTCCCCTCCTCATCTGAACTAAACGATGTACGATCTGAACGTTCTCCAAACACAGGTTTCAGTGCAGCTGGACTTCCCTGCATCATGCAAAGGTGTCACAGCAGGTGGGCGGCACACCGCTACGTTTCCCTTCATGGCGTCAGCCGGTTGGTTCGCATGCCACCCCTCCTAGTTCCGCTCCGAGCGCGGAGCGGTCAGGTTGCAATCGTTGCATCACCAAGCCAGGTTGGCGTACAGCCCCTACTTGCTGGTCACCCTCCTGGTTAGTTATGCAGCTTTTCCAGGAATTGCGCCGCTCGCAACGATACATGCTCAAGACATGCCATTTAAAGAGACATGCGAAGCCATAAGTTGTTCCAGCTGCACTGCATGTAGGGCGACTACTTCCGCAGGTCACAAGCTGGGCGGGCGTTGGATACACGCGTTTGTTGCAGGTTGCTGCGGATGAACATGTACAGGAACAAGGTCTGCTACAATATGCACCTCTCTTTAGAGCCCAATAATTGAAACAAGAGGGCCCGGATAGGAACTCTACCTGCCGAGCAATGACGCCTTTCCTTGCCACCCGCCGGTCGCTGACAGAAGGCAAGAGGAAACGAAGAGTATGCCGTCAAGTGTTCTTTATGCATAGAAGCACTCTCTGCCAGGTAAACGTGGACTGGCGGTATCGGTACATGAAGCGTCACGTTTGCGAGCAGTGGCCGACTAATTTGAACACCATAGGAGTTGCACGGAAAACGGAGGTCTTTGGCAATATAATGCCGTTTCCTGGAGACCTTGTCTTTAGTGCAACTTAGGTAACGGTGTAACGAACCCTGGAAATTCGCGCTCTTACGGAATCAGAATGCACAAGCAGGGCCGATTGCCATCATGCACAGCTATGCAAAGCGTGTCGCAAGGCTTCGTAGGCGCAGCGAGCGGGAAACGATGGCCCGAAACCATGGAAACGGCGGGAAAAGCCGAAACTTGTTGCGTTGTACAATTGTACATGGATGTTCCACAAAACGCAAAGGCATATATAATAAGAGCCAATCCTTATTCTTGTTACTCGTTGCCTATGGTGCAAGACCTTGGTTGGCGTCGTCAGCTGTCGTCCTGAAGGTGCTCACCTGGCTTCGGATTTAGCCGACATTCTGACATTCGGTGCTGAGTTTGAGCGCAAGAACCTGAGCTGGACACCATGCATTGTCGACAAGCTGCGGCTAAGCCATTATGTCGGGCCCTTCTCCTGGTGGCGCTTATGCTGGCATGCTTGGCCAGAGCCACTGCCCTGGAAACAGGTGAGGATAAGTATCCATACTTCCTGACCGTCTGCAGAAACTGGCTGTTCCCGCACAAGTTCCGGAGCTCACGGCGTGTCCGAGCACATCCGTATCGTTACCTTGCTGGATACTCAACCATTTGCCTAGCCCTCACATCACTGTGATTCGATTCTGATTTTCCCTCTGTTTGAGAAGATGGCGCGCGCCGGCCTCGTCGCATTCTGCTGTCAGCCGCACAGCACGACTCCTCCTCGACCTCTGTCCGCTCCACGTTTCAGCTCTCAGTTGCTGCTGACGCGCGTGTCCGGGGAGAAAGAGTTCGCCACCAAGTGATCCCGGGCATCCGCCGGATGCTAGACGATGCGCCAATTTCAGACGATTTCAGCTCGTCCAATCCATCGCCTAACACGTGAGTCCAGTTTAGGGGCCGGCTACTTTGGGCAGTACCCGTTTGGTGCTTTCGGAGGTCGAAAGTGCAACTTTCGTCCTAATCCTGTGCTAATCCTGTCCTAAGCCTTTCGGAGCATTGAGGACGCGTTGTAATCTTCAGAGCTATAGCTAGGCCCATAGCATTATATAGCGAAGGTGCTCAGGGCTCTGGCTGGTTAGTCCAGGCAGTCTTTCCTCAGGAGCAACACACGATTCGGCTGCATGTGATTGGAATTCAACCGTTCAAGCGCATGGACTTTGTCCAGCCCTCATACCTTGTACTTCTTTGTACTTCAATTTTCCTCCTGTACTTGCATGTACTTCCTGTCTTTACCGATCGCTTCCGTCCCGAGCACCGGCCTCACGGCCTCCCTCCATTAGTCCTCATCTTTGATGACGCTTCCAACCTTGTTGCCACCCTCCATCCTTACCCTCTTGGTACGCCCCATCCTTCTACCCCCGCCCTTCCTGCTTCACTTCTCGTTTCTGTTTCCCCCTTCTTCCTCCCACAGACCACCCGCCACTACCACCACCGGCACAACCCCGCCCTCCACCGTGCCTGCTTCCAGCGTCCCCCACCTCCACACATTCCCCTACGAGTCCTGCGCCGCCTCCCCCTCCGCCGCCAAGTGCGACGACATGCCCTTTGAACTCCTGGTCTCGGCTCTGACCGAGGGCACCGCCTCCTCCCGTACACTGCGCATCTACCCGGGAATTACCTTCAAGCTGCAGATTAAGCCCTACGATTATCGTACGACAGAGGGTGGAGATCTGGGCGGGGCGGACGATGAAGGGACGCCTGCTCAGGAAACAGTCGGATGCGAGACGATGCTGAAGGGGCTCAGGGAGCTTCGGATTAAGCTGCGTAAGTGGGGTTATTAGGGGTTGAGAAAGGGCTTCCAAACATACATGTGGATTGATTGGGCGGGAGTAGAGGTTTAGCGGTCTGTCAGGAAGGGCGTATAGTAGAGGTACAACAGGTGCAGGGCAAGTGAGGAGGGACGAATGTGAAGTCGTGTGTCCGCGTCGCAAGTTGTGACCCATGGGTCGGCTCTAAGCACTCTGCTCTAACGTGGCCCCTTGCCTTGCTGTATTGTACCGCACCGGTGCACACAATTTAACTGTATTCTTAGGCCGTGCGGTACATGTTCGGTTTCTTATCCTGTCTGATGTATTACACAGCATCCGGTAATGCTTAATGTATCATGGTTTTGTGCAGAGGGGTGTCATCATTCCTCGCATCATTATTTGTTTCCTTGCATGGCATAAGCCCCCGACGACGTTCCTTGATTTGATTCCCCTGCATGCGCATGCAGGCTCAACTGCCGTTAACGGAGCTTTCGTCAACTACCCAACTCAGCCGGACGACCCCGACTACAACAGCGAACCGTTTACATTTAACGCAACTGTCAACGGTATTCCCGTACAGACCTCGATCCACAAGCAACCACGACCTCCCGGCTCTGTTTCAGCCACAACTGCCGACTCGTCGGCCGAGACCTACCTTCGGATTCCCCTGACCATCTTGAGCCGCCAGCAAATCGCCAGCGGCAACACAAGCATCTCATTGCTCATCAATTCCAAGGACGATGGCGACATCCTGTCAATTCCTGACTACATTGTCGACACGACGCAGTATGTCATGACGTATCCACCAATCGGGACAGAGAATGTGGACCCCGCCGACAGAAGGACCATTTACTCTGCCAAGATTCGTTACAGCCTGATTCCGTCCGAGTCTGATACCTCCTGCTGTCCGGCGTGCTTTTCGAGCTTCATGCAAACAAAACTTAACGACTGTCCCTTCTGCGGCGGCGGAGATTACTATTCTACATGCGTTTACAACAGAGTCGAATCGGATTGCGGCCGGGCGTACCTGATGTGCGGGTTCTCGTACACGTACAGTTTCATGAGTAGCTTTGGCATGAAGAATTACCCGTTCGGATGTGTACCTTGCACGACCAACCCCCTCGGATGGTGCGGCCCTACCAATAGGGCTTATGCTTACTGCTGCGCTGTGTGAGGGGTTCCCCTGTTTCCCTTTGTGATGCGCTGTGAAAGGGGCTTGCATGTTTCCCTTGAGTGATGCTTGGATCGAGCAGGATGTACTTTGTACGGCGGAGGGTTAGTTGGTCATGTCGTTGGGTGTGTGTTTTCCGCCTTTTGGCGTACAGGTTGTACCATCCTGATGTGCACACAAGCATCTTGTATAGAAGATGGTTGAATGGATGTTAGGGCCGCAAATGCAGAAAAGAAGGTATTTGAATAGTCCTTACGTGCCTGTTTACCTCCACATTCGAGGTTAGGGCGTACGATGACGGTCCGAATACCCAGCTAGATAAGACAAGTGCATGGGGGCATGCGCTGATAAGGCTCTCAGGCCTGCAGGTTTAGAAGAGACGTAGGTAATCGTTTGGAGTTTTGGGTTACATACGTGTGTATGCATGCATGGTTGCTTGGTTGCTAGTATACCCACAGGGGCGATGGAACGCTAGGGTTCATCCAGCTGTACTGCTAAAGTGGGTTTGTGGCAGGGGTGGGCATGTCTTGGCATACCAGCCACACGCAAAAGGAGGTCTGGTGGTGGAAGCCATACCGTCACGTGTGAAGAGGTTCACCTAAGACTTGTGAAGAGGTGCTTGCGTGTGCTGTCCTGACTGGGGGGTCCCAGCTTCCGTGACGACGATGATGGCGGTGATGACGCCGCGTCACCAGGCGTCCTTGCTTCAGACGACTTTGCGACGAGGGGCCGGGGAATAAGGGGCGAGGATTCGTCCCGCGCACGTGTCACGGCGACTTGTGTTGTTCCAAGTTGTTTCCCGGGCGGTAAAGGAACGTTTTAGCGTGTGTGCATTGGGGGTTAGATGTTATCTTTCCGAGCAATTTCGTGCCCGTGTGAGCAGGGTGGCGCAGTGGTGGCGAAGATTCACTTCTTGCATAACCGGTGGCGGTGCGTACGTGGCAACACGCGAGGCGCTTGCTGCCCATCAGGCTATGCGGTGCGTTGTGTAGGACAAGCAAATAACCCTGTGCCGTGGTAGAGGCAGGACGGTTTGCTCACACCGGCATAGCTTCACCGCTATGTTCAGTTGGGTACCGTGTAAGTCCCTCTGGGTTGTGTGTTGCCTGGTGTTCCTGCTTCTGTGGCAGTCCACAAAGGAAGAGAGGTGATGCCGGTGAACCGTGGGTGCGTATGGTGCATGAGCACCTTGGCTGTTGTTGTGCATGTGGACGTACTTGGAGCCGGGTGTTCATTAGTCAGTGCGGTGAGATGAGGTTGCACAGGAAGGTTGGAAAGTACGGACGGCCGTATCGTTTAGGTTATAGGGGTCTGGAGGTTCAACGTGCCTAGGTGCGTGTGTTATCGGGTTGCTAGGCGCGGGCCTTGTGGCTCTCTCCCCACATAGCTAAAATCCTCATGTAACGTTTTACTGGGCAGCTTCTGTTTGGCCCGTATACGGGGATCCCCATTCAAGCGGAAGAAGAAGCTTCTTCTTGAATTTCTAGACCTTGAACTTCAGCCTATGGCCTGAAGCCGATTAAGTCCCTGCGAGAGGCGCACAAACCCAGACTCCAAAACAGGAACCTTCTGTAAACATGGTGGACCTTGCCGCGGCCGTAGCCTGGGCAACAGATGCGATTTCCTACGGCAGTGCTTTAACGGCCGACAACGGTGCATGACGGACGGATCACGTTTGTTACGGGCGATAGGAGAGGACGACCTGGAAGGTATGAATGGCGTGTTGACAGCAAGCAAAGGGCATCATCTTCTTTTGAGCGTTGTTTGTGCAGGCTGACACGTACCATCGGCAAGTTAACGGGCTGTCCAGAGAGATGTAGTTGAAGCCCCTACACAGACCAGAACGCGATCTTGTGATGCGCATTCACCCTATGCGACTTGCTGTATGCAGGCAGGTAGGCAGGCGTCACAGCCCGCAGAACTTTCACTGTACGGAGTCTCTACGGCACTCGATTACAGACGGATATTCCTAGCCAGCCATACCTAAAAGGCGCGTAAGAAGGTAAATAAGCTTATCACTTCTATCCCAAGTACGTCTGTCAGAATTCAACAGTGGCTTTTCGCGGGTGGAGTCCCTTTCTTGACGGACAACACAGCGCTTTCATTCCAAGCTTTGTGTCCTTTCTACTATCGTCCTATAGTGTCAGATAATAGACAACTAAAATGTCAGACACACTCTGGCGTAGGCCGGCTTTTCTCGCTATGATGGTTGCCTTTGCAGTGATTGCTCTGAGCGACTCCCGTGCAAGTAAGTGCTCTTACATATGGAGGCCATGTGCGCGTTCTTGTACGGTTTGTGCAAAACCCTTAACGTTCCCATTTGCATGTAGACGCCGCACGCTCGCCGTCCCCAGTAAAGCTATCGTTCCCACCTCCACCACCTCCCATAACGTAAGAGCCGGTGGTCGCTGTTAGGTCGTCCGTGTCGACCTAAGGTCGTCCGTGTGGTCCTGTCTTGGCACCTGGAAATGGCGGGCCCAGGTCCTTATATTATCCATGTTTTAACCGGCCATGTGTCTCATCGTAGTGAACTTGTCACAAAGCGCTCTGGACCGGCTTGCATCCAATCCCGACGAAAGCCATTCGCAGCGGTCCATGTGCTCCAGAAAGCTTTCTCAGCGGCAAGGGGCCAAGATGGGCTTACCCTTCCAAAGCGGATTGATCATTATTGGGATTGTTGATTGTTGAAACTCTTGATGCAGGTAGTCGGAAAGGCTATGCCCGTAGCCAACGGGCCGACGGTTCGCTCACCTGATTCCCCGTGCTTGCCCTGCCTGGTCACATGGCCCCCGCAGGAAGCGTTTTCCATTCCTATCTTGCGGGGCTAACGACTGCACCGAGACCCCTTTGGAGATGGTCTTTGCCGAAGCGGAGAAGGGGTCGCAGGAAGGTGATTGGCCATCAGTTACCTTCCGCATCCAGCGCAGAGCGAACTACGCGGGCAACAGCAGCAGCAGCTGTCATTCAATGCTGCGCGGGGTGAAGGAGCTTCGTATCCGATTGCGTAAGTGTACTTCCCCCTCGCTCGCATGTTATGTAGTAGGGACTAAGGGGCTGGCTGACAACAACAGCAACACCTGCACCCACTTACAAATGTATATGCCCGACATCAAATGCTGCAACCCTGCCTCAAAGCTCTGCCCCCTTTAACCCCAAACCTAATTCCTTACACATCTTTGCCCTTACGCATTTGACCTCTTTGCCACGTGTACAACCCTCTCCCTCTCCCTTCAGACAACGCAACCCTCACCTCCAAGATTACCGCAACCGTCAACGGCGCAGTGGTGAATAGCTCCATCAAGCTCCACCAGAAGGGCCCTGAGGGCCCAACCTACTTCCTCGTCGTACCCCTGCGCCAGCTCAGCGCACCGGATTTCAAGACCGGAGCAACCGTCAACGTCCGAAGCAACAACCCATTCATGCCCATCGTCAGCTACATAGTCGACACGTCGCAGTTCGTTGGCGTCTACAACCTAACCAACGGAAATGGTAATGGCAATACGCCGTACGATGTGTACGACAAGGGCGTTACCTACAGCCTCGTCCGTACGGGCTCTGATGCCTGCTGCCCTAAATGTACGGCGCGCTTTCAGTACGGCACTCCGTCCAAGACCTGCTCCGGCTGCGGTGGCGGAAGCATCTACAGCTACTGTGTTGTCAACCGTGTGAGCACCGACTGTCGAAATGCGTTGATACAGTGCCTTTTTGCACAGACTGTGTCCAACGCGTATTACTTTACCAACAACAACCCTACGACCTGCTATCATTGCAGCTCCTCTAGCTCGCTCAACATGTGTACATATACTGGCGTGACGATTAGTGGGTCAACTTTCTGCTGCTCCATTTCGCCTTAAGCCCGAGGTGATTGCCACCTTTGCTGCCTACGCTACTGGCGGTGACACCGGCTGCTACATACACATGTCGGCTGGCTAAGGTTCCGCAGAGGGGTGCTGCATGCGCCCGCAGCGTCTTTGTGCCGGCTAATGGTGTTGATCCTGCTGCCCCCGAGGGAGAGGGGAGGGAGAGAGGGGCAGAGCGAGAAGAGGGAAGAGAGAAGGAGGGTGAGGTGGGAGGTCTGCAGGCTGGCTGTGTGTTAAGAAAACTGGCCGCGAGGCGAAACGTACTGTGTACTGTGCGTGTGTGTATGCGACGGCAAAGCGCAGGGTGGGAATGCAGGGGGGAAGCTTCCGTGGCTACTTGTGGATGCCTCTGGAGAGCGTGATGAAGAAGTGGCAGTGTTGCTGTCTTTTGCAGCGGTTGTTCGGTTTCGGTAATGTGAAGGCGTGTGTTAAGGCGTGTGTGTGTGTGCAGCGTGCCCTCCTTTCAGACGAAGTGGGCTTTCTATGCCGGCCTGAGGAAGTGCCGCTCGGAAATGTTATGCTGGGGATTAAGAAGATTCGAAGCATGGTAGCTAGGGTGACTTCGAAGATGCGAAATCCCGACGTTTTGGGGCTTTATCCGGCTGAAATTAATGGGGTACGTGCCCGTAGCCGCATGCGAGCGGGATGAAGGGGGGTTAAAAGAGAGCGCCCATGGGGCAGACGGCAGGTTTCAGCAGGAGCTGTTACTGGGTGCCGTGAAGTAGCGTATGTTAGGGGTATGTGGGTGGCCGGGCAAGCGGGCCGCTGCGCGGTCGGTATCCCCGGTGTCGCCTTTGCTGCAGGACTGACACGTGCGTGCGGTTGTATGACTGTGACGGGTGAGGGCTCCTGTTGTGGTGGTGGGTGGTGATGGGGCAGGGGGATGTCAGGGGGATCCTGGTTGCCTTTCTCGGCACGGGTGCACACTGCTGTGAGGGCACGCGTGTGGGATATGGAGGCCTTATTACTGATACGTTTACGCCAGTGCGAATAATGACCTGAGCAGATTGCGGATGATGGTTGTGGTGGTGGTGATGATAATGGCTATCTTGATGTTCTCCCTGTTCGGTGCTTTTGGTTGACATGATTGGTGGGAGCTGTTGCTGCTGACGCGCTGCAGTTGCGGAGGAGGAGGCCGTACGATGTAGGCCATGTGACAATCATGCTGTACAGATGCCGTTCATGTATGACATTTACTTTTTTCTCTTTTCTTTCCTCGTTACGATGACAATTGCCCTTTTCCCAATACCCCTGTACATGTGGCATGTTCTAGCCTTGACAGGAAGGGAAGGGTAGAGCTGTGTGAACTGTTAAGGGGCCGGTTGGTTGGTGTTAGTTGTTTGATTGGTGTGAGAAAGCGCCCTCAGGCGTCGGGCGCTGTCTTCCAGCGAGAGTGCGTTGGGGATTTATATCGGCGGAAGTTTGCGGCGAACACCGTTACTACCTTGCGATCGCCAAATCCGTTAACCTACAGATGCGCCTCATATTGGTAGATGCGTACTTGGGTTGGGGAGACATGTGTGCGACACCCGACACTGGGGGAATTCATGACGGCCTCGTTCTAAACATTTTCATCCATTGCTAGGTTGGGGTTTTGTTTGGGAGGAGGAAGTGTCCACATGACGTGGGTCGGATGCTTCTGGAGAGCTCTATGATGGCATTCACGTGTTGGTGTTGATAACGGTTTGGGGCGGTATAAAGGTTGCAGGGCAGTTGGTGCCTCGTTACGTTACCCGCCTTTGGGGCACGGTTTTGTCTAAAACCGTGATGGGTGATTGCCTAGTATGCGCTCATGATTGGCGCCTCCCATTTGTGCGTGCGGGTGTGATAATTGGGTGTTCCCTGTTGGGTCATCCCTTCATGCTTGGCGGGTGTTGGCTGGGGGTGTAGGAGGCGTTTTCGCTCTTCATCGTGTATTATGCATAGAAGTAGGTATTTGCGCACATCTATATCATGCAGTAGCCCATTCTCTATCTGCGTATGTTTTTCAAATTAGATAACACGGTAATCCTTGGTTCAGAAACGTATTTGTTGACAGTTGCTTGACTCGTGTAATACCAACAGCCCGCTGAGTGTTGCATGCGCGCCGGCCGCGACCGTTCCTTGTTGTCCGGCGCAGTCCGTGACAGCACCTCTCTCTCTCACCCCGCCCGAGTCCCCTGTGGGTGGCCCCAGAGGCCGCAGGTCACCCTTGACGGGTCCCGCCCCCCAAAGGGGAACAGCTTCCCAGGTCTACGTCGCAAGAGCATAGCGCCTGAACGTGGCATTGTATGCGGTGTGAGCTATGCGGGTTTCCACACGCCCGGTTACACATCTCACACGGCAGCTGTACGGCACTGGGATAGCGGTACATGCCCGGCGGCGGGTGTACCGGTAAGCGTACACCCTGTACTTCCCTGCCTTCCCTCCTCCCGGCCTTCCTCCCCCCACTCTCCTCTCCTTCATCTTCTTGCCCCTCCTGCTGCTGCCTTCCTCGTGCCATCAACCACTGCTGCTGCTGCTGCTGCACCCATCCTGCACCCCAACTCCTCCCCGCCCCGCTACTGCCCCTCCCCCTGCCCCCCCGCCATCATGTACTCCGCCAGCATCTCCGCCTCCGTGACGTGCACCTCACCCGCCACCACCAAGCAGTGAAGCGGGGCGCCAAAGTCAACCTGGGGGGGAGGGGAGGGGAGGGGAGGAGGGAGGGGGAAGGAGGGGGACCTTCGTGTTTGCATTCGACATGGCGATGGGAGGGGGTGACGGTCAGGGCCTGCAGGGTGGGTGGCCCAAAAGGCGGTGGGTGATGAGTGGGGGGTGTAAGAGGTGTCCCGCCTTGCCACAATGCGCGTGCCGGTATTGTAAGGGGCCGCCGCTGCTGCCCAGGGGGGGCAGTGCTCCCTCACCCAGCCCCTCACCCTCTTTCCACTTCGTTTCCCTACCCCCCACCCCACCCATACACACACGCGCACCCACCTGTTGCAGCTGCGCCAGGGTGCCCGCCACAATCTGCTGGTCATCCGCCTGCGTGGGGTCGGGGTGAGGTGGGGAAGGAGGGTGGGGGTGGGGTGATGGTGGGGGTCATGGGGTTGGGGGCGACGGGGGGGTCAGTTAAAAAACACGTTGGGAGGAAATCGACACACGCTCCGACGACACGTCATCACGTCAACCACCAACCAACCCATCTTACCTGCAACCGAGCAATCCCAACTGCCAGCGTATCGGGTCCGAATGCGCCGCCCTTCCGCGTCTCCTCCACTTCCAATAGTTGGCTAATAGCCTGCGTGTTTGTGTTTGGGGGGGGAGAGGTAATTATATTGCGGGGCGTAGGGGCGATAATTGGTTGGGAATCGTTAGAATGGTTCTGGTTTCAAGGGTTAGGTTCGCCAACCCCGCTTGCCTGTTGGCTCCTTAACTTCCGTTCATCACCATCTCCCCGCTCCGCCTCAGCTAACCCCCTCCCCTCCTCTCCGTGTGCTCCCACCGTATGTCTAAACACCACCGCCACCCCACTCACTGGGGGGGGCGGGGGCGGGGTTAAACTGCCACCTTACTGTCGTCTGACCCCATTGCTTTGCCCCCACCTGTGGGTTTAGTATACGGTATCTCTGACCCCCCCCCTCCCCCCCCCACCGTGTTGATGCTCATGTATCGGGGCGGTTCGTACACCGTTCGGCCCCGAGCCAGGGCCGCCAGGTTGGGCTCCTTCACCTGGGGGGGGGGTCAAAGACCATACCAAACCATAGGAGACCACAAGTTAGGGCAAAGCGGGGGCGGGGGAGAATGGGGAGGTGGGGAAGGAAGAGATGGAAAGAACATGTGTTGAAGACAGTGGCAGCATCCTGAGGGGATGGGATGAGGAGGCGGACGGATGGGGGAGGCAGAGGGAGGAGGGGGAGCAAACCTCCCCCGCCCCTCTTCATGGCTGTGGCGCATGTACGTGCCGCCAGCCACTTCTGCCGCACGCCTCCGCCGCAGCAGCGCAGTGCAGTGCTGTACTGGTGGTGGTGGTGGCTGCCTCACTGGCATATCGGTACTCAGAGCTGGGCTCATCTCCTTCCTACCCCCCCCCACCCCCTCCCCCCTCCCGGCCCCCCCCACCTTGATGTCCAGTAGACACAGCGTGTGCAGTCCAGCCCTGGTGGGGGGAGAAGGGGGGTGGGAGGGGGGAGGGGGGCAGGGGCCGGGGGCGGCAGGGACGTCGGTGTGTGTGGGGGCGGGGGGGCGGGGCAGGCGTTCTAAGAGGAGGAGTACCGGTAACGGCAGCAGCAGCAGGCAAGGCGTCTTCCCTATTCCCACCACCACCACCGCCCCACCCTCCATTCCCCCGAGCGGTCCCCCTCCCTCTCATTCTTCCCCCCCTCGGCCCCTCTCCCCCCCCCCCACCTCCTGTTGGCCAGTATCTTGTCGTAGAAGGAGTCGGGGCGCCAGGAGTCGGTGAAGAACACCACGGAGATGGCCTTAGGGAGGGGGGAGGGGAGGGGGAGGGAGGGGGAGGGGGTGGGAAAGAGGAAATAACTAACTGACCGTGTGATAAGGCGGTTAGGGGCGGAAGGGGGGTTGGGGGCGAACGTGCGGGAGGGGTGGAGAGGGGGAAGAGGAGGACAGCGGATGCAGATGAGGAGCGGGCGCAGGATGAGAGGCGGCGGGTGGGCGACCAGCCGGGGCGCCACCGCACGCATGCAGTGTAATCCATCCACTGCCGCCTGCCGTACCATTACCCCTGCAGCCACACACTGATACTGGCGGCCCCGGACCCCTCCCTCCCCCTCCCCCTCCCCCCCGCTTCCGGCTCCCCTCCCCCTCTCCCTCTCCCCCCACCTCCCCGTCCCCCTGTCCCCCCTTCCCCCTTACCTCCCCAAACCTGTACAGCGACAGCCCGCACGCCCCCACCGCGTTCATCACCGACGCGTTGTGCACCACCCGCACTCGGATACCCCGCTCACGCGCCCGCAGCTGCAGGTCGGTGTGGGTGGTGGCGCTGGGGGGGGAGGGGGGGAGGGGGGACGGGGGAGGAGGGTGTGGCAAACGCAGGGAGGACTGCGGGCTCATGTCAGTGGGGGCCAGGAGCGGGGGCAGGGCGGCGGGGGCGGAAGGACAGGGGCAGGGCTGCCAGATTGGGAGCCACACGGGGCGGCTGGGGCGCCCTCCCGACACCGCCCCCTCCTGCTGGCTACCTCGATGTGCTGGCGACGCTACTTTCTACCTCCCTATCCCTGTTCGCTCTGGCTTCGGTAAGTCTTCATTTTTTGGTAAGTGCATTACACGTACTGGCTCGCTAATTCGGGCTGGGCGGGTCGGGCTGGCTCACATGTTGCAACCCATGTGACGCCTTATCCCTCAGTCAGTTAGTTGTTTCCTCTTTACCCCCTCCACCCCCTCCACCCCCTCCCACCCACCCACCCACCCACCCACCCGAATGGGTCGCCCACCACACAAAAGGCCACATCCTCCGTCTCCGCGCCCGCCAGGATCTCCTCCGCTCGCTAGGTGGGGGGAGGCAGGGAAGAGTAGGTGGGGGGGGGGCGGCCGGTTAGGGGGATGGGCAGTGGGATGTGTTTGGTTGGGCGTTTAGTTGGGTGGTGGGTATGCGCTTTAGGAGCAGGAAGGGGTGGAGGCAACATGTCGTGACCTGCGCAGGGCAGCGCATGGGAGGTGGATTGGCAAGCATGTCAGCAGGCAAAAACGCATGCGCGTGCGTGCGTGTGTGTATGTGCCCCCTTCCAAAACGCCCGTAAGCCCATGTCCACCAACCAACCCCAGCCTGATCAGTAAACCCCGCATCACCCCTCTCACCGATTCCACCATTTCGCGGTCCGCCACGATAACCGGCTTGCCGTACAGCTCCTCCTGAGGAGGGAGGGAGGTACAAATTAAAGAGACACAGGGAGGGAGGGAGGGAGGGGGGGATGGAGGGGGGGGGGGTCTACCATGAAAACCGCACTCAGGATGTGATGCAGAATGCGCCCCAGGGTTGTGCCGTACATGCCGTACGACGTTTGCAAATCCCCAGTGGCCCCTCCTCCTTCTCCAGCCGTACATGCCGTGCAGGCGTGCATGCAATTCCTCCCGTCCTCAACAATGCCTCCGCTTCCCTGCTGCTCCACCCTGGCCCCACCCCTCCTCGGTGCCCTCCTCCTCCCCCTCCAGCTCCCGCAGCAGCAGCAGCAAGCCCAGCAGCCCCCCAGCAGCTGCCAGGTCCCCCCCGCCCCCTCCCCGCACCAGCTTCTCCTTGTCGCACAGCAGGATGGAGGTGTAGGCCTCCAGGTAGACGCGGGAGCACTTGCGGATCGCCTCCAAACCCCTGCCAGCACAGGGAGGTGTGTGTGTGTGTGTTAAGGAAACTGGCCGCGAGTGGGAACGTATTGTGATTGCCAGGAGGTGTGTGTGTTGGGTTTTGCTTCGGACGGTTAGGTGCCGAGAGGTGCCAGGGGATGAGTGGCATGTCCAGGGGAGGGGGCCGGCTTCGGAAGCGAGCATCGTGAAGGAGAGGCCGGAATGGACATGGGGCATGTCTGGAGTCTGGTACGTCTGGAGTCTAGCCAAAACGTACGCATGAGGTGGAAAGAGCTGGTAGCTACAAGGACGGGAAGATTGATGGATAAATTGAAGGGGTTGCTCCCGATATGCTAGTAGAAGCAAGCCAGTCGCCATAGTCGGCGAGTCATGGACGGCTGGCTAATAAGTGAACCACTTCAATTGCGTACAAGCAACCCATTTACGCGTTATGCTTTTGTAACTGTTTGAGGACTCTGTCGTTATACTTGCCTCAGGGTGATGTCCTTCTCATTGAACAGTCCTAGCCCCACAAGGTATAGCACCATGGTTCTACTACAGGCGAGTTACCCAAGACGTATTACTTGCTTGCTAATGCTAATTGCTTCTAAGAAGAAAGCGCTTTCCGCGTATGCAAGGATGGCGACGCGTTGGGCGGGAAAATAACGGCGGCGATAAGAAAGGCGCAAGGTGAAACAAGTGTATGAATTAAACGAGTTCTTTGCTTTCCGTCCTCAGAGCAATCGTCCGAATCGCCGCGGCGAAATCCGCAGTACGCGGGCTCCTGGTTAGTCGTCACAAACCGGATTCGCCGGACTTCATTCCATACACGCCCAACAACAGATGCCACTCGTATGCACCTTAAGACCTAACCGGCGACGGGAAACTGCACTAACCGCTAGCAGCTGGAGGTACGGCATATTCATCACAAGGATCCTGGCCGCCGTACAATGCGACGTCCGAGTCGCACTGTCATAATGCTAATCTGACAGCCACGCACCTGATACGGGTATCCCAAGCTCACAGGTGGAGTCACACGCTAGATATGCGGCACTTCATAAACTTCTAGTCAATGTTTCCATCCCAAGGGACACTGGGGCAGTCTAACGCGGCGCTTAACTAAGGCTCCTAAGGCTTCCCGAACCAGCAATCGCTCCTCTGTTTAAGCCTTCCTTGCCACCTCCTCATCCAGCCATTCAAGCTGTAGAGCCAAGCACAGATTGCAGATGAACCCTCATAATAAACACGCAACACCTCATGTCTTCAAGCGGCCCAGACATGCGGCTCTATCTTCACTGCCTTCCCCCTTGCTGCCCTTCCTTGCGGATTCCCAAGAGACGAGCGTGTCTGCTCGGCTTCCTCCGTGTCTGCCCCCAACCACTTCCTCCCCTCACAGCTCGCTTCGGTCCCGCGGCGCATCCGCATCCGTCTCCACCTCCCAGCCCTGCGCCCCGTCCCCATCCTCATCTTGCTGCTGCTGCTGCTGCGCTGCTCCGACTGCTGCAGAAGCCTCCCCCCTCTGCCCTGCCGCTGCAGGGAGAGGCGGCACTGCTGCCCCCGCCTCGGCCGCCTCCAGCCGGCTCTGTGGGCGGGTGGGTGGTGGTTGGGGTGGTTAGAGAAAGGGAAGTGGTTTGTTTGGAGGGGGAAAGGTAGACGTGATACTTCAGAGGACTGCGGGAGAAGTGCAGGAGCAGGAACAAAGGTATGATAGGACAAAGCGATGGGTCGGACATGGAGGAGGAGGAGGCGGCCACGGCAACACACCCTCACAGCACCCGGGGCAGTAGGGTACTACCGCTCCGAGCAGGAGGTGCACTCCCTCGCTCCTCCCTCCCCCCCTCGCTCGTCCCAATACACACACACCCGCACCTCCCGCCCCCCTCCCCTCCCCCCCCCCTCACCTGCACCTCCCGCGTCACCTCCTCCTGCTGTGCGTCCAGCTGCTCCCACAGCGGCCCGATGATGCGGCGCGCGGCGGCCAGCTTGGGCTCCTTGGTGCGAGGGTTGTTGCACAGGTCGATGGTCTTAGCCTGGGGGGGGGGAGGGGGCGGGGAGGGAGGAGGGCGGGGGGGAGGGAAGGGGGGGGAAATAAGATAAACCGAGCCGAGGGAGGGGTGGGAAGGGAACAAGGCAAGGCAAAGGGGATAGGAGGCGGCAGGGTGAGCAGCCCTTTTCTCGGTAGTGAGTCCTAGTCACTGATTGGGGAATGAGATGCCTGTGCCTGCCTAACCAGGAGACAGCAGATCGCGAAGGGAGGCGGCAGGAGGAGGCGGCAACAGAGGGGTGCAACAGCACCGGGTGACGGGCCGCCTGACGGCTGGTGCGAGTGGGGCAGGAGGGGAGGTACCTACTGGGACAACACCAGCACCTCCCCCACCGCGGACCCGGTATCGGTAGGGAATACTAACCAACACTTTGTCTTGTGGCGCCCTGCCAACTTCTACCCCCATTGCTTTGCCCTAACTTGTGGTCTCCTATGGTTTGGTATGGTCTTTGACCCCCCCACACCGGATGGCGAGACCCAGGCCCCCAGCCGCCTCTCCCTGACACCCCTCCCCCCAACCCCTCCGACCCCCCCCCCACAACACCCCCCTCCTACCTTGTCCTTCGTGGCATTGCCGCACCAGCTCTCACACCACAGCCACTCCTGCAAGGGGGGGGGCGGGTGGGTTGGGGGGGGGGGGTGTAGTGGGTAGGGGCAGGGTCGAGAAGGGCGACATGCAAGGGTTACAACGAATGCAGCGAGGGAGATGGCCAGCTATGTCAAACTGCTCCTTCCCTTCCCCTTCGTCCCCCCTCCCCCCTCCCTCCCCCACCTGCGGCAGCGAGTGTATGCGAATGCTGTGTTGCGCGTAGTTGGGCAGGTCCTGGTCCAGGTTGGCCAGGCTATTGGGGTCCTTGGACAGCTGGTCGTACACCACCCGCAGCTGGTCACCTGGGGGGGGGGGGGAGGAAAGGGGGGGAGGGTGAAGGGGTAAGAGGAAGGAACTGGCGAGCGAAGAGGCGGAGGGGGGTCGGGGGGTTCAGGAGATGAGGTGGAAAGGAGGAGAGGAATACACCTCAGTAGTGTGATGTGTAGGAGGAGTGCATCTCAGCAGTCCCACCATCCACCACCACGTCAACGCTACCTCACCACCCCACCACACCCACCGACACCACCTCACCACCTCACCTATCGCCCCCTCACCCCCTCCTAGGTACTCCCAAACCAGGCCTCCCTCCTTCCCTCTTACCCCCGCCTCACCCCCCGCCTCACCCCCTCCACTCCCCCACCCCCACCTGCCGCGATCTGCCTAAAGCGCTTCAGGTCCACCAGGTAGAGCGCGGAGATGTGGTAGGGCTTGCCCTGGGGGGAGGGACAAGGGGGGGGGGGAAGAGGGGACGAAGGGAGGGGAGGGGGGAGGGGAGAGGGGGGAGGGATGGGTGGGGAGAGTGAGATCGTGAGGAACGGGAGTGGCGGGGAGGGTCTTCCCTGGGTGTGCAAGACCACACATACCGCACCCCACACCCGCGTACGGCTGTCATGGATGCACTCGGAGGGGCAGCCAGCAGACACCCCCCCCACCCCACACAGCCCTCCCCCCCCACCCCCCCCACCTGCAGGTGGTCCCGCCAGAAGCCGCCCTTCCAGAAGCGGTACTCGTCCATCTCCTTGTTGTTGTCGCAGAAGGGGGTGTAGGCGTAGGGGGCGCCCTGGGGGGGGGGGGGGCGGGGAGTGCGGGGTGCGGGGGAGGAAGGTGAAAACTGTCAACAACAACAACTACAACAACAACAACAGACAGGCACAAGGGAAGTCCGCGCGAAGCAGCTGAGATCCCCCTTCGGTTGCAGGTGCAGCGGTGTACCCTCACCTCCCCCACCTCCTCCCCCCCTGTACATACACACGTTCCTCCTCGCGGCCAGGTGTCTAATGCCCCCCACTTCACCCTGGCATCTCCCCCCCCCTGCCCCCCTCCCCCCCTGCCCCCCTCCCCCCCTTCCCCCCCCACCTTGAGGTCCATGTGGTACAGCTCCGCCAGGTCGGCCCGCACCACCTGGTCGCTGTCCACGAAGATGATGCGGGGCAGGCCCAGCGGGAACAGCACGTCCAGGAACAGGATCTTGTACGCCCAGATGAGCCGCTGCTTGTCGGTCTGGGGGGGGGGAGGGGAGGAGAGGGGAGGAGGTAAACTGAGCCGCGGGCTGAGGGGGGAAGGAGGGGGGGGGGGTATGACAGGAAACTGGCGCCGGGGGGGGGTCAAAGATTATCCCGAACCATAGGGAATCCACAAGTTGGGGCAAAACAATCGTTAGAAAACAGTAGGGCGCGGGGGGGGGAGGGTAAGTGAGACCCCGTGGCACGCAGGGCCGCATGCGGCAGGCAGCATCCGCAACACTGCACCCCCCCTCCTCCACCCGCACACCCATACACACACACCCTCCTACACACCTCCCCCCCACCCCCCACCTGTTTGTGCAGCCAGTGCGGCCACTTGTACGTCACGAACTCGTACTCGAAGCCGTACCGCTCAGCCAGCGCGGGGAGGACCTGGGCGCGGGGGGAAGGCGGGGGCCAGGTGCAAGGCCCGTCAGTCCGGGTGGCAGATGTGGTGTAGAGCCCCCTCAGGGGCCAGCAGCGCACACCGGTCGGCAGTGCGGTGGGGGTGCTGCGGGCTATTGTGTCTTTCCGCTCCCTCCCCCCTCCCTCTCTCTGTGGGTTGGTGTGGTCTTTTCCAACCCTCCCCCTCCCCCTCCCCCCCCTTCCCCCTCCCCCTCCCTGTCCCCCCTGCGCACCTGCTTGTGCTGCGGGCTCATGTAGTTCTGGATGATCCAAAACTTGACCCTGAGGGAAGACGGTTAAGGGCAGGTGAATTGCATGCAGTCTAGTTTGCTGTCTTAGTCGTAGGCTGGAGAGGATGGGGGGAGGTGGGGAGTTTGCTTGGGGAACTGGAGGGGTGGCACATCAGTAATGGGCCCGCCTACGTATGCGTCAGGTCGGTGCGTAGGCGCCCCAACCGCCCACCTACACACACTGCACAACACCATGGGGACAGCGGGGACACGGGCTGCATGCGGGTGGGTGAGCCACCACCGCCCCCACTGCATGCGGGTGGGTGAGTTAGTTGTCTCCTCACTTTCCTTACTTTTACCCCACCACCACCACCACCTCCCCTGCTCCTCCTCCTCCTTGGCACACACACCCCGCCCCTGTGTCCAACGCCCCCCTCCCCCTCTTCCCCCCCTCCCCCCCCGACCCCCCCCCCCACCTCGACTGCGTGTGTCGCAGTACGGACAGGATCATGATCTTCTGCAGTCGCTCGTACATGTGCCCGCTCGCCACCGTGAACACGTTGATGGTGTCGCCCCCCGGCAGCTTGGGCTTGGGGGGGTGGGGCTTGGAGGGGGGCTTGGGGGGCGGGGAGCCCTTGCCCCTGTGGGGGGTGGGGGCGGGAGACAGTGGGGCTCGTGTGGCAGCAGCGGTGAGAGCGGCAGAAGACAGAAGACGTGAGTAGCGCGCAACAGCAGCAGCTGGGGAGGAGGAGACCCGCAGCCAGGTGCGACTGCACACCCCAGCGCAACAGCAGCAGCCAGCACCCCCCGCCCCACCCCCTAGCTTGGGGTGGCTTCCTAACGGTCCGTCGCTCGTTGACACCCCCCTCCCCTGCAGCAGAGGACACGCAGCCCCCACTCCGTAACTGCCCTTACTCCCCTCGACTCCTCCACCCCAACCAGGCAACACAACCCTGCCAGCCGCCTCCCCCCCACCCCCACCCCTAACCCAACCCTCTCACGTCTCCCACCCGCCATCCCAGCACACACGAGCGCTTCCGGTGTTCCTGTACCTCCCTGCCCCACGTCCCCCTCTCCCCCCCTTCCCCCTTTCCTCTCCACCCTCCCCTCCTCCCCTGCTCCTACAAACTCACATGATGAGCGACGACACCCGCCCCAGAAGCCCCCGCTTCTCGCCCTCCCGCTCCTCATCGGGGTCAGCGTACTCGTCGTCGTCATCGTCCTCCTGTGGGGAGGGGGCAGGTAAGGGGGGCCAGGGGGGTGTTATGGTTGAGGTATGGGTGCGTTACGGGCCCGTTTATTTACTGTGGGTCATCGTCATCGTCATCGTCTTGCATTGCTCGCACGCGAACGCCCTCCCTCATGAGACTGTGCTTCCCTTCCCATGTCCCTTCTCCCCCCCCTCCCCCCACACCCCCCCTACCTCTTCCTCCTGCCCCGCCCCCTGCCCCTCCCCTCCCGCCGCCTCCTGCAGCATGTCCTCCCCCTCCCGGCCGGGCCGCTTGCGGACACGCATCACCATGTGTTTGCCTGGGGGGAGGGGGGGGGGCAACACGAGGTGGTACGACAGGGGAGGTGCGGCAGCATGGAAGGAATGGGGGGGTCCACATGCAAAGCCCCCGCCCCGGTGCAAGGCCCCCCACCCCCTCTACTGCCACCCTCCCCATCCCCCTCCCCTCCTTTCCTTCCGCCCTCCTCCCTCCAACAAACCCCCCCCCCACCTGAGAAGCTGGAGATGAGCACCTGCGTGCTCACATCGCTGTCACCACCCCCACCCGCCCCTGCCGCCCCCTCCTGCTGCTCCCCCTCCCCCTCCTCCGCCTCCCCGGCAGCCAGGGCCTCCAGGCTGGCTCCCGTGCTGGACACCAGCGAGTACAGCTCACGAGACCTGGGGGGGGCATGTTGAGGGGGAGGGGAGAGGAGTCAGCCATACCCCAGCACTCTCCCCGCGGCAGCCCCAACCACCTCGCTCCTCCCTTTTCCCTCCCTCCCACCTCCTTCCGTCCTCCCTCCCAGCCATCTCCCCCCTCCCACCTTCCAGGCGCCAGCGACAGCAGCCACCGACCTGGAGCCGCCTGGGGGTGGGGGTGAAGGGGGTGGGGTTGTGGGTTGAGTGGGGAGGGAAGCGGTAGCGGAAGCGGCGACAGGACAGCCGCAGCAGGCGAGTCAGGGTGCAGGGGTCAGGGTGCAGGGGGGCGATATGGCTCGGCACCAGCAGCAGTCCCTCTCCCACCCCCCCTCCGCCCCCACCCACCTTGAGTTGGAAGTAGGCCAGGTTTGCCATCACCAGCGTGTCCACTGTGTGCGGGCGGGCGGGGGTGCCCAGGTGCAGCTGCAGGCCGCGAGGGGGGGTCTGGGGGGGAGGGGGGAAGGGGAGGGGGGGAGGGGGATTAGCAGGGCGGGAGCGAGGGAGGGCTCCTACTACCACCACCTTCACACGGCCCTCACCCCCCCCCCTCCGCGCATGCAGCAGTGCACTGCAAGGGCCCCCTCCGGCCCCTCCCCCGCTAGCTACCGAACCCGGAGTACAGCTCCCACCTCGCCCTCCCATGTCCCAACCCCCTCCTCAACCCCTCCCCCCTCCCCCCCTCTTCCCCCCCCCACCATGCGCCCCGACGCCGTGACATCCACACACGAGCCCGTCAGCATGAGCGCGTCCAGCTCGAACTCCGCGTACACAACCTGGCAGGGGGGGAGGGGAGGGGGGGGAGGGAGGGGGGGGGGAGGGAGGGGGGGGGAGGGAGGGGGGGGAGATGGAGGAGGATTAGGGTAACCAGGAGCCAGGAAACACGGTCCGTGACCATAGGAAGAGGAGGTAAAGGCAAGAGGGGTAACGCGGTGAGAGGTGCACACGGGGAGACCACATGACATGGTTGGCCCTTCCCCCTCCCCTCCCAATCCCCCGCCCCGCCCCGCCCCTCCCCTCCCTCCCAATCCCCCACCCGCCCCGCCCCGCCCCACCTCCCCCGCCACATCCTCCAGCCTCAGGTTGTCCAGGTCCGCTGCCGCCGTCGCCGGACTGACCAGCCACGCCTCGGGCACATCCAGGTTGAGGGTGAGCACGCGACGGGAGGGCAGCCGGGAGAAGGAGGCGGAGGGGGGGCCGGGGGGGGAGGAGCTGGAGGCAAGCTGGGGCAGGGCGAACCTGAGAGGGGTGGGGTGGGGTGGGGTGGGGGGCGAAGGGGGTATTGTTGCGGGGTGTGGGGTTACGGAGTGGGGTTTGGCGGAGGGTTCCTCCTCTCCTCCCCAGCACAGCCCACTCGCGCCTTGCATCTCTAAAGCCCCCCACCCACCCCGGCCCGCGTAGCAGCACGTTACGAGTAACCCTATACACATTACCTCCCCTCCCCCTCCCCTCCACCTCCCCCTCCCCCTCCCCCTCCCCCTCCACCCCCCACCTGTAATAGCTCTTGAGCGGCATCTCCGTCACCTCCTTGGCGGGGTGCAGCAGCAGCCGCAGCCCCACCCCGCCGCCACCCCTCTCACCCCCCTCAGGCCCCCCCACCGCCCCCCGCAGCAGGGCCAGCAGGGGCGCCAGGCGTTGGGCGGTGCGGGACAGCGGGTCCAGCACCGCGGTGAGGTGGAGGGAGGGGGCGGGGGGGAAGGAGGAGGAGGAGGAGGAGCTGGGGGGCAGGTTGATCTGGGGGAGGGGGGGAGGAGGTGAGGGGGGAAGGGGAGGGGGGGAGGGGAGGGATTGAGGGGAGATGTGTGAACATGTCCCGAGTAGCTGCAGCTGCGGACGGGTAAGGCCCGGGGCATGTGGAGCGAGCATGTCCGGACGCGCATGTCGGGCGCCTGCCTCCTCAACCACCAACCATGCAAGTGGAGCCCCCGTCCACCTTCCCCCGCCCCCCACTTCCCCTTCCAACACACATCTCCCACCCTCCTCCTCCGCTCCGCTGCGCCGCTGTCCCTCTCAGTCATGCCCCCAGACACCCCTCCCCCTCTTCCCCTTCCCATTCCCTCACCCTCATTCCCTCACCCCGCGGATGCCCCCCCCCAGTCCACCCCACTCCCCCACCTCCAGCCCCTGCCCCTTCATGTGTTCCAGCGCCTGCAGCAGCTGCCGCGACACCCCCGCACCCAGCAACATGCCGCCTCCTCCCCCTGCTGCTGCGGCTGCACTGCCGCCTCCCCCTGCGCTGCTGCTGCCGCTGCTGCTGCTGCGCTCGGAGAGGGTGAGCGCCGCTGCCACTGCTGCGGTGAGGTCTGAGAGGGAGTTCTGGGAGGCGAGGGAGGAGAGGCCCGGGGGAACACCCTGGGGGGGGAGCGGAGGGGGCGGAGGGGGCGGGGTGGGACAGGGCGAGTTAGCGGAGGGCAGCGGAAGCACAGAGGGTGAAGGCAGCAGCCACAGGAGGGGGACAGGCTGCATCCGGTGTACGGCAGATGGATGAAGTGAGTGGGCTGAGCAACCCCCCTTACGCCTTATCACACAGCCCGTTACTTGTTTCTTCATCACCCCCCCCCCCCTCTCACCCGCAGAGGCCCCCCCGCCCCCACATGCGCCCGCTGCAGCTCCCGCGCCACCGCCGCCGCCACCCCCGGCCCCCCGCCCGCCACCACCCGCTGCAGCAGCGGGAAGTCCTCGGCGACCAGCTCGGAGGGCTGCATGCGGGGGGGGGGAGGGAGGGGGGAGGGGAGGAGGGGGAGGGGGGTGTTGTGTAGGTGCGGGTTCAGGGGGGTCAAAGGGGGAAGTTACAGGGGTTTCGGGTTTGTAAGCTTTGGGAGGGAAGCTGTGTTGGAGCGCACGTGTACGGCTGGATGCGCCACTATCACACGCGCGCACACCGCCACCGGGGGAGGCGGGCGGGTTGCCCTGTACGGCACCCGCCCCCCCCCATCAGCCTGCTGCTGCCCTCTACCAGAAGTCCAGAACGGGGGAGTGGGCACTCACTCGTACTTCACCCATGCAAAACACATGCGGTGTCCCCCCAGCCCCCCAGCCCCCCAGCGCCCCCCAGCCCCCCAGCGCCCCCCAGCCCCCCTGCTGGGCAGCGAGGAGTACGACGAGAGCATCGAGTACGGCAGGGGTGGCGGGGTAGTGCGGCTACACTCGCTTAGGACTGCTGCCTAGGGCGGCCATGCGACCAGATGTGCTGCTTATGGGAACGTGACACGACCGTACCCAGCCCCCCCCAGCCCGCCCCTCCCCGCCCCTCCCCGCCCCTCCCCGCCCCTCCCCGCCCCTCCCCGCCCCTCCCCTCCCCCCCACCCCCCCACCCCCCACCTGCGCTCCCGGCCTCGTTAGCACCGGCGTCACTCGGCCATTAGTAATCACCGCGGCGCTGCCCGGCACCAGCTGGAGGGCGGTACGGCAGATCTCCGAGTGTACGGCAAGTAGGGAGGCCACGTCAGCGGCTGCTGCTGCTGCCGAGGTGGTGGAGGTGTTGTCGGCGGCGGGTGATAGGGAGGCGAGCAGGGCAGCGCTGTCCAGCCCTGCAGCAGAAAAGGGGGGAAGGGGGGGCATCGGGAATAAGCCCCAACAAGGGACACCGCCCTTACCGCAGGTTAGGACAAAGCAGTAGGAGGCGGAAGGGTGGGGGTTACAAGGCGGGCAGCACGTCCGGGTGCAGAGCGCGGTAAGAAGAGGGAAGCAGAGGGCAGCAGAGGGTAGCAGGGGGTGCAAAGGGTACGGAAGCTTCGCGCTTGTATAGAGCGGAAGGTTTGCCCTTGCATAGGGAGCGCACACCCACCCCAGCACCACCCAACACGCCCGCCCCCACCCCGCCTGCCTGTCATGCCCCACCTGCCTCCTCCGCGTACGACCCCACCACCGTCAGCAGCTCCTCCTGCTGCCCCGGCCCCCCGCCCGCCGCCACCTCCTCCGAGGCCAGGCGGGCGGAGAGGGCGGTGTCGCGGAAGAGCCGCGACAGGAAGGAAACAACCTGGGTGGGGGTGGAGGCGGGGGGTGGAGGGGTGCGGTAAGCAGGTAGGCAGGCAGGTAGGTAGGTGGGTCAGAGGGCGCGTAAAGGGAGGCAGAAGGGAGCAGTAGGGGGCAGAGTAATGGGAGGATGTAGGGTGCATTCCTGCTCCCTCCTGTCCCCTGCTCCCGGGGCCAGCAGGGCGGCACAGGCTGCACCCCTCCAGCATGCAGCATGCAGGCAGCCCAGCTGCCTGCCACCCTGCCGCCTCCTATCCCAATTGCTTTGTCCTAACCTGTGGATTCCTAAAATGCTTAGGTATGGTCTTTGACCCCCCCACCCCCCCCCCACACACACACACTCAAAGGCCCCAAGCAACAAAGACCCCACCCCACTCCCTCACCTTGCCACGTGTGGTGCTGGTGAGCTGTTCCTCCGACCCATGGGTCACCTGCCAGCCAGCAGCCAGCACCAGTGCCTCCAACAGCGAGGGGGGCTGCTGTCGTACCGCTGCCCCTCCTCCTGCTGCTGCCGTACTGTTGCTGCTGGCGGTGGCGGTGGTGGGTGAGGCGGGGTTCAGCAGCAGCACCAGCCTGGCGTCCTTGGCGGGGGCGGGGCTGGAGGCGGGGGCGGGGGCCAGGTCGGCCAGGAAGCGGAGGGCCTGACCGGGGGGGGGGAGGAGGGGGGAGGAGGGGTGTATTGGGGGTGTCGCAGCGGGGTGGGTGCATGGAGGGCCGTCACGGCGAGGAGCTTCGGGCTCGGCCTGCACGTGTGCAGCAGTGCTGCAGCCAGGACCGGGAGGCCAGGCGCCGGCAACAGGCGGTGCGGCCAGGAAGCGGGAGGTGCGGCCAGGAGGGCTCATCCCGGGGTACACGCACCAACCGCACCCAGCACAGGGAAGGGGGCGAGAGCGCGCCGTGTACCAGGCAGGCTGTGCCCGGCAGGCAAGCAGGCAGGGGCTCCCGCGCACTCAACAGCTTCAACACAACGGCCACATGGCCCCGTAGGTCGTCAGCAGCCCTCGTCCCCCACCTGCAGCCAGTAGTCCTACACAAGCTGGTTCCCCTCCCTCTCTCCCTCCCCCCCACCTGCGCCACCAGCTCCCGCCCCTCCTCGCCGCGCAGGTCCGCCACCACGTAGTGGCTCACGGCAGCCACCCGCTTGGGGCCGCCGGGGGGGGCGGCGCTGGATCCGGATTTGGATTTGGAGGCGGCGGCAGTGGAGGCGTCCTTCCACAGGGCCGGCAGGGAGGCCCGGCCCGGGTGCGATAGCAGCGGCGCCAGCGGCAGGATCTGGAGGGGAGGGGGGTGGGGTGGGATGGGGTGCGATCGGCGGGGGAGAAGGGAAGGAGTAAGGGGACGAGGGTGATGATGTGGTGGGAAGGCAAAGGACAGCGACGGTGCCCGAAGTGCGCCATGACAGGGGAGGAGTGCGGGGGAGGAATTGATAAGGCGAGGAGGCAGGCGGAGGGGCGCCCCCTCAGCCCCTGCAGTACACCGCACTCACTCGCACACCACCCACACAGCCACCCACACCCGTCCCGCCCCCTTCCCCCCGCGGACCTGCACACCACACTCCCCCAAACAATGACCCATCCTAAGCCGCACCAATGGCACCATGATGCACCAGGTAGCACCCCTTCCTCCCCCTCCCCCCCCCTACCTGTGCCCTCCTCGCCGCCGCCTGCCCCCCAATGCGCGGGTTGAGTCGCTCCACGCCGCCCCCCGCCAGCTCCATCACCGCCGCCAGCATGTCGCCGCCGCCGCTGTCGTCGTTGAGGCGGCCGAAGTAGACCCACTCCTGCATGCGCTGCATGTCGGACATGGCACTGCAAGGGGGCAGGCGGAGGGGGAGGGAGGGGGGGAGGTGCGTGGCGGCACTCCAGTCGGTTGTGCCGCAAGCGTGTGCTGACAGCTGTGTTTGTGACAGGCTGACAGCAGTACATATCGGCCTTCCCAGCAGGCGATGGGAAGTACGACGCGCTTCGCAGTCGTCATCACGCTCATCACCCTCCCTCACCCTCACCCTCATCACCCTCCCTCCCGCTACCAGCCCTCAGCCCACCCCCCCGACCTGCCCCTGCCCTTCCCCCCCCAGCCATCCCCCTACCCCCGCCCTCGAGCCGCTGTCTATTGTCCCTCAAGTCATCCTCTCGCTGCGCCTATTCCCTCCGGTAGGTCCGTCATCGTCATGGCTTGGCCCTGACTCGGGTTGGTCGGGATGTGCCGGCTACCATGCCTTGTTGCACCCCACCCCACGAGTTACCCCCCACCCCTCTCATCCCCTCTCGCCACCCCCCCTCACCGCATGAGCAGCTCCTGCGCCGCCGCCTCCCCACTCGCCGCCCCGCGCCACGTCACCCCGTTCAGCCACAGCAGCGGCCCGCCCTCCCCGCGACACGCAGCCGCCGCCGCCTCCTCTCCCTCTCCCTCTGCAGGGGGGGCAGGGGGTGCAGGGGGGCCAGGCGGCTGCCCCGCCACCAGCCCCTTGTTGAGCAGCCAGGCGGCGGTGTCGGAGAGCTGCATGCCGGCCTGGGGGGGAGGGGAGGGGAGGGGTAAGAGGAGGGGAGGGGTGAGAGGAGGGTGAAAGGGGGGGGTGGGGAAGAGGAGGGTAAGGGATTGGCGCAGCACCAAGCACTGAGAGCCCAAGCTGCAAGCCGCCGCCGTCCCCCAATCGTCACCCAGCCCCCCACTACTCCCCTCTTCCCCTTCTTCCCACCGCCCTCCCTCTCTTCCCCTTGTTGTTTCACTTGTAAATTCTCCTCCCTCCCTCCCCTCCTCACACACCTCCGCCGCATACCCCGCCCCCTCCTGCAGCATCTGCAGCGCCTCCGCCCCGCTCTTCCGCGCCGCCACCCGCGCCCGGGCTCCCGGCGGGGGGCTGCGCGCGGCGGCGGCCCAGGCGGCCGAGAAGGCGGCCTCCACCGCGGCACGCGGCTCGGGGGAGGAGCCGGAGCTGGGGTTAGGGAGAGGGGGGGGAGGGGGGATGAGGGTGAGAAGGGAGGAGCAAAGAGGAAAACAGCTAACAAGGGGGGGAGAGAGGGGAGGGGTTGAAGGGCATTTTGCGCCTTGAGAAGGGGCAGCGCATGGGCCCCCTCCCTTACCCTCCTGCCTCCCTCCCCATGGTGATGCCTCGTGCACCACTGTCATTCCACACATGGTGCTTGTTTCAAACTGGCGGAGCCCCTCATACGGTGTGTTCCCTCTCCCACCGCTGCTCACCCGACCTCCTCCGCCACCTCCCACCACAGCCGCCACGCCGCTGCAGGTCCGAAGGCGGTCCGCAGCGTCAGGAAGGCGCGACCGAACTGCTCACTGGGGGGGGAGGAACAGTGGGGGAGGGGGGGGAGAGGGAGGGCAGGATGGAGAGAGAGTTGGGGGAGGCAGGGAGGCGGGGCAAGGGGAGGGCCTTGCCCCCCTTGTCCCCGGGCAAGGGGGGGGGAGCAAGGCGGGGATGGAGGGGAGGGGGGTTATAACACGAGGGGAGTAATCTAGGGGCCGGGCACAGGGGGAGACGGCCCGGCCCAATAAGGAGGAAGTGAAGTTCAAGAGGGTCCGCCTCCTCCCACCCCCCCCCCCTCCACTCCCATCGTAGACCACTTCTCTCATAGACCTCTCCTAACAGGTCTGTACCACCCCCTCACCCTCACCCCCTCCCCACTCCCACCCCTCCCCGCCCCACCTGGCGTCCATGTCCTGCCATGCGGGCAGCTGCGGCTGCAGGTGCGGGTGGCGGCGCTGCTGCTGCACACGAGCTACCACGGAGGGAAGGTGGAACACAACACCTGGGGGGGGGGGAGGGAGGGGGTTTGGAGGAGGGGGTGGCGGGGGGGGGGGTAAAAGAGGAAACAACTGACTGAGGGGGGCCGGGGGGGGGGGGAAGAAGACAGGGTTAAAAGGGGGGGAGCCGGGGGTGGAGGCAAGAGAGGGATGGAGGGGTAAGTGCGTGCACAATTTTAGGACAATGAAGAAGAGTCCGAGGCGTTTGTGTGCGTGTGTGTCCTCGCAGCAACAGCCCATCCCTCCGTTCCCCCCTTGCAACCAACCTCGCACTCACCGAACCTCAGCGGGTAGCCCGCCTGCCACATCTGCGCCACCGCCCCCGCCAGCTGCAGCGAGGGGGCGCACAGCGGCTGCGCCACCGCCACGGAGGTGAACAGGTTGCGAGCCAGGGGGCGGAACCTGGGGGGTTTGGGGGGGGGGGGGCGGGGGGGAAAGAGGGGGGAGGGAGGGGGGAGAGGGACGGCGCTTGGCAAATGGCATGGACAGCTGGGGTAAGGAGCAGGAGAGGAGAGAGGAAGCAGAGGGAACAAACGACAACATCTGCTCACGGGCGTCCTGGCTCCCCCGGCTCCCTCCCCCGGCTCCCTCCCCCGGCTCCCTAGCCCGGCTCCCTCCCCCGCCTCCCTCCCGCCCCCGCCTCCCTCCCGCCTCCCCCGCTCCCGCCTCCCCCGCTCCCCCGCTCCCCCGCTCCCCCCTCCCCCGCTCCCCCCTCCCCCCCCACCTGCCGGGGAAGGTGTGCAGCAGCTCTGCCACACTGGTGCCGTACCGCTGGTACCTGGGGTGGGGGTGTACGGCAACATGGAGGGGAGCATACGGGTGTACGGCAATAGAGATGAAGGGCACAGTGTCACCAAGGTGGAGGGCAGGCAGGGGAGGCAAGGGGAGGCAGGGGGCAGGCACGAGGAGGCCGCGGGGGAGCGGGGAGGCGGGTTGAGGGACCCATGGGTCCCACGACCTCAGACGCGTTTACTAGTAATAGGGAGCTTGTCGGTAGCTGGGGCCCGCGCCCGATCATCCTCCGTCAACACGCACACGTGCGCCAGCTAGCCTGTGTGCAAACAAGAGCTGATCGCGGCAACAACGGCAAACAACTCCCTCCTTCGGGGCATGCCGGGCGACGATGTGCGTCGCACACCTCGCCTCCGCGGGCGGTTGGTGCGGATGCCCCGCCTGCATGTCGTGCCTAGACGTCCCCTACCCCTCCCCCTACCCCCCCCTACCCACTTTGCATCCTTCTCCAGGTCATTCAGCCAGGCCACATGCGTGGCCACAGTGCTGCAAGGGCGGGGGGGGAGGGATGAGGAGGCGGCAAGAGGGAGGGGTAACACGGGGATGCGAAGCGGGGAGAGACTCCAGACGCCTGCATGCGCGCATGTCCGCGGCCTTGCCCTGCACACTGCATCCACCCAAGCAACCCGGACGCTGCATGTGTCCCCTCCCCGCATGACACGGCCCCAGGCCCCAGGCAGCAGCCCGGCAGCAGGACACCACAAGAAGCAGAGAGGCAGCAGTGCCCCCCCTCTCACACTGCCACCCCACCCTGCTAGCCCTCAACACCTCTGAACCCAAGCTGGTCGCAAACCCCTCCCCTCCCCTCCGCTCCCCCTCCCCCTTCCCTTCCCCTACCCGCCCACCCCACCTGGGTGACCCCAGGCTCAGTCGCGGCTCCTCCTCCGCCGCGCCCGCCCGCCCTCCCCGCCCGCCACCCCCGCCACCCGCCTCCTCCCCCTCCGCCGAGCGCAGTGTCATCAGCTGCAGCGCCAGCGAGGGGGCCAGACCCAGGCCGGAGGGGGCTGGGGGGGCGGAGGAGGAGGAGGAGGGGGCTGGGGGGGCAGGCTCCCCCACCAGGGCATCTCTCAGACGCATCTCGGACCGCAGCAGCGACAGGAAGCCTGCGGGGATCGGGGGGGTTGGGGGGGAGGTTTGGGGGTGGCGGGGGGAGGGCCTTACGCGAGGCAAGGAAGCTTTCCACTCCTCCACCGGGGTGGTGGTGGTGTTGGACTGACGCCGCACATGCAGGGGGTGATGGCAGTGGGACCGGCTGCGTGTGGGTGCGTGCTGACAACACTGGGGTCGCGAACATACTGATATTGTCGCGGGATGCGGTGTAGGTGTCCCCCCCCCCCTCAACACACCAGCAAGTGTGTCGTACGGTCGTACAGCCAGTCCGCCACACGGCGCCAGCCTATCCTGCCCTTCCCGGCACAAACCCAAAGCTAGACCCCCTGCCCCCCACCCCCCTGCTCCACCCCTCCCAGTGCGGACATCCATCTCCTCTAATGCTCCACCCCTCCCCCCCCCATCCACCCCCCTCCCCCTCCTCGCCCCCTCCCCACCGAAGTAGTCGAAGTTGTTGACGTCCAGCGCCAGTCCGTTGAGCAGCAGCATGTTGCTGCCGGCCGCCAGGTACTGGTGGGCGTGGGACACGGCGGCGCGCAGGGTGGGGTCGACCAACTGGGGGGGGAGGGGGGGAGGGGAGGGGGGAGGGGAGGGGGTCAAAGACCATACCAAACCATAGGAAACCACAGGTTGGGGCAAGACAATGGGGATAGGAGCGGTATGGGGATAAGGGGGGGAGGGGTAATGTGTTCTGAGGGGGTTACTTGGAAAGAGCAGCAAACATTGTAAGGGGGGAGTGCGCGGGAGGTGGGTACGATGGAGTAAACTAACGAACTGTAGGACGAGGGGGCCCTCACCCTGGGTCGCTATACCCCCGCACCCTGCTCTCACCCTCCTGCACAGCGCTCTCGCACCCCCCCCCCCGTAGCGCTGGTGCCCCCTGCTGCTGGCCCCCTGCTGCACCCCTACCGCTACAAGCGAACAGCAGTGCTGCAGGTACCGCGGCGCAAAGGGGGGTGGGCGCTACGGGGCCCGTGCCCCCTCCCTCCCCCCCCCCCCACCTGCCGCGACAGGCTGGCCACCAGTCCCGGGAAGTTCTGCGCCACCTCCGTCAGCAGCGCCAGCGGGTCGGAGGAGGAGGAGCCGGAGGAGAGGAGGATGCGCTGGGCGGCCTGCAGGCCCACGTCGCGGAGCTGCCACACCTGGGGGGGGGGGAGGGGGAGGGGGAGGAGGGGAGGAAGGGGGGGGGGGAGGGGGTGCAGGGGAGGCAGGGGGGACACAAGGGGTTAGAGGGGATGGAAGTTTCCGCATAGGGCTGGTATAAGGGGAAGCGGGGGAGGAGGGGGGAAGCAGCGTGAAGTGGGGTATGGGGCGGGGCACCAACTTAGCCGTGGGTAACTGAGGGGCGTGGAAAGATGGGCAGGGGGTGTGCCGTACATGATGTGCGATTCTTTCCCATCACAGGGGCCACAGGGAGGGAGGGAGGGAGGGAGCTACATACACATACACACGTGCGCGACCAGTGGCCTCAGAGCCAGCAGTGGCAAACCGCAGGGAGGGGTGCTAGACGGGGTCCGCACCCCGTCTCTGGGTCAACAGGATGTCCGCACCCAACCCACCATCACACTTCACCCCCACCCCGCCCCCGCCCCCACCTTGATGGCCGCCTCCTCGTCATCCGCCGCCCGCAGGCTGTCCCGCAGCGTCAGCAGCTCCCCCCGCAGCCCCGGCCGCCGAGCTGCCAGCACGTCCAGTCGGAAGCCCTTCACCACGGCAGCGGAGCCCGAGCCGAGGGAGTCCTCGCCGGGGGAGGAGGAGTCGGGGGTGGAGGAGTCGGGGGTGGGGGCGGAGGCATCTGGGAGCGGGAGGGAGGAGGGAAGAGGGAGACGTGGCGGTGTGGATACGGAGTCTGCAGGAGAGCGGAGCAACACTTGTGGGCAAGACATGTTGGTGGGCATCTCCTGCCTCATGCGTCCGCGGGTCATGCGGTTTTCCCTCTTTGACTCCAGCCCCGCCCTCGCCCCCTCCCACCCCCACCCCCACCCTTTGCCCCCGCCTTGTCGTCCACCGCCGAGTACTCGGTGTTCTTCAGCGCCGCCTCCACCCCCCACCCGGGCAGCAACAGCGGGCCGCCGGTGCCCACACGAGCGCAGCCAGAGTAGGCCTGGCGGGGCGGGGGGGAGGGGAGGAAGGGGAGGAAAGGGGGGGCAGCCGTTACGGAAGAAGCCGCAAAAAGGGGGGAAGGCAATAGTGAGGGCGAGGGCATGAGTGGGGCGGAGAGGGGCGGGAGCATGCGGGTTGGGGTGGGTGGGCGGTGTCCTCTCAATGCAGCGCTTGCTCTCTCCCCTGACATGAACCCCCTACCTCCCTCCTCCAGCATGTGCCCTGCCGCCACCAGCCCGGATGACATCCCCTGGACCTGTCGCCCCCTACACTCCTACCCCCTACCCCGCACCTCAACCTCCGGTCCTCCAGGATCAGTGGCCGGTGTTTCACCGGGGGTAAGTGTTGCACTTACCACCCCACCGGAAGGGAATACTAACCAACACTTTGTCTTGTGGCGCCCTGCCAACCCTGCCCCCCATTGCTTTGCCCTAACTTGTGGTCTCCTATGGTTTGGTATGGTCTTTGACCCCCTCCACCCCCCTCCAACCCCAACCCCCCACCCACCCACCTCGCACTGCGGCTGCAGCAGTGGCCGGAACACGTACACCAGCCCCCGGGCCCGCCCGCTGCGGACAACACGAGCCCCCCCTGCTGCTGCCGCCGCCTCTGCCTCCGCATCCTCTGCTGCCACCGCCGCCGCCGCCTCCTCCGCCGCCCGCTTCAGCAGCTTGTGGAAGGTGGCGAAGCAGGACAGCCCGGGGGAGCCGTACAGCACAGCCACACGCGGGGGAGCTCGCAGCACCTTGCTGCTGCCACTGCCGCTGCCGCCGTAGACATGGTCAAAGGGGAAGAGCTGCTCCGCGGAGGAGTAGGAGGAGTAGTGCGCCCCTCCCCCGGCTCCAGGGGAGGAGGCGCCTGCTGGGGAGGCGCCCTGCTGCTGCTGCTGTTGTTGTTGTTGTTGTTGTTGTTGCGGCTGCTGGGCGAGTATGTCGGCCAGCAGCAGGGGGGTGGTGGCCACCCGGCCGTCCACTGAGACGAAGCAGCAGGCGGTCTGGAAGGGGGGGAGGGGGGAAGGGAAGGGAAGGGGGCAGGGAGGAGATGGGGATTAAGGAGAGGGGCAAGAAGGTACAGGCGGGGTGTTCGGTGGGGATGAGGGGGGTGGGGCGGGGGGACGGCGGGAAGGCAGCGAAACCCCAACCTGCTGTGACACGCATGTTGACATGCAGTGAACACTCCCTGCAGGGGTGCGACAGCGGCAGCGGCAGCTACCGCACCGCCTGCCTGCCTGCCTGCCCCCACCCACCCACCCGTCCTCACCTCCTGCGGGTGGAACTGCTCGGCCAGGTGCCGTACCATCTGCAGCTTGGCGGCGTACTGCCGGGAGGCGAGCGTCAACGGTATCAACTGTACGGCAGAAGGGGTGCGGGGGGGGCGGGCGGGGTTAGGCGAGGAGAGGGGCAGAGTCTCTACAATTTACATGCCGCGAAAGGCAAACACACAAACTGCGCATTCTGGGCTTGGCGATGGCACACAAAGGCTCCAGCTTGCTGTGATCGTACCCCTCCAGGGTGGCTACCAGCACCTGCACCATCCAAGCCACCTCGTACGGCACCCACCTGTGCAACTCCAGGCGTCACCAGTGAGGCCGCCGCCCCCGTCAGTTCGCTCCAACATACTTCCTCGCTGGAGTTAGACCTCGCAGCCACCACAGAAGTGGGGTCCGATACGCGGTCTAGGAAGGGCCACACCCGCTGGCTGTCCTCCTCGGCCTACCACATGCGGGCAGTAAAGGGTTTGGAACCGAGTTTAGGCGTAGGTTTATATGTTGTCACGTATCCAATGGCGTGCATGTGCCGTGCGATAAGGGTGCAACATGGGAGCGCCATGCAGGGGCACATAATGAACATGTTCCGCCCGTTTCGAAGATTCGTAACATTACGCCGAATATGTATTACTAACTGGCTGATACAGCGTCGTTTTCTGAATATAGTAAGTTCATCAACCGCCACAGGAATGTGCGGCGATCGGGAAGTGGAACCATAACTATGACCGCGACGCGTGTTCAATACATGTATACGATCTTGAAAGCGCGATCAGCAGTATCTGTAGTAGCAACTCACCAAGAACTCTACAGCTTCCAAAAGATATGATGTCGCATTGAACTTTGCTTTCAGCAAAAGGCTAGCACCCTTCGGCTTTGCTGTTGCCACGCTGCAGATTGCTGTGGCTATTAGCAAGCCGAGTAAGGGGCGCATTGCAAAGGACATAGTCATATCGTCTACTTGTAATCAACGAGTGGCATTCCTCACTCAAGTGTCAACAGTAGGAAATTTGCCAATTGGGCTGTTGCACATCATTTCATATGCCCACGGAGTGCTAAAAGCAAAACCCATGTCCATATCAGCTGCGCCGTACGAATGCCGTACTTGGCTCGAGGCGAATCATAACGTTCAGCGGTTGGTTCACGAACAGCCTGTGCTATCCTGACTGTTACCATGGTTTGAGTGTAGACGGGTTGTGACCGAACTTCCTACGGGGTGTCCTGCTTGGGCATACAACAGAAAGCAAGCACAGAGTGGCACACACGTACGTCCCGTACCTGTGCTTGCTGGTAGCCTTTTCCGCAACTACAACTCCCCACAGCTGACACAGGGTCATGACACACGGAACCTATCCAGCCCTTCCGCCACCCTCCCTGCCTCCACCTGTACATGTACCCTCCCAGTGCACCGCTGCCGTCAGGAGGTCCAATGCACACGCTAATTACCGGTATACATCTCACCCATATGCAAGAGGAGGCACCTTCTAGGCCTTACCCCTTAACATTCACGGTGTCAGTTGTGAGGTTGGGAGGGACGATATAGAAACGCCTGCGCAGTGTTCCTCGAAAAAGGGGACCCCGGCAACTTGTCTGCAAGGCTATATAATGGCAAAAGACGATGGCGTGAAATCTGGACCTTCGGATAAGCTTAGGTTTACGAGGTTAGGTTGCCATCCTGGCGCCTCCCGCCTTACAAAATGGAAGGCCATGGCGGAAGGCACCGACACGCAGCGACCGCCATGCAGCTAACGAAAACAAGGTGAATGCAAGTCAAGGATGCCATATTTGCAGTATACCGTGAAGGATATCACCCCGGTCCCGGAACACGTGCCCGTTGTGAAACGTTTTTGTAGCAGGCCAAATGCACGGGAGGACTGTTACGGAGGGACGACGAGCCTCTTCGGTTAGTCCTACTTAGAGCAATGGAGAATAGACGCGCCCTTACTCTGCAGACTACATAGGACGTGAGACAAAAACGAACTATATCACCGGGTAAGGGTTTCTTATCAAGGCTCGAACGGCCATATGCTGCATGTTTGTACAGGAAAACATATCGACACGTAAGCCAGCCCTGACGTATCCAATCTGCGCATGCCGTACAAAGTAGACGGTAGTCGACAAGCCAATCATGCCCATGAGACGACTTGCATTAGCATGGACATAAGGAGATTTACGGGCAGCATTTATCAGTCCGATATCCTTACACGCACCTGTTTCTTAAAGGAATAATGGCACAGCGCAGCTACCGCTTTGCACAATGATCATCTAAAGAGAGCTATTTTATACTGTATTTTCAAGAATGTACAAGTTCTGGTGCTGTGGGCGTCCCGAGGAGGACGCCGAACGAAATCTTGAGTGCAAACACAGTCCGTGCGAAGTGGTTAAGCAGAGCAAGGATGTCGGGGAGGAGCCTGTTATTGCCCCTCAGGGTGTAAGGACCTCAACTTGGGTGGCGCAGGTGAAGAATTCCTTTCCGTTGATACCTGCCCGTGTCCTGCTGGCGAGTTTTCGTGGTTCGAAATTCTTACACCTTTTGATGATATGTAGGCAGCTGTAACCGCTTGTACCAACTTGGTCGAAATGGCTACACGGGGGGGCTCCGCAACGTTCTGGCCTACCCGGTTACTGTCGCAATTACAGACTTTCAGTTGTTTGCTTAGCACCTCTACCACCAGGTAGGTATAGTCTTGGTGTTCCTACAATTCGCTCGCCTTTGGGTTGGCTATTGGAGAAGGCACCGTAAGTAACCATCTTGCCGCACCCCGTAGGCTTGCCGTCTTTGCAAGGACGCATGGTAACACATCGGCTTGCGTTTTTACGGCGCCGAGCCCTACACATTGCTCTTGGGATCGTCCACCGACAGCTCAGGGCTGGACCCGAACTGCTCTGCACGACCAGTTGACAAAGGTGCGTCCGACCTAAATCCCCGCTCGCATAAAGAGCCATCAGGGGCTACATGTCGACATTATGAACACAACAAAGCCAAGCGGCACCATTAGCTTATTGCAACGCAACAGCCCCCAAGGATAGATTGCCATTAATGATGGCGAAGGACTTGGGGCTTGCATGCATCCGCGGCCTTGCGCAGAGGTAGCGGCTATAGCGTTTCCGCCGTTGCGATGCCGGATTGTGTCGAATCCCCCATGGGCATTGTTTGAAGCGGTCAAGGGCTGTGATACCCGTACTCCCACGCACCTTACGACTTTCGGGCCCACTGCGAATGCGGGTCACTCCGTCCAGAGCGAGAAAGGAGGATGTGCAGCGCGCAGAAAGGGTGTGACGCCGCGGCGGCTCGCAGCCCGGCAAACGCTTTCTTCCTCTTGTCGCTTCAACTTAGTTGCCTTCAGGCCAATGGCCCCCAACGACCGGACAAACCCATGCATTGCTCCTTCCATGCAACTACGGTCATGTCCCCCAACACTAACCCCTCTCCTCCCCTGACACCTCCTCCTCCGCTATCCCTCCTCCCTCCACGTACGCCTGGCTCCGCGCTCATCCCTCCACCACCTCCCAACATGCGGCCACCACCCTCACGTAACCACTACCACCTCAACCGCACCACCACCACCACCACCCTCCTGCAGCACCTGCACGACCCCGACGTCGTCACCGTCATCAGCCGCTTCCACGACGTCACCCACGGCCCCGACGCCGCCTGCCTCTCCGCCCACACCTGCCGCTCCTCCTCCTCCGTCACCACCACCTCCATCACCACCACCGCCTCCACCGCCATCCCCACCACCCCACCCGCCACCACCACCGCCACCGCGCCCCTCAACCTGCGCCCCGGCGACCTGCTGGTGCTGCCCATCACCTGCGACGGCCGGGTGGCGGCGGCCCTCATCCTGGGCTGGGGCGCGCCGCTGCCCACCCGGCCCACCCGCCCCAGCAACGGCATCAGGAGCCACCACCTGCACCACCACCTGCAGCACCATGCGCACTACCACCACCTCACCCACCTGCAGCCGCACTACAAGGCAGGCAGCCTGGGAGCCCCCAGCACGGGGGCAGCCAGCGCGGGGGGGGGAGGGCTGGGCACAGGTGGAGCCGCCAACGGCGGTGGCGCGGCTAACGGCACAGGCGGAGTCAACACGCCAGCAGCAGCAGCCAACGGCGGCGGCGGCGGGGGCGGGGGAGTGGTGTTGGGTGCTGGCGAGCTTGCGGAGCTGCGGCGACTGGCTCAGCTGGTGGGGTTCGGGCTGTTCAGCGACCCGCAGCAGGCGCTGTACCTGGAGCAGGTGGGGACGGGTTGGGAGGGGGAAGAGGAAGAAACTGACGACCTGTATGACGAGGCTTCACCATGGGTTGCTACATTGGGGTTGCGGGTGGGACCTGGGAGGGGGGCAATGGGGGCGAAACGGCCGCTGGTGGTGGTGGGGTAGATGGGATGCTTCAAACCGGGGCTGTCGACATGGGCCAACACGGCAGGGGAGTGCGGGGAGGGGAGGGAGGAGGAGGGCAACATGGTCGCTGTTGTATGGCTGAGCGGCTGAGTGGCTTGGGGCTGAGGATACCAATTAAGAGGGCTGAGGGGAGGACAGGCGCACCAACGGCGGCAATACGCAGCCCGGCCCCAATCCTTTCATCCACCTTCCCTCCTTTTCACTCCCAAGCACGCCGTGCCAGGCTGCAGCCGCCCAGGTTGAAGCCAACTGCCTGGCTGACATGTCGCGAGCCGCATGGTGCCGTGCGTGCGGGGCAAACCGATGAAGTGTGCGACCTGCCGCGTATGAACCTCCCCACCGCACCACACGCTGCGTCTACCGGTTGGACTGCGGTATGTGCACTGCCCCCATGTCCTCATCACACTCCATCTCCCCCCCCCTCCCCCCAGGTCTCCTGCCTCATCTCCGAGATCAGTCGCGGCGGCCTCACGGGGCTGCACGACCTGGTGGCCTCGCTGCTGGACGCGCTGCCCGCGCTGCTGTCCACCAAGCTGGCGCTGCCGCTGCAGCCGCTGCTGGCGGCGGTGCTGGGGCCGGCCAGTCCGGCGGTGGTGTTTGCGAGGCGGCTGGGGGGCGGGTGCAGCGTCACGCCAGGGGGCATTCCGGTGAGGCAGGGAGGGGGCGGGGGAGGTGGGGGGGGGGGGGTGATGCGGGAGGTGGGAGGATGGGTGAGGGGAAGGGTGGGGCTAGGGTGGGCATGGCTGGAGGCAGGTATGATGTGTGCTGTTGGGGTCTGTGAGCTGGCTGCGACTGGGGCTCAAGGGTTGTGTGGGACAAGACAGGCGGGGGCGCCGCAGGGCTTGATGACGGAGTGATTACAGGGTGTGCCGTGAGCGTCTGTGCCCTGCTCGAAATGAGCCGGCAAACAACGAGCTAGCAGCACCGCAGCGGCCCTTACCAAGTCATTACCCCACTACACATCCGTACTGACACGGGGCCATCACCCTCACACACGCAGACGGGTCAAAGCGGCTTCGGCGGCGCCTCCCGCGGCGGCGGCGGCCTCATGTCCCCCGTCGTGGCCCTGGCGGCGGCGGCCGCATCCACTGGCGGCGGCGGCGGCCGGCCCTCCCTGGGCGCCATCCTGGCCGGGTACGAGTCCCGGTCGGGCAGTCGCAAGCAGCTCGCACGCGACGTCAGCGCTACCAGCCTCGCGCTGGGGCTGCCCGGGGGACTGCGCTCGTGCGAGTCGCTCGACGGCATGGCGCCAGGCAGCGGCAGCGTGGGCGGCATCGGTGGCGGCGACGGCGGCGGCGGCATCGGCGGCATCAGTCGCGTCAAGGCGGTTCGTACGGCACTCGCGCACACGCTGCTGCAGCGCGTGATGCGCACCAGCAACCACCTCAGCAACTTCACCTCCTCCCAGGAGGACGGCTGCGATGCGGCCGCTGGTACCTCCCCCCTGGCTGCCCTCATCGTCCCCGACGCCTCCAGCCAGGTGCTGGAGGAGGAGCAGCCGGGCCGCGACGTGCTGCTGGCCGCCAACCTGACGGGCGCCGGGGTGGGGTGCCTGGTGCTGGTTGCGGAGGGGCAGCAGGCGCAGTACGGCGGGTGGAGCACTGGCGGCGGTGGGGGAGGGGGAGGAGGCGGGGGCGGGGGGAGCATGCCCGGCGGCATGCGGGAGTCGCAGCTGCTGGCGGCGGTGGGGCAGAGTCGCTCCATGTCGGGAATGGAGGAGGGAGCTTGGAGCCCGGTGGGCCGCGTGGGGGGGGACAGCAGGCTGAGCAGCGAGGGGACGCTGACGGCGGCGGCAGCTGGAGCCGCTGCCGGGGGTGGTGGCGGTGCTACCGCGGCGCCAGCTGCCGGCGCGGTGGCGCCAGCTGCCGGCGGTTCCCGGCGCGTGGGTGAATCCCTGCCGTTGCTGCCCGGCGGGGTGCCGTCGGGGGTCCCCTCGCACTACGCCGCCATGTCGGCCTCATGCGGCGGCGTGCCCTCCACCGCCGCCGCCGCTGTCGTGCCCTCCTCCTGCTCGGTTCCCTTCCGGCTGGCGGTGTACCTGGTGTCCAGCGACCCGGTGCCGGTGGGGGTGCTGGAGGCGGTGTCGGAGGAGATGAAGTGCCTGATGCCGGTGAGGGGGGGGCGGAGGGGGGGGGGCAGCAGGGAGGCGGGGGGGGGTGCCGGGGGGGCTAGAGGAGGTGGGTTGATTCTGCACAGGGCGCGGGGTTGGTTCCTGGATGGATGGGCCTGCAGGCGGGATGCTTGTGATGGGGCTGCTGGCGTGGACTCTGGTGCCCGTGGCGGGCCTTTTCTGCTTGCGGCTGCGGCCTCTGCAGCCTCTAGAGCCACAACCTGCAGCCAATCCGTCACAGCAAACGCTTTGCATGCTGTGCCCGAAAGGCGACCCGCTCCCTGACGACTCCCCTGGCTCTTTCTGCCTGTCCTGCTCTGCCCTCGCTCCCTCCCTCACGCATGCCCCGCTCCTCCCCGCACTCCCTCCCTCCCTCCCTCCCCAGCTGGTGTTCGGCGCCATGCATGCCGCCATCCGGGCGGGCGGGCTGGCCACCGCGGAGTGGAACCACCTGCAGGTGGGGGGGGGGGGGGGCAATGGGGGTGGGGGGTTTGGCGGGACGCGCGTGCGTGCGTGCGGGTCTTTAGCTGCTCACTGTTTGCACCCCTCCTGCCCTTGCTTCCCCCTTCCCCCCCTCTCCCGGCCCCCCTACTGCTGCTCCTCCTTCACTCCCGCCTCCCGCCCTTCCCCCCCTCCCGCCCGCCCCCAGACCCAGCTGCTCCAGCGCAGCACCATCTCCGGCGCGCTGCAGATGTCGGGCGCCATGCAGCACGTCACCTGCCTGGAGGGACCGCCGCCCGGACTCGGAGCGGACCGCAGGCCCTCCGCCAACCACCCGCCGCCCCTCGCACTGCCCGGCGGGGGCGGCGGCGGCTGCTCGCCCCTCCCGCCGCATGCCAAGTCCCCACAGGGCCCACCGCACCACCACCCCGCTCGCTCCCCGCGGTGCGGCAACGGCGGTGGCGGCGCAGCGGGGGCCGCAGCGGCGGCGGCGAGTCCGTCCATCATCCGCCGGGGCTCCCTGGGCGGCGGGAGCACGTACGGCAGCACCAGTAGGTTGCGGCTGGCGTCACCGGCACCTCCGCTGGCGGCGGGGGATCCGCTGCTGGAGTCCAATCCGCTGTCGCTATCCGCGCCCTCCTCTCCGCGAGGGGATGAGGAGGAGGATGGCGGTGGGGGTGGCGGGGGTGCAGGCGCTGGTGGGGGGGGCGGCGGGGGTGGGGGTGGTCGCGGCGGGGGTGGTCGCAGCCGTCGCGGAGTGCTGCGCGAGGACGCGGAGGACCTGCTGCTGTCGTCCTCGCAGATGGATGAGCTGGATGTGGGGCCGGAGGGGCGCCCGCATGGGGGGCCAGGTGAGGGGCGCGTGTTGGCGGCCTGGTTGCGGGTGGGGGGGATTCGTGGCATGGTGGTTGGTGGTATCATATCGGATACATGCACTGTTCCCACCCTGCTGGCAGCATGTGCCCACATGGGGGGTGCAGGGGGGTGCCGGTAGGTGGCCGTACAACTCGTTCGTGGTACATCACGAGGGGTTGGTTGCAGGGTGCTGAGGGGCGTGCTTTCCCCTGCTGCCATGCATGCGCCCAAAGTTGGAGCCTGCCGCTACACACGCGGTTGCTGCCCCCCCCTCCCACCACCTCGCCCCTCCTGCCGCAGACTACTGCCCAGTTCGCAAGGTGTCGGCGCCCTGCTACACCATATCGAGTCCGGTGCTGCGGGTAAGTATGATGCACCCGCGTCATGGGGTGGATGCATGTGTGTTGGCTGCGGGGATGAGGCGAGGTGCGGCGAGCCGCCCTCCTCACCTCCCAACCCGCTGCACCCCTCTACCACCACCACCACCACCACACAAGCCGGTGTGGCTTGCCGCTCCAGTACTACCAGTACTCCTCCGCCCGCATTCAGGGCTGTGCTGCTCTACCTGCAGTCCCCAGTCCCCTGCACGCATACACCTCCCGGTCGGACTCCCGCTGACTCCGTCCCCCTCCCCTGCCTCCCTCCTCTCCCCTGCCTCCCTCCTCTCCCCTGCCTCCCCCCTCCCCTGCCTCCCTCCTCTCCCCTGCCTCCCCCCCTCCTGCCCCCCCCAGCTGGAGGACGTGGTGGGCCCCCGCCCGCTGGAGCTGCTGGTGAGCAGCGCGCGCAGCCGGCTGACTGCGGTGGCTGCGGGCAGCGAGGTGGGCGAGGAGGCGCGGCTGGCGGTGAGCCAGGACCTGGCGGCGGTGGACCTGCACGAGGTCATCGGCAGCGGGGGGCAGGGGGTGGTGTTCAGGGGCACGCTGCACGGGCTGGAGACGGCGGTCAAGGTGGGTGAGGAGGGGGGGGAGAGTGGGAGTGGGAGGTGGGGGAGGGGTGGAGGAGGGAGGATGAAGCTAGCCAACCGAAAGTTGACGGTGGGGGAGTGGCCTGCGATACTGGGCTATGTGGACCTTGGTGGACTGAGAAGACCGGAGCATGGGTGACGTGCCAGGGGAGTGGGGGCGGGGCGGGGGAGGAGGTGGCTAAGGGTGTTGCTGCTCGCGTAGTGGCGGGTCACACGGCCCCCCACTCGCTAACCCAACTACCCAGCCGAATGCGGAATACCGGTATATGCAATACCCATATGCACCCTGGCCAGGTGTGGGAGCACAACGCGCGGGCGCCCCTGGAGCACGACGGGGAGTGGCTCTCCGCGGTGGCCCTGGACGCCGCATGGCAGGAGAACGGAGGGGGAGGGGAGGAGCAGCACAACAACCAGCAGGGCCCCGGTGCGACCCATGGGTCACCTCAGCAGCCGCCTCAGCAGCAGCAGCAGCCTCCTCCTCAGCAGGGGCAGCAGCCGGGCGGGCAGGAGGCGGTGGTGTCCAGTCGCGACTGCATCCGGCAAGCCAAGCGCGGCGCCATGGAGGTGGCGGTGACTGCCACGCTGTCGCACCCCAACGTGGTGCAGACCTACGCGCACTTCTCAGATGTGGTGGTGGTGGAGCGGCAGACGGCGGGCGGGGGGGCCGGGGGGAGCGGGGCGCCTCCCCAGCTGCGGCTGTGTGCGCACGACGACCCGGTGTTCCGGGGGCAGAAGGCGGGGCCGCTCAACACGGTGCTGTGCCTGGTGGGTGGGGGTGGGGGGGTGGGATCTTAGGAAGGGACTGGGGGGTTTGTGTACGGCAGGAGCGAGAGAGAGACGGGGCTGGGTGGAGGGAGAGGAAGCGGGGATACGTTGGGGTTTCTCGCTTGGGGTTCGGAAGGAACCACATGTGCGGACTTCAGAGCCAGCCCCCCACCCTTCCAAGGGCTGTTGGACCGCACCGGGTGTCAGCCTGTCCCCCCTCCCTCATTGTCAACCCCATCCTCCCTCTCGCCGTATCATCTTGTTTCCTCTCGACCCCCTCGCCCCTCCCCCTCCACCTCCCCCCCTTTCCCCCCCCCTCCCCCCCAGGAGTACTGCGACGCCGGCACGCTGCTCACTGCCGCCCGGCGAGGCGACTTCCGGCTGCCCGGCAGCGGCCCGCGGGACGGCCCCGTGTGGCCCGACCTGGTGCCGCTCTACACCAGCCTGCTGGAGGTGGGGGGGGGTGGTAGGGGGGGTGGTAAGGAAGAACGAAATGAAAGGATACGTCCCAAGGACCCCAACCCGAGATAGAGTCACCGTGGTATACACATCTTTTCCCTCCCTCCCTCCCTCCCTCCCTCCCTCCCTCCCCCCCGCCCCCTGCCCAGGTTGCCCTGGCCCTGCGCTACCTGCACTCCCGCCGCCTGGTGCACTGCGACCTCAAGCCGGGCAACGTGCTGCTGCGCACATCCACGCGCGACCCGCGGGGCTGGACCTGCAAGCTGAGCGACTTTGGATGGTGGGGGAGGGGGAGGGGGAAAGGGGGGTGGGGGAGAAGAAACTGACGGAACGCACTGGAAGCTGGGGAAAGGAGGGGCGGGGAGGGTTGCCGACACGATGGGGCCACTCGCTGGGGGGGTGTTGCGTGTGGGGAGGTAGGGGCCCGGGGCTTGATGGATGCTGCCTGCTGCCTGCTGTTGCCACATGAGCTGCTGCTTGCAGTGGGGCTCACGCAGCAGCGACGGCGGCGGCGGCGTTCGTACTTCCTGCCCGGCCCTGCATGCGCCTCCGTGCCCACGTCGCTCCTCACCCCGCTGCTGCTCTTGCTCCCTCCGCTGATGGCAACCCTGTGTGCCCGCCGTGGCTGATGTGCTGCTGCTGTTGCTATGCATGCGCGTCCCCCCACCCCCACCCCCACCCTCCCCCCCACCCCCACCCCCACCCCCCCCACCCCCACCCCCACCCCAACCCCCGGTGTACGGCACTGCGCAGTGTACGGCTGTTGGACGAGTACGGCACGGACGGCTCCCCCGCCTTCCGCATGGCGCAGGTGTTTGGCACCGTGGCGTACATGGCTCCGGGTAGGCAGGGAAGGGGGGGGGCCGTGGACACGCGTTGCGTGCCGCGTTGGGCAGGGGGCAACTGTCCAACCGCCCTTCCTGTCAACTGGCTTTGCACGCCAACTTCCTTGCGCTGTGCCAGCTGTGTGCCCTACGTGTCGTGTCGTGTCGAGTTGCACGTGCTGCCGGCAGCAGCAGCAGCAGCGGGAACAACATTGTGACGCACAGGTTTAGGTCTTGACTCTGGGCTTTTCCACGCTGCCGGAAGGGAACAGTCGCCAACATCGCGGGTCGGGCCAACTCTCCCTCTCTCTCTCCTTGAGTCTACGGTTTTAGGCCTTTGGATTCCTCCCTCTGAAGCGTTCCCCTCTTCCCTCCCTGCCGGCCCCGCTGCCCCCCTGGCCGCCACCCGCTGCTGCTGCTGCTGCTGCTGCTTTCCGGACCTCCAGAGTGCTTCTCCAGAGGTGAGGCAGGTGGTGTGCTTCTGTGAGTTTTGCGTTCCTGTGCGCTTTCTGGAATGACCCATGGGTCCCTGGTCAGTGGTGGTGCCGATACAAACAGATCATCCGCATTGCGGCTCATCCGCCCTGCGAACGACCCGCCCGCACCTAGCTATGTCCGCACCTGCAGCTCGTTGTAAACTCCCATCTTGCTTTCTGACTGAAAGCCTTTCCCGCCGCTTCCGCCTCCTCCTCCTCCTCCTCCTCCTCAGGCCGGCTGCTGGGGGCGGGCGTGGACGTATTCGCGTTTGGTGTGGTGAGAGCAGCCTGGGGAGGGGGCCGCGTGGGGAGGGGGCCGCGTGGGGAGGGGGCTGCGTGGGGAGGGGGCCGCGTGGGGAGGGGGCCGCGTGGGGAGGGGGCTGCGTGGGGAGGGGGTCCTGCCGTGTAGGGTGTTGCAAGGGGCAACCATTTGGAGAATGGAGTTGCGGAAGGGGGCTTCCTGAAGGATGCTGAGGCCGGTTGTGTGTTCCGATGACAGCTGACATTTGCCTGCCAAGAGAAACGAGCCTACATAACTGCTGCTACTATTACTGCTGTTATGGTTGGATGGGGACTCTGTACGTCGAGAGAGTTGTACACTGTTGAGCTTTCTTGCTGTAGGGAAGGCTTGAGAGGTCGTTCAGCCCCTTCCACGAGCGCACCTCGTCTTCCAATCCCTCCTCCTCCCTCCTTGGGTTTGCTGCCTGAAGACCCACGTGCTGCCCCCTCCCCCCCTCCCTCCCTCGCCTCCCCCACCAGTTGATGTGGGAGCTGATGCACTGCCGGGCGCCGCATGCGGGCGTGGATCCCAAGGTGAGCTGCCGCTGCCGCCGCTGCTGTGGCTCATGGTGGCTTTACAGGGTCGGGCACGTGGTCTATTGCCACCCCACAACTCCATTACTTCTCCTCGCTCTCCCACCCTCTCACGCCCGCCCCTCTCCCTCCCTCCCGCCCCGCCCCGCCCCGCTGCTGCTGCTGCCGCAGGACCTGCCGCGCCTGGTGGTCCGCAACAACGCGCGACCCGAGTTCCACCCGCTGGCACCCTCCGACTACTGGTGCGAGTACCCGCCGGGAAGGGGGTGGGGAGGAAGAGGAGGAGGAGGAGGGAGGGAACGAACTAACGTCAGGGGGTTGGGGCACGCGGGGGGTGCTGGAGCTGGAGCTGTGCTCCGTGCTTGGAGCTGTCGCTGTACATGTAGCGCATTGCAGCGTACCGGCGTGCGCCGCTTCCTTGCAGCGTCCTTGCTGTTAACTCACACCCTCTCCCGCCCCCCCCCCTTCCCCCCCCACCCCCCCGCAGTGCGCTGGCCTGCCGCTGCTGGTCGCCCGTCCCCGAGCGCCGCCCCTCCGCCACCCAGCTGGTGTCGCAGCTGCAGCAGCTGCTGTCCGGGGCCAAGGCAGCGGCGGCGCAGCAGCAGCAGCAGCGGAAACTGCGCATGCAGCAGCAGCAGGCACAACAACAGCAGCAGCAGGCCCAGCAGCAGCAACAGCAGGCCCAGCAGCAGCAACAGCAGGCCCAACAACAGCAAACACAGCAGCAGGCAGCAGCAGCAGCGCAACAACAACAACAACAACAGCAGCAGCAAGCCACCCAGCAGCAGCAGCACCCTCAACAGCAACACCCGCAACAGCAGCAGCAGATGCAGCAGCAGGTGCAGCAGCTGCAGGCGCAGCGGCGAGCCCTACTGCGCTTCCCCTCGGCCGCATCGCACTCGGAGGCCCGGCTGGGGGACCGGCTGGCCGCCGAGCGGGCGCACCAGGCCTTCATTCAGGCGCAGGCGCAGGGGCTGGTGGGGGGACCGGGGTCAGGGTCAGGCAAGCCCGCGCAGCTGCAGCGCCCCTCCTCCCCCACCCTGCATGTCCACCCGCCGGGTCAGCAGCCGCAGCCGCAGCTGTCGAGGTTGCAGCAGCAGTCCTCCCCCGGCGTTACCTCGCCGCACCGGGGAGGCGGGGGGGCGCTGGCGGGCGCCTCGCCGCTGGGAGGGGTGGTGGGCGCGGCTGCGGTGGTGTCGCCTGTGTTCCCGGCGGCGGGCAGTGCGGGCAGCGCGGGCTCCAAGAACTTCTTGTCTTCATACGAGGGGGGGATTTCCCCTCGGCCCAGCCTTGAGCGCGCCTCTCCATGCCTTGCGGTGGATCTGCGGCACTAGCGGCAGCAGCAGAGCGGGGGAGGCGACGGCTGCTGCTGCTGGCTGCTGCACCCACCGCACCGGCTGCGGCATGTGAGAGCGGCCCTCACGACGTTGCCGTTCATGCAAAGACATGCACGAGTAGCAGCAGCAGCAGGTGCGGCACCAGGCGGCATCGTGTGGAGCAACATGCAATCGTGCAAAGGATCGGAGGCATGCAACCCGAATGAGGTTAGAGGTCAGGAAGCCAGGTTACAGACACGAGTTGAGGTTTAACAACCGCACGCGCAGGTTTTGCAGTTGTGCTGTTGCCGCATCGGGCAGCAGCGCGTGTTTGGTAGTTGTGTTTGGGAGTGCATGCACGTTTTGGTTTGTATGTGTTGTTGGGGCTAGTTATGTGGCAGACGGAGTGGCGGCGGGGTGCTAGACGGAGCTATGTGGCCGCTTGCGTCTGTGCACGCATCACCGCACACATGGGGCCCGAGGGGGGCTGGGGTCGTGGTTTGGTACCAGGTGCTTTGATGATTTGGCACCTGGTGACGTTTGGGTGCGGTTTGTTGTACACTGTTGGTTGATTGATGCGTGGGTGCGAGCGCTGCCGGCGGCGAGGGATGAGTGGCGCGGGGAGTGGGGTGGGAGAACTCCAGCGCACCGGGGGGGGGGAGTAAACACGTATGGGGCAGGAGGTGCGTTTGTGGGTGCGATTACCGACGCGCGGTCATTGCGATTCGGCGCGTGGATGGTGTGGAAATGGAAAGGCAGTGTTGTGTGTTGTGGTTTTGTTTGTCGGTGGTAGTGGGGGGGGGATTGACAGTAGCAGTTAGCACTGTCTGGTGGTATGGGATAGGCGTGATTGCGGCCAGTCGGGTGGGGGGGTGCGCATTATTTAGAGGGTTGAGGCGCCAGGCGCGTGCGGGTGCGGGTGCGACGAGTGCAGAAGAGCTTGGAGCTGTGAAAGACAATGGCAGAAGCACACGCACATGCGTTTGATAGGCCCTGAAACACTGATGGTTGTGTGCACGCATCGGCGTTCTCTGGGTGTTCTGGTGGTGGTGGGGGGCTCGGAGGGTTGTTGTGCGGTTGTTTAGTTCATCTGCCGTTGGGAGGCTGCGGCGGATTGCGTGAGCTGATCTATACGCGTGTGGGTGTGTTTCCGGTGACCGTGCTGGCTGCTGTAGACCAAAAACAGACGCCATTTATCGCGGTCGGTGCTTTCTCTGCCTCCCCCGTGGAGCTAGGGTGAAGTCTTCGAGCCGCAGCTAGCTTCCATTCTACTTCTGTGATGTTGTTGTGCAGCAACGGCTTTGTGATGTATTACTTGCCGGCTAGTAGGTTGGCTTCTTTTAACGCAAGCACATGTGCCAAAGAAGAGAAACGTGCGCGGCTTACTATGCGTGCTGCCGAACCGGCGAGCCTATGCTATCTTTCATTACACGGGACTCTTGCGAGGCATGCGTGGCGGTATCCGGGATGTGTGAGCGAGGGGCTTCTAAGGGCTTAGTAAGCGCTGATCCGTGTTCAGCTTTTGGAGCGGTGTGATGCTACTTTGCAACTTGGGAGGGGGTCCGAGCATATTTACCTTCCCATATCTTAATCTCATGGATATTTCTTACAAGCAATGGCGGAGCTAAGGGGGCTCCGATGTCCCACCGACCTTCTGCGTTCCGTGTTCCGTTTATGTCCGGATACGTCCGGTTGGTTTGTGGATGGATCCTGGAAAAGGCTCATTGGAATTGTGGGCCTTGGCCTCCCTCGCCTGTGGTGGTGGTGGTGTGTGTTGCCCAGTGGATTGCCCGTTGAGGTGCTCCTCGTTGCAAGTAGCAGTACTAGTAGTAGTACCGGTAGCAGTACCGGTAGCAGGGCTCCAAGCGCCAGCTGCTGCAGGGGCGGTGTGCAGCGGTGACCGGCGGTGCGGGATCCACGGCAGCCTCCATGCCGCCCCTGGCGCAGCCTCTGTGCATGATCTGTGTTGGGTTTAGCTATTGTTGCTTTGAGTCCAAGAGGGCGCCCCTTGCCCGGCTAGCAACGCTCAGGAGTCGTGGAGACGTCTGAGATCTGCTGAGGAGGTGCGCCGCAGCGGTTTCGAGCATGGATACATCTGTACGACATTACGCCCTATTCAATCGAGATCTAGAAGCGTGGTCACGAGACGCGACCGCGTGCACCTTTACTCGTTCTAATTGGAGATTGTAGACTGTTTGTTGGCTCTGTGGCCAGTTTACACATGGTGGGGCTGTGCTGGCACGCCTTGCTGCCTTGCTGCCTGCCTGCTTACTTACAGCACGGCGCATTTCGTAACACGTCGAGGCATGGTTGCAAAGCACACAGTTTACATTGATCGGATGTGCTGTGTCATTGTCATGGCTGTCGGAAGCTGCTTCTCGCCATTCACGGCACTCGTGAAATTGCAGGCACACACCCCAGTCACATCATAGGGACTCCTGGACTGACGCCTCGTTTGGAAGACACGTCTTGTGTGCCTGCTGCTGCGGGTTATTTTTGTTAGCGCGCGCAACCGTTAAACTGAAACACTAACACCGCGGTGAGGCTGCTGGTCTGGCCGGCCTGGTTCATGGCTGGTGTGGGTACGAACACACCTTGGTTGTTTGGTTGCTTGGTTGTTGGCTGTGCTTCCCATTATTTACCATGTGTTGTATTTTGGCTAGTCAGAGCCATTTATTGGTCTTTGCCGGCAGGGACCTACCTGGGGGGCGGCTGCATGCGGGTTTTACAGATGTCCAGGGTTCTGTTGCAAGGACGCTTCTTGCACGGACTGCTTTTCTGTTTTTATGTCACGGCTTAAGCCTGCCGCGAATTCGCAGCACTCAGTGCTGCTTCCTCCTGATGAGCTGCCCGCCCTGTTGCTTCGCCGTCTATGGGGCGGATGCGTGGGATATTGTTTGCGACCACATTTGCTGGATCACTTTCACTGGTGCTCGGCTGGGTTAATGCAGTGGTAGGCTCTCTGCGGGCAGGCTGTGAACCTGCCTGTGCTGGCCTCCTTGTAAAGCAAACTGAAAAGAAACGACCATATAAGTTGCGACTGAAGGCGCCCCAACGGCCCCAAAGGCACACGGCAGCGCTAAGCAAATAGGATTGCAGGCCACCGCTGAGGTATCCTGGGCTAGCAGGGCAGGGAGGTGAGGTGTTTCTCAGCAGGCATACCGCGTTTCTGTAGGAGCACCGGTATGTGGGCAAGCGAGCCGTTGTCCATGCTATGTGATGTAACATGTGAAGGGCAAGGACGTTTGCAACCTGAGCCCCGAACCGTTCCCCCTCGCCAGTAGTCGTAGCATGCAACACGAACCTGATACGGCAAAGGGGCACAAAGAACCAACCGAATACGGCGGGTGCTATGTCGACGGGTGGTAGGTCGGTGGGTGGTAGGTCGGTGGGTGGTAGGTCGGTGGGTGCTAGGTCGGCGGGTGCTAGGTCGGCGGGTGTTAGGACGGCGGGTGCTAGGTCGGCGGGTGCATAGTCGGCGGGTGCTGGGTCGGTGAGTGCTAGGTCGGTGGGCGCTGGGTCGGTGGGTGCTAGGTCGGTGGGTGCTAGGTCGGTGGGTGTTAGGTCGGTAGCCCCGCAGCCCCGCAGCCCCGCAGCCCCGCAGCCCCGCAGCCCCTCAGCCCCGCAGCCCCGCAGCCCCTCAGCCCCTCAGCCCCGCAGCCCCGCAGCCCCTCAGCCCCACAGCCCCGTAGCCCCGTAGCCCCATCGCCCCGTAGCCCCGTAGCCCCGTAGCCCCGTAGCCCCGTAGCCCCGTTGCCCCGTAGCCCCGTTGCCCCGTTGCCCCGTTGCCCCGTTGCCCCGTTGCCCCGTTGCCCCGTTGCCCCGTAGCCCCGTTGCCCCGTAGCCCCGTAGCCCCGTTGCCCCGTTGCCCCGTTGCCCCGTTGCCCCGTTGCCCCGTAGCCCCGTAGCCCCGTAGCCCCGTAGCCCCGTAGCCCCGCAGCCCCGTTGCCCCGTTGCCCCGTTGCCCCGTTGCCCCGTTGCCCCGTTGCCCCGTTGCCCCGTTGCCCCGTTGCCCCGTTGCCCCGTTGCCCCGTTGCCCCGTTGCCCCGTTGCCCCGTTGCCCCGTTGCCCCGTTGCCCCGTTGCCCCGTTGCCCCGTTGCCCCGTTGCCCCGTAGCCCCGTAGCCCCGTAGCCCCGTAGCCCCGTAGCCCCGTAGCCCCGTAGCCCCGTAGCCCCGTAGCCCCGTAGCCCCGTAGCCCCGTAGCCCCGTAGCCCCGTAGCCCCGCAGCCCCGTAGCCCCGCAGCCGCGTAGCCGCGCAGCCGCGCAGCCCCGCAGCCCCGTAGCCCCGTAGCCCCGTAGCCCCGTTGCCCCGTTGCCCCGTTGCCCCGTTGCCCCGTTGCCCCGTTGCCCCGTTGCCCCGTTGCCCCGTTGCCCCGTTGCCCCGTTGCCCCGTTGCCCCGTTGCCCCGTTGCCCCGTAGCCCCGCAGCCCCGCAGCCCCGTTGCCCCGCAGCCCCGTTGCCCCGTTGCCCCGTTGCCCCGTTGCCCCGTTGCCCCGTTGCCCCGTTGCCCCGTTGCCCCGTTGCCCCGTTGCCCCGTAGCCCCGTAGCCCCGTTGCCCCGTAGCCCCGTAGCCCCGTAGCCCCGTAGCCCCGTAGCCCCGTAGCCCCGTAGCCCCGTAGCCCCGTAGCCCCGTAGCCCCGTAGCCCCGTAGCCCCGTAGCCCCGTAGCCCCGTAGCCCCGTAGCCCCGTAGCCCCGTAGCCCCGTAGCCCCGTAGCCCCGTAGCCCCGTAGCCCCGTAGCCCCGTAGCCCCGTAGCCCCGTAGCCCCGTAGCCCCGTAGCCCCGTAGCCCCGTAGCCCCGTAGCCCCGTAGCCCCGTAGCCCCGTAGCCCCGTAGCCCCGTAGCCCCGTAGCCCCGTAGCCCCCTAGCCCCGTAGCCCCCTAGCCCCGCAGCCCCGTAGCCCCGCAGCCCCGTAGCCCCGCAGCCGCGCAGCCCCGCAGCCCCGTAGCCCCATTGCCCCGTAGCCCCATTGCCCCGTTGCCCCGTAGCCCCGTTGCCCCGTAGCCCCGTAGCCCCGTAGCCCCCCAAGCCGCGAGCTGAGCCGAGCCGAGCCGCGAGCTGAGCCGAGCCGAGCCGCGAGCTGAGCCGAGCCGAGCCGCGAGCTGAGCCGAGCGGAGCCGTGAGCCGAGCCGAGCCACGAGGCGAGCCGAGCCGAGCCAAGCCGCGAGCCGATCGAGCCAAGCCGCGAGCCGAGCCGAGCCGAGCCGCGAGCTGAGCCGAGCCGAGCCGCGAGCTGAGCCGAGCCGAGCCGCGAGCTGAGCCGAGCGGAGCCGCGAGCCGAGCCGAGCCGAGCCCGGAGCTGAGCCGAGCCTGGAGCCGAGCTTAGCCAAGCCCAGAGCCGAGCCGAGCTGAGCCCGGAGCCGAGCCGAGCTGAGCCCGGAGCCGAGCCGAGCCGAGCCCAGAGCCGAGCCGAGCCGAGCCGAGCCGAGCCGAGCCGAGCCTGGAGTGGAGCCGAGCCGAGCCGAGCCGGGCCGAGCAGAGCCGCGAGCCGAGCTGAGCCGAGCTGCGAGCCGAGCCAAGCTGAGCCGCGAGCTGAGCCGAGCCGAGCCGAGCTGCGAGCCGAGCCGAGCCGAGCTGTGAGCCAAGCCAAGCCAAGCCGCGAGCCGAGCCGAGCCGAGCCGCGAGCCGAGCCTAGCCAAGCCCGGAGCCGAGCCGAGCTGAGCCTGGAGCCGAGCCGAGCCGAGCCCGGAGCCGAGCCGAGCGGAGCCGAGCCGAGCCGAATCGAGACAAGCCTGGAGCAGAGCAGAGCCGAGCCGAGCCGGGCCGAGCCGAGACTCGAGCCGAGCCGAGCCGAGCCGAGCCGAGCCGAGCCGAGCCGAGCCGAGCCGAGCCGAGCCGAGCCGAGCCGAGCCGAGCCGAGCCGAGCCGAGCCGAGCCGAGCCGAGCCGAGCCGAGCCGAGCCGAGCCGAGCCGAGCCGAGCCGAGCCGAGCCGAGCCGAGCCGAGCCGAGCCGAGCCGAGCCGAGCCGAGCCGAGCCGAGCCGAGCCGAGCCGAGCCGAGCCGAGCCGAGCCGAGCCGAGCCGAGCCGAGCCGAGCCGAGCCGAGCCGAGCCGAGCCGAGCCGAGCCGAGCCGAGCCGAGCCGAGCCGAGCCGAGCCGAGCCGAGCCGAGCCGAGCCGAGCCGAGCCGAGCCGAGCCGAGCCGAGCCGAGCCGAGCCGAGCCGAGCCGAGCCGAGCCGAGCCGAGCCGAGCCGAGCCGAGCCGAGCCGAGCCGAGCCGAGCCGAGCCGAGCCGAGCCGAGCCGAGCCGAGCCGAGCCGAGCCGAGCCGAGCCGAGCCGAGCCGAGCCGAGCTGAGCCGAGCCGAGCCGAGCCCAGCCGAGCCGAACCAAACCGACCCGAGCCGAGCCGAGCCGAGCCGGCTCGGCTCGCGGCTCGGCTCTGCTTGCAGCTCGGCGCGGCTCGGCTCGCGGCTCGGCTCGGCCCGGCTCGGCTCGGCTCGGCTCCACTCCAGGCTCGGCTCGGCTCGGCTCGGCTTGGCTCTGGGCTCGGCTCGGCTCGGCTCCGGGCTCAGCTCGGCTCGGCTCCGGGCTCGGCTAAGCTCGGCTCCAGGCTCGGCTCAGCTCCGGGCTTGGCTCGGCTCGGCTCGGGGCTTGGCTCTGCTCAGCTCGGGGCTCTGCTTGGCTCGGCTCCGGGCTCGGCTCGGCTCGACTCGCGGCTCGGCTCTGCTCTGCTCGGCTCGCGGCTCAGCTCGATCGGCTCGCGGCTTGGCTCGGCTCTGCTCGCCTCGTGGCTGGGCCCGGCTCGGCTCGCGGCTCAGCTCGGCTCGGCTCCGGGCTCAGCTCGGCTCGGCTCGGGGCTTGGCTCGGCTCGGCTCCGGGCTCGGCTCGGCTCGGCTCGGCTCGGCTCACGGCTCCGCTCGGCTCAGCTCGCGGCTCGGCTCGGCTCAGCTCCCGGCTCGGCTCGGCTCAGCTCGCGGCTCGGCTCGGCTTGGCTCATGGCTCGGCTCCATCGGCTCGCGGCTTGGCTCGGCTCAGCTCGGCTCATGGCTCGGCTCGATCGGCTCGCGGCTCGGCTCGGCTCGGCTCGCGGCTCGGCTTGGCTCGCGGCTCGGCTCTGCTCGGCTCAGCTCGCGGCTCGGCTCGGCTCGGCTCGCGGCTCGGCTCGATCGGCTCGCGGCTCGGCTCGGCTTGGCTCGCCTCGCGGCTTGGCTCAGCTCGGCTCGCGGCTCGGCTCGGCTCGGCTTGGCTCCCGACTCGGCTTGGCTAGGCTCGCAGCTCAGCTCGGGGCTTGGCTCGGCTCGGCTCCGGGCTAGGCTCGGCTCAGCTTGCGGCTCGGCTCGGCTCGGCTTTGGGCTTAGCTCGGCGCGGCTCGGATCGGATCGGCTCGCGGCTCGGCTCGGCTTGGCTCATGGCTCGGCTCGGCTGGGCTCACGGCTCGGCTCGGTTTGGCTTGCGGCTCGGCTAGGCTTGGCTCGCGGCTCGGCTCGGCTCGGCTCGCGGCTCGGCTTGGCTCGCAGCTCGGTTTGGCTTGGCTCACAGCTCGGCTCAGCTCGGCTCGCAGCTCGGCTCGGCTCGGCTTGCAGCTCGGCGCGGCTCTGCTCGCGGCTCGGCTCGGCCCGGCTCGGCTCTGCTCGGCTCCGCTCTGCTCGGCTCCGCTCCAGGCTCGGCTCGGCTCGGCTCGGCTCGGCTCTGGGCTCGGCTCGGCTCGGCTCCGGGCTCAGCTCGGCTCGGCTCCGGGCTCGGCTAAGCTCGGCTTCGGGCTCTGCTCAGCTCCGGGCTCGGCTCCGCTCGGCTCGGGGCTTGGCTCGGCTCAGCTCGGGGCTCTGCTTGGCTCGGCTCCGGGCTCGGCTCGGCTTGCGGCTCCGCTCGGCTCAGCTCGCGGCTTGGCTCGGCTCAGCTCGCGGCTCGGCTCGGCTCAGCTCGCGGCTCAGCTCGGCTCGGCTCGCGGCTCGGCTCGATCGGCTCGCGGCTCGGCTCGGCTCTGCTCGCCTCGTGGCTTGGCCCGGCTCGGCTCGCGGCTCAGCTCGGCTCGGCTCCGGGCTCAGCTCGGCTCGGCTCGGGGCTTGGCTCGGCTCGGCTCCGGGCTCGGCTCGGCTCGGCTCGGCTCACCGCTCCGCTCGGCTCAGCTCGCGGCTCGGCTCGGCTCAGCTCCCGGCTCGGCTCAGCTCAGCTCGCGGCTCGGCTCGGCTCGGCTCGTGGCTCGGCTCGATCGGCTCGCGGCTTGGCTCGGCTCGGCTCGCGGCTCGGCTTGGCTCGCGGCTCGGCTCTGCTCGGCTCAGCTCGCGGCTCAGCTCGGCTC